GGTTTAAGCGTTTATCAATCTGCTGCTATATGCAATTGAGTGCATCTTTTCTCTTTCTTCAAAACTAAAATGATATTTTCTCTTTTAAACTTTATCTGAAAACGTGTACGTTTATAAACCCGCTGTGCTGTCTGGTTCCTAATCTTTTTACTAGATACACATTCACAAAAAAGTTAACAATATCTTCTAACTCTCTTTTACAAACAATTTGTTTCGTCATTAAAGATAAGCTTCAGTTCTGGTAACTAATGATCGAAAATAAATTCTCACATAGTCCAACAAAACTTACACTGAATATTCAAGATTAAAAACGAAATCCTATTTTCAATCTTGTATTGAAGATATCTTAATCCAATATCAGGGGTTAAACGAAATATTATAATAATTATGGTGTTTTTACATCTTTGAATTTTCAAGATTGAGTGCATACACTTTGTTTCTCCTAGAAGTGTTCTGTATGTATCTACAGCCTACTAGCATATAGGCCATGTATAAGCATTGTGATATGAGAAGGCATTATGGGGTCAAATAGATTCTTATCATATATTTCTCTATCCATATAATATATACACTTTTATTACTTGACGTATTGAGCGGTAGGACACATAATTCAGCTTCAAGCCTAAGGTTTAGATTACCCGTATTAGCAATCAAGTCATTGATACATCTGAGACCTTTTTCATACCAAGATCTATAAGAGAAAAAACTGTTTTATGACCAATTTGAATAGAGCTTTCTCTCCAAAAGCTAACCAATCCTTTCCTACTTCTGGACTCAGCAAAGATAAGTCAGCAAGGACTTCTTTCCAAAAATGGAGTAGCAACTTCATTAGATAGAGCGGGAAAAAAATATGCATCACCGAGGCATTTTACAAAGGTTTAGTGAACGCCTGCATCAAATGATTCATATTGAAAACCATTCTTCGGATCCATGCATGTAAGCTCTAATTATTTACAAAAGCACTTAACATTTGGAATGTTTAGCCCCTCTTCTTCAAATGTGACCACAATTTGTTTTTCGACTGATTTTATCTGATAATCTGGCATTCTTCCACATGAAATTTACAGAACCTTGTCCTTTATGTCTTTCGTTAACTTTGCTAGAAGGACCTGGGATTAACATGAACAAGTTATCGAACTGTGGCAATAATAACGATTGGGCAACCGTAACTCTTCCGAAAACCTTACTACTCCGTCTGATCCAAAAAATCATTTGGTGTTTCACTTTGTCAAAGATTCTATCATAATAACAATCGGGAATTTTAGAGATGACAATATGAAAATCTGTACTTAGGTAAAAAAAAATTTTTTTAAAAACTCACCATGCACAAAATTAACCTGTATCTCGTACGTCTAATTCCATATCTTGGTTATGTTTTGATGCAGACCTGTTTAGACTTGCTCTGTAGAAGAACATTTTCAAAATACGTTTAGTATACAGATATATCTAGGAATGCGCCATGTAAAAATGAACCACAAAGTTGGCTCATGATGCAGCGAATAATCACTTTCGATACACCTGGCACACCCAAATCAAATAATCAACTCAATTAGAAAGTGCATAATAAGTTACACCAGGCGCGTACGCAGGGGGTGGTTTTGGGGTTAAACCCCCCCCCCTCGAGTTTTTTTTGTGTATGTTTTTCTATGCTATTTTGGAAACCCTCCCCTTTTGATTTAATTTTTTTTTTTTTTTTAAATAAATAAAATATATAAATTGCCAATAGGTGACCTTTAAAAGGTGACCTTACCCCCCCCCCCAACTGGACAAAATGTCAAATTTTCAAATTTCGAGACCCCCCCCCCCCCAAAAAAAAAAAGTGTCCCCCCCCCCCCGCTTATTCAGCGGCTGGCTGAGTCACGTGCAATCACGTGCTTTGTCAATAGAGCTTGAAGTTGCCATTAATAATAAAAGAATCAAACTGCCCGTGAGGACCTTTGTTCATTTTGTATAGCCCTTTTCTGACGTTGACTTTTCGATTATCCCATTCTTCATAACTTGGCCACATGACCTATTTAACTCTTTCTCCTTTCATGCCCGTGTCGAGAATGGAGAATCCCGCCGAATAACTAGAATGTTTAATTTGACCTAGAATCGCTTATGATTGTATCTCACCGAAACAGGCTCTAGTACGTTCAATTCTTTCGTTTTCATTTACAGAAGTGCGTACACCAAGTTTAACTACAAAGTAACTTATTATCATGAACAAATGAGAAGAAAAAACTCAAATTACTATTTTGTTAGGTTTGACGGTTTATTTATTTTTACCCGACTGCCATTAAAGAAAGCTCATTTACAGAAGTGCTTACACCAAGTTTAACTACAAAATAACAAATTATCATGAAAAAACAACGACAACAACAAACTTAAATCACTGTTTTGTTAGGTTTGATAGTTTATTTTACCCGACTGCTAAGAAAGCTTGTATATATGCTCGTAAGTAAGCAGCCAGACGACCGACATGTTGATTATGCGACTCTCCGGAAAGTTTTTGCGATCATGGCATAATTTTTTTTTTAAGGGCTATGATTGTCTGGGATTATTGTCCCCGGGATAATTACCCGGGAATGACTCTCACTTGTCACACCGCCAAAGCAAAGCCATTCATAATGTGGAAAGAGATGGATTCTTATAGCTATTCGGGGTAATGCTATTTTGTCTGATCTGTTGCATGTCTGTTGTGGGTGTTCTCGCCGTGACATGGTACAAGGTGGTACGTTATCTATTGTATATCTATTGGAGTATTGCTTACTCCCTAACTCAGTCCAGAGAGAGAGAAAGAGGGAGTGAGAGAGAGAGAGAGAGAGAGAGAGAAGGGGGAGGGGAGAGAGAGAGAGAGAGAGAGAGAGAGAGAGAGAGAGAGAGAAGCGAGATAAGAGAGAGATAGAAAGATAGAGAGTTGAGAAAGAGAGAAAGAGAAAGAGAATGGAAAAAACTAGTTTTTACCTGTTCTCACGCTGTCGGAGTCAACTGCAATCTTTTAGAACGATTATATAAACCCAATGGTCTGTAATCATGCAATTCATTTCAATTCAATTCACGATAAAAGGACTATTGAACAGTAGTCTAATAACACACATCAATAAGAAAAAGGCTCTTTTCATCAGGTATTCAAAGAGGAGTAACAGCATAACTATGGGGTGTACGTGCGAAGAAAATAATTAGTCATTGCCCAACGTGTTTCACAAAGTGGTCTTGTGCACTATCTTGTCTAGTAGTCTCTCAACTTCTTAAGACAGCATGATGTACAACTGTTGGAGCCATTTTCAATCACGGACCTTTAAATGCATCTTTGGTCCAACAATGTAAAACGCTTTCAATTCGTTCGTTCGTTCGTTCGTACGAAGAATATCAAGGAGTACATCATCTAAATAGGAAGAAGAAGAGGAAGATGAAAGAGAAGAAGAAAACAAATGATGAAGATGAAGAAGAAGAAGAAGAAGAAGAAGACGAAGAAGAAGAACAAGAAGAAGAAGAAGAAGAAGAAGAAGAAGAAGAAGAAGAAGAAGAAGAAGAAGAAGAAAAAGAAGACTGAAGAAGAAGAAGAAGAAGAAGAAGAAGAAGAAGAAGAAGAAGAAGAAGAAGGAGAAGAGGACGATGAAAAAGAAGAAGAAACAAATGATGAAGAACAAGAAGAAGAAGAGGAAGAAGAAGAAGAAGAAGAAAAGAAGAAGAACAACAACAACAACAAAAAAGATGATGAAGAAGAAAAAGTAGAGGAAGATTAAATTAAAAGACCCACAATCAGACATATATAGCTAATTTTGGGTCAATTATTTGAGGGCTCATGATGCTGTCCTTCGACGGTGCGAGCGCAATTTTACTGAAAACAAACATTTGTGAGAATGTGGAAACAAACTTGTTGAGCTCAAACAAAGAGTTTTGTGGACCTTGAACCAAGTTTGACAAAGAGATGTAATTCATCATGATAATGTATGTGTTTATTCTGCGAAAGCACCGTCTACAAATAAAGCACGATCCAGGTATTGTCGCTTTCATTCCCAACTCCCAAGGATATCATAACGAGTCGTTTGCCCGACACCTTTTGTACTTGAAGTGCAAAAATAACGATGTAATAATTGTGATTGCCTAAATTTATTTGAAGTCTGACATGATTGGGTAACGTTAAATGGCAATCACTCAGTTTCGACTATTATCACCAACAAATAATAGGTAGATTTATATTATAAACTTTCATTATAAAACTTCGATATGCTGTCGTTTCTGCTCCCGTTTGACACGATTAAAAAAAGTATTGGTAACTTAAAGGTACACGAGTAGTACACTCTAAAAACAATTAGGCAAAAAATTGCACACATTTTACCCAACATGAGGGCAATTATGTGTCCGACCAACTATTGGGTAAATTAAAGATTTTGCATGGTTTACTCAGTGTTGGATAAAAAGAAAATACCCAACTTTTAACAGACAAAAGTATACCCAATCACACATTCATTAAATTCTCACCAAAATGACTGTGTAGCGTATTAGGCACTAATTAGGCAAATAAGTTGGATAAAATCTACCCAACTTATTTTGAACATTTGATTGCGAAATACATGTAGTAAATGGTTGGGAGAAAATAACCCAATTGTTGGACATAAATGGCCAACTTTAATTTGCCCAATAACATTACCCAATTATTTTATCGGTAACTCTATGGTTGTTAGAAGAAACAAAAACAATTATTGGACAACAATTGCCCAAGTCGATTTGCAAAGTAACACCTACCGAACCAATTTTTTACTTTTCATTAGGTAACTTCATATAGTAAATGGTTGGGAGAAAATAATCAAATTATTGGACAAAATTCGCCCAACTTTCGTTTACAGTGTCTACGAGTAATTTCTTTACTGCTATTAACTAAATTGCAATGCATTATGATTGAAATTAAAACAGAATGTATTCGTGTTATTGGTTATTATTCAAATGGAAATGTAAAGAAGATGGGTACAGTTTTTGTTCGCCATACTAATTTTTCCCCCTCCCTTCTTCTACAGGTCATTTCAAGCCACACGCCCTACCCAGTGTGGGCACAGTGGACTTCCTGCAGTCAATGATGTGTGATCTAGAAACAAAATGTGCGAGCGCTGATGAAGTACCGAAGTCAAATGAACCGCCGACATACGGAGCAAGGTAAGATGGTGATGAGATGATTATGATGATGGTGGTGGTGATGATGATGGTGGTGGTGGTGGTGGTGGTGGTGGTGGTGGTGGTGGAAGTGATGATGATGTCGATTGTGATGGTGATAATGGCCGGTGAAGAAGGTGGTGATGACGGTGATGATGATGGTGATGATGATGATGGGGGTGATTACAATGATAGAGATGATGATGATGATGCTAATGATGGTGATGATGGTGGTGGTGGTGGTGGAAGTGATGATGATGGTGGTGGTGGAAGTAATGATGATGTCGATTGTGATGGTGATGAGGGTGAAGAAAGTGATGATGGTGAAGAAGGCGATGATGACGGTGATGATGATGATGATGATGATGATGATAATGATAATGATAGTAATAATAATGATTCTGTGATTGTTACTACTACCTAACACAAGCAACGATGTGAGTTCTACAGAGAAAAATGCCCAAGTACTGATTGTTAAGCTAGTCAAACGAGCCATTAACTTGCGGAGAATGGTAAGATAATAAGAATGGTGTGGTAACCATGGAGATCTGTTCTTGTCCCCGTTGCATAAACAGATGCGATTGATTCAAATCGATCGAAATTCTTTATAAGACAGAGCGCTGCTATATCTGTTCATATTTAATATTGTTAGCTGAGAGCCAGAATGCTGTATGGGAGAGTATACGAGTCAACAACACCTTTTTGGCTCGTAGTAGATGGCATGAAAGAGATTAAAAGTACCTACAGAATTGTTAGTAGACAGATCGATAAAAACACTGTCATTTAGACTTCGAAGAATTTCGTACATAAATTATGGTCATGCATATTTTGAGTTCACGCATGTTTAATTATTTTCCTTCCTCCCTCCTTCTCTATTTCGTTCCTTTCTTTTTTGTGGACCTCTAGGAAAAACACAGCCATTAAATTAATGGCTCTAAATAGAGCGTTCCATCCGTATTCTTTTGAGGTTTTTGTCATATGTATGTTTATATGTTTTTTATAAGGAAAATAAAACCTAACCAAACCAAACCAAATCAATCCACGTACCAAGGATCGAGAATAAAAAACGTGCTTAAGGTACAGAAGTAGTATATATATATTGAATATGTATATATATATATATATATATATATATATATATATATATATATATATACATATATATGGAAACTTCTCTAACAATGTATAATGCAGTTGGAGGGCACCGTGCCCCACCGGGCAGAGCTGAGGATTGAAATGGGTGATACAAAGGTTGCAACATTTTTATTGAGTATCCGATGGTATAACTCTATTATCAAATAAAGATTTACTTTACTTGTATTAAAGAGAACTGTTGCTGAGCTAGCGCCATGAGCGTCCCTGGATAGTGTGAGAGGTATATAGGTTACAATAATACATGTGCTGACGCTGTCTGAAATATTGTCCACTCTCTGAATCTGAAATATCAACATACGTGTATTTTTCTTTCTCTCTCTTTGTAGTATCGGTGCGTTGCTCGACGACGTGGAGCCTTTGTTTTCAGAGGAGTCGTCTATTGTCGACGATCTGGAGTCACTCTCCGAGACCCTTGGCCCGTTGATTAATCTCACACAAGCATTGGAGGAAACATTCAACAAGATCAGCGGTAATGATTCATTTTAATCACTCCTCTGTATAGTAATCTGGGGAGTGTTTCACAAAGACTAAGATCACTTTTAAGTTGGACTTAACTATGACAGGCTGTTCATGCAACTGTTTTCTCTCACCATTTACTGACATTGGTCTCTCAAGGGACGTACAAAACATGGTTACAAATATATAGAATTAACATTTTTTGATTATTCACTATCGAAGACAAAAACATTATCATAGCGGTGAGAGCAACCAGTGGCATAAATGGCCTGCCATAGTTAAGTCGAACTTAAAGTCGATCTTAGACTTTGTGAAACACCCCCTGGAGTTATACAGCGCTATGCCTATACTAAATGCCGTCTCTAAGCAAATATTATTACCCCCATCATCGGAATAATTATGTGCACCATCTCCACTCCTAATTTCTCTACTTGTCGCTATTTGTTACAGTTTGCACGATATTCTAGAGGTGTAGCTTTTAAAAAGATTGTTTCTGAAAAACTACTGGTTTTTCCAAAACTGTGTAGAATGATTATCCATTATGATGATCCACAGGTGGTACACAGTCCAACCCCATCCCCCAAAACAAAAATGTATACGCAGTTGAGGGGGAAATTGTTGTATATACAGAGGGTATGCCAATTAGTTATCGAGGAGAGGGGGGAGGGGTGGGACGCGTCATTTGTGCCCCTTTAATCTGTAATTATCTACGTGTGCAAAGCATTTGTGGATTGATCGGTTATTTCAACTAATTTCAGATGGAGAAACTGACCACGTAAGTAAAAATGAAAGAAACATATATTAGACTGGAAAGTTGTAAATGTACCGAAAATCTGAATGCAATAAGAAGCCACAGCTGAATTCATTTCCTTTCAACATTCCTTTTTATCATAGAACAAAACTTTGGTCTTGGGGATTTCTTTACGAATCGTACCAAGTTGAAAGAAGATTTATACAAGACCTTTGAAGGTGCAGAGGCTGACTTGATCGAGGCGATGCTGGGAGCAAGAATCAACGTCCTGGAGGTAAACATGAGGGGAATTGGCCTTTCCTTCTCTTTCTCTCCCATTTCTTCCTCTACCATTATTTGTCCTGCCCCCTCCCTCGCCGAAACCATCTATCTCCATCTCTTTCTCACTATCCACTTCTCTCTCTTAATCCTCGATCCCCTCTCTAGCCCCTCGTTTCGTCGGCCAAATTGTTGTACAAAAATTGATATCATATTCTTAAGCCAACATAATCACACACCCCCCTCTCTCTCCCCTCCCTCAATTTGCCCCCCCCCCCGTTTATAGATCCTTGCTCCTTTCCCCACCTCTCTATCCTACACTCTTCTCTTGAAATCCCTTCGCATTTCCCTCTCCGTATCTCTGTCCCTCCCCCTCTCCCACTTGCTATTGCTTTGTGTCCAAGAAAGATTTTTATTTGAAGAAATTACTTAGGAACTGATAATTGTTTGGTATGTTAATTAAATCAGTCGGAATTCGTTGGAAACTAATACGCTGGCAAAGTAAATTGACGGTAAATGCTTGTAAAAAACATATTATGTCATCAAAGACTGTTTTCCCAAAAGAATGTGTATATGTTAAGACCGATGTAAGCAAACCCATCTGTATGGGCCAAAGTAAAGTCTACTCAATTTTACAGATGGAACACTTTTAACTTCTTTTGTTTGACTCAAATGATGTCGCATTGGTAACTACATGTAAAATGAACATTAATGTGTAAATGCAGGGATTATGAAATAATATTAAGCTTTTATATAGCGCTTAATACAAATGTCTATAAGCGCTTTACAAATATGATGTTACCCTGGTCATTGGATTCAGTGCTTGCCCACACACACTGTGTGCACCATCTCCACTCCCTGGGGAGCATTTCAGCCAGGTGTTACTTGACGCTCAAAAACTGTTTGACCCGAACAATGAAACTTATAATATTATTTTTTATTAAATCATTTATTGCCAGCTTCTTGATGTGATCGGTTACTCCGACTCAAGCAGCTTGGTGTGTAACGCCACAGCCCTGCAGACCTATGTCATCTTCCCTCCAAACACAAACGTTGACAATATCGCCAGTGCTCTCTGCAATCTGAAGAGAAAAGATATCGAGAACATCATCAATATCATCCTGCAAGAACTCGATGTACATTACATTGCTGATGAGGTAAACTTTTACTAAAGTTGTCGGATGCTCGGAAAAATGTTGAATTCATTATATTAAAACATCGAAGGAAGCCTTAACTTTGAATGGATTCAAATCAATTGTCAACAACTTTATACTGAATATTTACTAATTTGATTGAATCTCTATACCTTGTCTGTTGTTCACCTCTTTGACTCTACATATAAATGCATATTTTTTCTTGTGCGGTAACTGTATTTGTATATTTCCTCTGTGCATAGTGTACATATACATTATGATCATTTTTTCCTTTCATTTTCATAGCCAAAACATGTAATGTTTACGACAATACTTTTTGAATAGTCAGGGGGTCTAGATATTTTAAGCGAACTATAAGCTTCTCAAATCCCCCTCCACATTTCCCCATTACTCTCTTGTTCTAGTTCTCAATCAGTTCATTATTATCAGGCTGTAGCTTTTCTCATATCACTGTAAATATCTGTTACAAACTTAAATAATTCGTTTGAATATTAATAAATAAAAATGAATAAATCCTACATATAAAAATAGTTTATAGTTACCTTATATTATACGAGAACTATACAATGTGTATTTTTTTATACTCAAGTTGCTTAATTAACTGAAGACTTGAAAAAAGGGAGTATTACCGAGAGGAGAGATCCAATCGAGGGTAATTGAGTTCGTCTATCCCCTCCGAGGCTCTCTACCTACAACTGCACCTATGAGACGATCAAGCTTTCATTGACCGGCTTCTCAACTATGGGCGAGAAAAGAAAGAATAGGTCAAGAAAAGAGAAAGTTGAAAGAATCTATTTGGAAGAAAAGAATAATCGCCACGGAGAGATTTGTGCTATCGACTCCCCCCCCCCCAACAAAAAGGGGGGGGGGGGGTACCCGCCTAATGGGCCGCCCTATCGGGTCACTTTATTTTTTCCAAAAATAAATTCTAAAAAATTGGGAATGATTTGTGTTGGAAATGGCCCATTTATAATTTATATAGTTCTTCGCCTGAAACATATATTATATTCTTCAGAATAATACCTCACCCATAACCTCTTTTTAAAAATTTAAGTTCAACATTATATGAATCATTTCGTTTACCGGTATTCTTCCATTAAAAGTGGTCCGAACCTTGTACACCCCCTCCCCTTCTACGGATTCAAAACACTATCGCCCCCCCCCCCCCCGGGAATCAGTCACGCGTGACAGGCGCACGCTGGGTTCTGGTAAATCAGGGCTTGTAATAAACTAACAAGCCCTGGGTAAATCTCATCTCGATCTCAGCTCTAATTCAACCAATCATTATATTATGTAACAGGTGACAGCGTTTCTTCGTGCATTGGATCCCTACGGACTGGACAACTTCACCCGGGATGTGCTGGAGATCAGAAACCAGTTGGAAAACATCACAGGTCTGGGAGACTTCGTGGATGTTCTGCCCCAAGTCTTACAACTTACCGGGCTGGTCCCCGATATACAGAGATTCTTGGAGGCGATACAAGAAGTCAATATTGAGGAGACTCTCTATGTGTACGTATTCCTCCCCGAACTCATACCCAGAGGTTCCCCGTGTGTAGCCGTCGGTAATTCCCATCTCCATCCATGCCCACCCGAGCTGTATAGTATGCTGTTACACCTGTGTGCGTTCATGTGATATGCGCTCTTGCTGTCAATACCATAGCTACTTTTGGAGAGATAGTTCTTCACCGGAAGTTGTTCTTTTCCTGTCAGGCATTTCATGAGCTCCATAAGGCCTACACAAAAAGCTTGTTGTATTAATTGCCCTTTGCGACCGACCCAAAAATCTTATTTAAAAAACAAGAAAGTTTTTAGAGAAAAAAAATATTGAAGCATTCACAACTTAAAAATATCAGCCCAATTAAAGAGGGAGGAAAAAAGAAGAAAAAAAAGGTAAAAAAAAGAAAAGAAGGATTTCTGAACGACTGTATTTAGGCCTATTCTTGCTAATAGAGATTGCATGTGGAAAGGAACTATTTGGACCCTTAATGATTTAACCTACTATGACCCGTCTCACATATGTGCATTTGTCACAACTATCTCTCTGAGTACGCTATGGTCAATACCACTGGATCTATGTGATATCAAGTGGTTGAGTAGATGGTGATTGGTGTAGCTTACAGTGATCTTTGCCGACTATATGTATATATAGCATGATTATGGTTGGCATATACTGTAAACTTACAGCAGTAGGCCTACTGTACAAGCATGCTAAATGGGAGATGGTTGAAGTCGAGTGGCAACTGTTGAAAAATATGGAAAATGTGTCTATATAAATATATATATATATATATATTTAAACCAATAGTATATTTGACAAAAATAAGAACAAAGTTATCAATATTTTTACTATCTCTGGTCAGGTTATGAAAATTCTGTAATTCAAATTCAGCTCAATTCATCTCTTTCGTGATCATATTTATAAAAAATCCCACCAGGTTACGAAGAATTATTGCTAGTATCGATTGGGAAGGCTCTCCACCATGGTGGTCAGATGTCCAGGATATCTTATTCCGCATCACCGACATCGTTTCATCCGCCTTTGATATGATTCTTGATAACCAATGTAAGTTAACAGCTAGTACACAGGTATTTTAATTATGCAGAACTAAATTGTTATAGTATAGCAGATGATGACAATTTCTTGAAGTTCAGTTTGTCTTACATTCCTAAAAAGTAATATATATTTGTATTCCTTGAAGAAAAAAAAAAAAAAAAAAAAAAAATCAGGTTTTTCTCTCTTTCTCTATAATCTTATTACCACATGTCATCTCGAAATTGGGTGGGTGGGGGGGGGGGGGGAGTGTATTTTCTTTCATTACTTTTGTCCATACTTCCTCTTCTGTTGAGTCTTTTAAGAAGAACCAAATCCCAGTCAATTTCAAACCTGTCTTAGTGGCCACCTGTCTATAGTAGTCGCCTATATCATTCTCTCTAGGAAGAATTGTGTGTTGTAGTACCTGTCTAGAAAGGCCACCTGTCTACAAATGCCTGTTTTCCTGTTTCCCTTAAGTGGCCTCTATAGACAGGTTTGACTAGCTCAGTTTTTAGTTAGTTTGTCTCTTTATTATTATTTTTTAAAATCTAAAACATATTGTGCAACGTTTTAGAGTTTCCACTATATACAATGCAAGTGTATGTATGTTCATATGTACAGATGAAGATGTGACCTTTAAGGATATCTTCAGTGATGGGAAGGTGATAGAAAATGTCCTGAAGGTGTTCAACGTGAGCAGGGATTCTCTCGCAGGACTTCTTAACAGTACCATCAACTACGACACAGTAAGAATCTGTATTCAGCTGTAATGGCAAAAAGCAGTGTGTCTATACCGTATGAGAGAGATAATGAGTTAGTATTTGTAGCTAATGTAGAGGAGTTATTCTTGTTCGGGAGAGGACATGAAGAAGGGGAGAGAGCTTTTTTGCGATGGCAAGGTTTTAAATTGAAGATGTCCTGAAAGTGTTCAATGTGAGCAGGGATTCTCTAATTACAGTACCATCCACTTTGACAAGGTAATAATCTGTATTTAGCTGTAATGGCAAATTATAGTTTGAACGAATGAGTATAGAAGGAGATGGAGAGGGATTATTCTTCGCCGGGAAGGGACAGGGAGAAGGGGAGAAGGAGAGAGAGGGAGAAGAAGAGAGAGGGAGAAGGGGAGAGAGGGAGAAGGGCAAGAGCTCTTCAGTGATGGGAAGTTTAGAGTTTGTCCTCAAGGTGTTCATCATTAGCATAGATAGATTCTCTTGCAGGACTTCTTAATCCTTTGCCTACTGGAACCGGGTGGTCTCTGTATTAAGTCTATGGGCATGAGTGAATTCAGAAGTCAACAGGTTAACAGTGCCAGTAACAGAGAGAAAGAGAGAGGAAGAGAGAGAAGGACAGAGAGAGAGAGAGATCAAGAGAGAGAGAGAGATCACTAGAGAGAGAGAGAGAGAGAGAGAGGGGGGGGGGGGCAGAGATCAAGAGATCAAGAGAGAAAGAGAAAGAAAGAAAAGAGTGGGAGGGATGTGATCTTGTTAAAAAAAAGGTAAATATACATGTAAAATCCCCACTATTATAATTATTATTATTATTATTATCACTATAATTATTATTATCATCATTAGTATTACTATAACTATAATTATCAATGATGATTATTATTACTTTTACTATTATTATCATTATTACCAATATGATATCATTAATTGGATGATCATTCATTTTAATCATCCTTCTTCTATGTACAGATATCAGATTTCATTGTACTTCTAAATGATCCTGATGCATACTGCCGGGGAGAGACCAGCCTTGATGGCCTTCTGACTACAGAGGTCGCTGTTGACCGATCGAAGCTCAAGGATGTGTTGTGCAAACTCCAAAATGGAACATCTTTCCTGGAAGCTCTCCTTGATGAATTCAGTGCTGGAAGAAGGATAGATGAAGTAAGTGCTTCCCTTTCTGTCATTTTGGTCTAGATTCTACTCATTCAGATAAATTGGACTCAGATCAAAGATCTTATTTAACAGAGAAAAATTTAGACCTCAAACTAATGTCCTGTATTAAACCAGAGTTAAACCGGTCTTGTTTGCCTTTGGTTAACTGAATCTCTCCATATCTCAATCAGCAGATCCTTGAGAGCTTGAAAGCAATGGATCTAGGCCCCGTTTCACAAAACTTGTCATCAGTGACAAATTACAGTTGTTGTAATAAGCTACTGTAATCCTTGCTTCTGATTGGTTATCAGCAGATTTGTCACTGATTTTTGTCACTTGTCATTGAAAAAAGGCTTTGAGAAACGGGTCCCCGGTCTAGATCTACATGTAGGACCACTGATCAAAAAGACTTGTGGGATATTCATGGACATACACCTACTGCTACTAATAATGCACCAATCTTCTCATCTCCTGATCTACAGATCCTGGATAATCCAAAAGGATTGTTTCAGCCTGTTGGACCTGGTCTAGATCTATATAACCACTGATTTTGCTTTCATCTTTTCATCTCGTAATGTACAGATCCTGGAGAATCTGCAAGGGTTGTTCCAGCCTCTTGGACCTGGCCTAGATCTAGGACCACTGATCAACCAGACCCTTGAGATCTTCGAGGACATAGACCTACTACCAGACTTCATCAAAGAGCTTCCGTCGTTGTTAACAAATCTAGACGATCCTCAGCTATCTCCTCTCATCAATCTAATCACACTCTTCCAGAACCAATCCATTGGCAACCTACAAGGAGTTCTTATCGATTTGTAAGTCTATTTTGGCTTTTTCATACAGCTTGTGTTTTTTAGAGCTAAGTCACAAAATGATCATACTCAAGGATTTTTAATTATTTAAGTTTATGTGATCCCTTCGTTTTTCAGTTTCAATTTCATGTGGTGTAGTGTAATACTTGTATTATAATTGTTACAGTGTACAGGTTATTCAAGAAGAAATATCACATGAGCAAGAAAAATATTACATCTTCATTTAGAAGTGTAAATGATGTGATGCTCGGTAGAAAAACATTTAACCCTTGAATACCCAAACCTTTTGTAAGGCCTCATTGAGTTATGATGCCACAAAACCATGGCTGTTTTTTATGATGCTATAAAGTGTAATACACTTCACATTTCTGTATCTTATAATACAGAGCTAAGTGAATACACGCTGGACCTTTGTTGAGCTGAGTTGCCATTCATTTATACATAAAAGACTGTGGTAGTTAACCGTGTCGTAACTGAACGAGTCTCCAGCTTCCAAAGAGTGAAATCTGTATAAAGACCGCTTAAGGGAGACAAGAAAAATGGTCTTCATAGGGAGAGGGTCTAAATATCCAGGTACATTTTAGTATGTTTCAATTAGAAAAAATGTTCAAAGGAAAAGAAACCAACCTCTTTATAGACAGGAGTTGTTTGTTTACAGGTGGTCGGTAAGACAGTTTTGACTATATCAATTAACAATTTTTTTTTGGCCAATTTTTTCATTGCCAGACTTGTCCAGGGGTCTACGTTGGTCGAAAGCGTGTTCACACCGTATGATTTCTGGCCGATGATACAGGGGCAGTTGGCGTATCAGATTGTCATCATGGATGCAGTAACAGCAGTCGTTAGGAATGTCATTGGTAGGTTGCAGAAACGTCTATTCAGGTTAACTCGTTTACATCTTGAGACGTTTTATGTTTTCATATCCAAATGTGTTACGTCTTATTTGTTATTTCATTATTATTGTAATTCCAATTAAGATTACCTGAAATTCTGTCAATCCTGTCACACTAGATGGCGCTCTTGTGGATGCCTTCAAGGACGACCCCTTCACTCAGGTCGGAGAGCTGTTCCTTGAGTTTGGACCAAATATCACTGAAGCAATCGTCTCGACGTTCCTTGATCCTGCAAAACTTGAAGTAATCACCACTCCTATATTTTAAGTATACACCCCATCATGCATGCTGCTAAGTTTCTGAAGAATTCTCATAGAACATCTTTTAAGAGTTATATATTGACTCTAAATGCTCTATTACATTGTTGAATGAGGCATAAAATAATGACATACATGTAAGATCCATTGCATTTCCCCGTAAATTGTATGTAAAGATTGATAACGGAAGAGTAATTGCCCATTGTCGTTGGTTCTCCACATTTATGTATTACATCTCTGTAATTGTTTCTTCTATTACTCAACTAAAATTGTTTTTTCTAAAGAGATATTTTGTTTTTCTAGTGCAATAAGCCTAATATTCCTGAACATGCTCAATTGAATTTACCCTTGAATATTTATTGATATTGCCTGAATTACTTTGATAACTAATTATCCGTGTCTTTGATACATTGTTCTAAATCTTTATATAATATTGGATGGCTTTGAGTGTGATACAAGAATATATTGCTCGAGCTATGACAATGTTTGATTAATATTGTCATAGCAAGAGCAATATATTCTTGTATCACACGAAAACAAAGACATAAAGACTGACATTGAAAAGAAAGGCAAAGAATCAAGAAAGACATTTTCATTTCACACATGTTTGCAGTGCGCTTAAAGGTATTCTTGTTCTAAACCAGGGAACTTTTTTCCTCCATTGCTTTCAGGAACTTTTGTCGATGTCCCCAGAAGAACTGCAACTAGTCTTGTGTTCAGACTTCATCGAGTATCCTCCAGGATTAGATGCGACCTATGCCAAACAGGAATTGTGCAAACTCAACCCAGACGAGCTTTATCCAAGTCACGTTGAAGTCTGGACTTCTTACTTCCCTGAAGTGGTGTATGCTGTAAGTATTGATAATTAACCCTTTGGTTGCTTTCTTCACCATCTGCAGAGTCGCTTATTTGCAACACGTGCAATTTTGCACAAAACAATTTATTTATCTTGTATCCGTTTAGTTGGAAATGTCTCATTAATTTTTCTTGAGAGCTTTAGCGGTGCAACTGTATGAAGCATGGGATAAATGATTTGATCAATTGATTTGAATTGATTAGACTCGTTCGTTCGTATCTCCTTAGATCAAGATTAATGTAAAGTTCCTAAATTAAAGTAAATTAAATTACGTTCTTCCATCGACAATGGCTGCGATGGCCATCTCATTTGCAAGGGCCAGGTCTTCATCTGATTAGACTGACATGTATGAAAAATTCACTATTTTTTAAAGGATCATTAATATGGAATAGTATACCTCAGGAAATTCAAAAATGCAAAACTCTCAATCTTTTAAAATTAAATATAAACAATTTCTGTTAAATAAGTATAATAATCAGTATTAATAGCATGGGCAAGTTTGACACCTTTTTTTACTCTGATTGTACATGACAGTATGTTTTAGTATGTTTTTTGTTTGTTTTTGTTCTGTTCTTTTGATCTTGTTTCTTTTTTTCCTGTATGTTTGTGTTTTTAGGGGTAGGCTTTCATATAACGAATCCCTCCTTTCTGCCTATCCCAAATGCTCTCATAAATGGCCATTGTTATTTCTTATCACTATCTTGTTTTTGTATCATTCCATTCTGTATTTGTATGTTTTAAATGTTTTCATGAAGAGTGTTGAATAAACTTTGAATTGAATTGAATTTAATTAATTATGTGTCCATTTAGATTGAGTTGGGCCAACTGGTGTTTACTGGAAACCTCTCATCATACCCTCCTGAAATCCTTGCCAATGCGACCTTCAAGAATGTCATCGACAAGCAGTTGGAATTCCAGGAGCTTCTTGAAATTGCTTTCCAGACAGAGATTGATATAGACGAGTTCTTCGCTCGTCTGTCGGATGGTGTTGAAGTGGCGGGAACAGCCGACGAGTGGAATGCCATGTTGAATAGACTCCTAGCAAACTCCTTACCGGTCCTACAGGAATCTGTGTAAGTTTATTAACACTTCAGTTCATTTCTTTGCCTCTTTGTATGTCACCCATTTTCCCCATGTACAGTTTTGCACAATACAGTGCGCACCTATGAATGGAAGAAGCGCTCTGTGGCAACACAATAAATTTGCAAAATCACAAATTTTTGGTCATTCTTAGCTCAATGACAACTCTTTGAACACTTAATCGTGCACTTGAATCTAAGTAGCCTCATTTTTGAGTATTTTCATGTCATGTCACTTTTCTTTTGCATCTTGAGCACCTTAGTCATTCCCTTTTTATTGTTATACAATTCTTAATTTGTCACAGACTGGTATCTTTGTTAAAAATATTTCCCTTTTGAGACATTTTGAGGTGTTTCAAGGACGGGTATGTGCATATTATAAATGTTATTAATATAATCATCATTTTTCACCCGTCTGTCTCAAACGTATGAACACTTTCCATGCTGTGACTTCACTCCGACAACAGCTTGAAAATATATGTGGAGTGCTTTACAGACACACGCTGTCATACCTCGGTATTTAACATGCAGGGCCCCTCACCAACTTTTTTTCGAAATTTTTGTTGTTGAAATTTTAGGGGTCAAGACTTAAAATTCATCACATGTGCCTGTAATACTGTTGAGCTAAAGTGATCATACGTATATGTTTTTTAAATTTTTTTATAGTTTGATTGGAGATTGGGAGTCAGTGTTGGACTTCATAGAAGACATTCCTGAGGTTCATTCCTTCATAGCAGCAGTAGCCATTCAAGACATCATCATACAAGATCTCAATGACGTACTATCACTCTTCAACTGTAAGTTCAAATCTCAAACTATGATGATGTTTTAAAAATTAATTTTATGTTTCCATAAAGAGATTTGAAATGAAATAGATAAAGAAAAGAAACAGAAAGAAAGAAATAGAAAAGAGAAGAAAGTTAATTCCTCCATAGTGACAGAAGCCATTCAAGACATCTTTATACAAGATCTCAATATCGTACTATCCATATTTAACTGTAAGTTAAATCTCAAAGCATGATATATTTGCTTCGTTTAATTTGTATCCCTACTCAAGAGCTTCAAATGAACTATGTTGACAGATTTGAGAGAGAGAAAGAGAGAGAGAGAGAAATAGAAATGAAGAAAGGCGGGGAATGGTGATGAACATTCCAGAGAGAGGGAAATATTTAAAGAAACAGAAAAAATTATGATATTTTGCAAGTGTTTGATGTTTGGAGTAAGTTTAATCTTGTGAAATAATACAATAGCTTATAGAATGTTACAAGGTGCTATTAACGAAAAATGGGGGAAAATAATGGAGAAAGTTCCTGGATTTTTCTGTTATCAAGAATATAATACTTTGAAATGGAACTATCTGGATGTTTTTGTACCCAAAGTAATTTTGACCTAAATTACATAGCTATACATTTATGATAAAGATCATTTTTAAGAGTAATTGAAGTTTGTGCTTTTGATTTATGTTGCAGCTTTGAGTAGAGGAGAAGTTCTTCCATATGGTGGAGAGACTGAGAAGCTGCTTCGAGGTATTGTCTTCTTGACTCAACAAGGAAATGCAATCCAGGCGGCCATTTTGGAAGCTTACCAAGATCCTGCTAAGGTAAGGGATTAAATGTGCTCTTTTATACACCAAGAGAGAGAGAGAGAGAGAGAGAGAGACAGAGAAGGGGAGAGAGAAGGGGGTGGGGTGGAGAAATAGAGAGGTAGAGAGAGGTAGAAAGAGAGAGGGGGCACAGAAAGAGAGAAGATCGAGGGGCCGAGAGAAAGAGATTAATCTACATTTGCCACTCCATACCCAAGAGGGAAATGGGTACCTAGTAGGACGACAGAAGCCTTTGTGTTAATAATTGCCATATGCCTGCACAGTGACTATATGGTAGGAATACTCCCTAGGGAGTGGAGATGGTGCACATCTTGCATGAATGAATCCAATGACTAGGATAATAACATCTGTAAAGTGCTTAAAGATGGTATTTTTTATTAAGTGCTGTATAAATCCAGATTATTAGTATCATAATTTTAAAACCCAGAAAGTGAAGGTACTTGTAATTTCAAAAGGAAGAAAACTGCACTCTGATATCGATGTTCACATAAATGTATAGAAAGCAGAAATGTATTTGAATAAGAACAAAACAAATTTGTGTCTGACCCCTAGGCTCTGGTACTCGGTAGTACAACAGACATCACCCTGATCTTGTGTAATGCAACTCTTCGAGACTCGCTCCTGGATCTGACATCGATCGACGTTGATGTCCTGGACTACAGTCTCTGCAGTTTGGACTTCGACCTCTTGCTTCAAGAGACTGTCGATCTGCTGCAGGTTCCGAGACTCCATTACTTGGTATGTTCATGTTTGTATCAACCAATTCAATGGTGAAATAATGTATTCCAAAGCTCCCTTTCACATAAGTGGAATTTATAGATATGTGCATATAGTGCTTTTCACAAACATACACACACACACACAAACACACACCCTCATGCATCAGCGCATTCATTCACTCACGCACTCACTCGCATCACCCACACACACCTACACCCACACCCACACCCTCATGCATCAGCGCATTCATTCACTCACGCACGCACTCGCATCACCCACACCCACCTACACCCACAACCCACACCCACCTACACCCACCCACCAACACCCACCTACACCCACCTACACCCATCCACACCCATCAACACCCACCCACACAAACCTTCGTCATTGCTAATATCGTATGAAGGGTTCAGAGAAGACCAGGAAAGTGTGCATACATTACATGTTCCTGTGTGTTATATGTCTTTTGTAATTGTACCAGGATGACTGCATTCTTTCAAGAATGTACATCATGGTTGTACTATAATGACTGTGGCATTTCATTACATTGTTTTATAGTTCACACATTTGTCATTTGAACATAATTTTTTATTCAATTACCAGTTTATCAGTCAATACTCCCCACATGAACTGAAGTACTTTTTGAGTACCGGTATGTCAGCCCCCCCAAATAGGGAGGATCTCCTTTGCTTTAAAAAGAATAGATTTGACTCGTTCCATTTAACTCCATTCCATCATTAGTTGATTAATGGAACAAATAGTGGTCTGCCACAGGCAACGTTTGTCACACTGATAGTCTACATATATCATATATTCCAAAACAACATGACATTGTAGGCTTTTGAGCCATAGTGAAGAAAGAATGATGCTTAGTCCTTGTATTTCGTAGTAAAAATGCCTTTTCTGTCCACAGATTTACTATATCAAAGACAACAGGAGTGATCCCATAGACCTGAACATGACTGCGGTGTCTATACACACCAATAAACTGGTGAAAACCATTGGAGAACTGGATGAATCCTGGCAGAATGTGATTGAACTGGTTGGGAACGGTTCTGACTGGCTCTCTCTAGTACCTCAATTTACACCACAGCCATGGATGGATACATGGGACATGATGTTTTATAATGCGTAAGAAACACATATAATTTGATTGGAATACACCTAACACCTTATAAACACACAATACTTATTCCATGTGTATGCACCTACCCCCTAATACGCACACGATGCTTATGACTGATTATTTGTCTTATAATTTAACTTTTAATGTGTCAAAGAGCCTGTTTGTACAGTACACCCGATATAACAAAATATATTACTTTAAATGGTGTTGAATCTTTCAAATAGGCCTAAATTAATAATTCCCAATTGGTATGAAAAGTTGAACCCCACAGTGCGGGGGAATATACAGGTGCTTAACGATGATGATGAGGATGATGATCTGATAAATTTGTTTTTTCCATTTCAGGACCTTGCACATTATTAAAAAGGAAGGACACATGGCTTATCAATTGTTCAATTTTCAGATGTGCGGTTACTATTTTATATTTGATTTTTTTCCCAATCGCTTATTCTTTTTGCAAACTATTTCCTTCAGTTCTTTCAGTTCCTTTGAGAATTTGACTGCAATCCTTCAAGACTTCGATCCAAGGAAGTAAGTTACTAAATCAGTTGTTTTGATTATGGTTTATTTTGTATACACATATGGTGTATATCAGCTGAACAAAGAAATATGCAGTATTTGAACTACTGATATGTGTAATACCCATTATTGTTGCCATAGCCAAAAGTCTCGCAATTTATAGATACTTCTCCTTTTACTCATTAATTTAGAAATACCAAAATCATTGATTTAAGTATTAATAAGTACATGTACTATTACATTGTTATTCAACTGTGACAAATGCAAGATTAATCTACGGATGATAAAAGGGTTGTCATGGAGCTAATTTAGACCGGAAATGCGTAATTTTGCAAAGCCATGGTTTTACAAAAAGCAATCCTTTTGTCAAGTGGTGCCTAATCATTATGTGCAAAATCGCATTCGTGGCAAACAGTGACCACGCAGAGAGGTGAAGAAGGCATCCAAAGCGTTCAAGAGCATACATATACGTTAGTAAGAGGCTCGAACATATGTTGATGTCTATTCATGCTACATGTTAATGTATCCGCATACCGTAAATCTCTGTGTATGAGAGGCACCTGTGTATAAGACACACCCCTATTTTTAATACCAAATTGAAGATAGAAATTTTTTTTTTGTTTGTTTTTGTTTGTTACTGATTGTCAAGAACTAATACGTGACTCTACTTTCCTTCTAGTCTCACACTTCTAATCGAGGACCTTGTTATAATGATGATACCTGGTGGTGAAGTGCTTCTCCACAAAGCTGCTACGATGGAGTATATCGGTATATGGGCTATGCAGGGAGCCAACAATGCGTTCAAACTACTTCAAGGTAATTCTTTCTCATGGGCACTTTTTCGGTTATTGGCCATACAAGGATGAAACATGTGCCAAAGATCACCGATGCAGTATTAAACTGTTACCTAATATTGGAAACCAGGGGGTGTTTCACAAAGATCCTGAGTTGAGCTTTACTCTAAGTTGGACTTAAAACATTATGGAGAGTCATTTGTAGCCTTAAAATGAAATATATTCAAAAGCAAAAAGGCAAGTCATCTAGACTTTTCATAAATACCACATCAAGAACATGAAATCTCCTTGATAATAGAAAATATGAATGATTTGAATCAACATTTTATGCCTTTAAAATAATTTGTACAATATATTTGCAAAGATGCTGACGGCTTTCCATAACTGTCAAGTCCAAACTTAGAGTTAAGTTTAACTTAGGATCTTTGTGAAACACCCCCCCCTGGTGATCCAGGTATTAGCCTATAGGAATGAGAGAATTCGGGAGTCAAAAGTCAAAGATCGATTTTGGTGGGATGGAATTTATTCAAGAATTTGTTTATATGGACTTTGCACCAAATTTAGGATTCCCGAAATGAAAATGAATTAATAAAAATGAATTTTTCCTCATTCGTTTTGCATAATATATTCTAGATTTTCTAAGCTAGTCATGACCAGCATAGCAAAAGATAAATCCTACCGTTGTGCGAGGATAGAACCCTGTTGAATAAGTTATACCGTAAATCTCTGTGTATAAGATGCACCTTTATCCCGCCGAAAAAAAATGAAAGTTGAGGTGCGTCTTATACATAAAAAAAGAAGAAAAGAAGTGTCGATTTTAATGTGCTCCTCCACCTGACAATGTCTCCCAACTCAACGGTGTGTTGACTCATCACTCGGAAACTAGAACAACACTACCTGTAAGGCCGGATTGCTGTTGGACTTAAAGGAAATTTGTCTGTTATCTTTAGTTTTAAAAACAACATTGTTACTTTTATTTGTGACAAGTTCACAAGCACAAATCAGCGCCTTCAACTGCACCTCGCAGTAAAATAAAGGCCCTTATTTTGTTTTATGTTTGCCCCCAAAATAGGGGTGCGTAAGTCTTATACACAGAGATTTACGGTACTAAGAGCCTCTGAAACACCTGCAGGTGGATATACTAGCATTCAGAGACATCACCCTTTTTTCATATTGATCTGATTTTTGACTTACTGATTGTTATGAGTCAATGGCAAACCGATGATGAGGGAACATAGGAGCCACACTATGTTTGTTACCCGGATCAAGCACCATCATCATTATCATTAATGTATATGATATGATATACAGTCAAACCTGTCTTAGTGGCCAACTCTCTATAAAGGCCTCAGTTCTATTGTGGTCATGCATACTGTCTCTCCTGAGAAAGGAACATGTGTTACATAACCTGTCCAAAAAGGCCACCTGTCTACAGTGGCAAATTTCTATGTTTCCCTTGAGTTAAAGGGGGTGTAGCATGGCAAATACTGGTCAAAGCCATCTACGACTTCTTTTGGACAACTGCACGTAAACGAATGAACTTGATTATAACGGTCAGCGTGCGCTAGCGTTTTGCGAAACAGACCAAAGTTCTCTGCACGCTTTGGTTTCACGTATATTCACACACGTGAATACTGCGGTTGAGTCGTCCGAAGTCATATTATACCCGATTGGCCTGGAGTCAGGTTATTGGAAAGACACACAGTCTTGTCATGCTACACCCCCTATAAATGTTGAATGGTTCTGTTTTTCTAGGAGTGAGTGAAGGAATGATCATCCCAGACTTCCAGGGAACAGCAGTGGCTAAGTTCATTGAAGCTCTCTTAGAGGTGGATCTTATCCAACTGAGCAACGCTCTCTCTGACCCAGAAGTAGTGAGTCTTCCAGCAATTGCTGATGTAACAATTTTAATGAGTTTTTTTGGAAGGAAAATACCAAGTGGTATGTTGTCATTCCACTGGCAGAGGTCATAAGTGCTCTGTTCAACTCTTATGTTAAGCAGGAGGCCATTGCATTTAATGCCCATAACTTCAAAAATATGTGCTTATTTGATACACAACTATTTAAACAGCATAGTTACAATCCATTACTCCTTTTTTTATTACTTGATTAAGAGAGAAATCCCTGTCATGTTTTACATAATGGTATTATAAACATGTATAGAGCACTTAAAACTTTAAAACAAGTTATCGTTAATGTGCTGTGTGGCATGTGCATATATGCTAACATACTTTTACCAGTGGCACACCAAATTTGTCTGAATAGTTTTAATGGTGAATTGGCTCATTTTGGCAGCATTAGAATATCACTTGAGGTAACTTTTAACTGCTATTAGATAAGTGTTTCTAAAAAAGTTTATCCGTGTCTACAGTGGTAAATCATCTATAAGTTTTTATTTTTAATTTTTTATAGATTTATGTGAAAAAGTTGCATAAATGATTAAAAATATAATAGAAGTTCGACCAAAAACCGTATTTGCTGAAGATTGCTCATGAAGTGAGTGAAACTTAAATATGAATCTAGTGAATTTATAGGATGTTTCTCTGTATGCTTTGACTGCTCTTTTATCTTTACATGTATAATTCCTTTTTCCTCTTCCTTCTCTTCTCTTTCTATCTCTCTCTCTTTCTTTCTTTTTACAACAGATTACTGTGGTGTCACGAGTTGGTGTTCTACCATTCTTCTGCAATGCCACAATACGTGATGTCATTTTGGACTTACCTGGAAAAGGGATCGACACCAGTCTTTTTGATAGAACCATATGTACTGTTGAGTGGAACATAGCTGCTGAGGAGCTTTATGCATTTCTCTATGGACCTCAAGTTGAGCAATTGGTGAGCAGGCAAATTGGCTCAGTAGTTAAAACATTTGCCTTTCGAATCAAAGATCATGGGTCCGAATTCAACCCAGGTTGATGACTAAAGCCTGTGTTGTGCGTGTATTTCCCCTCTCCTGTTTCATAGAAGCAGGATAGGTCACAGTGGAAAACAGCAGTGGCTTTATTATTTCACACTGCAATTTATGCATATCGACAATGATTCAGTACTTTTCTCGTGCTGTTAAGCAATATCTTTTTTTTAAACAGCTATATGACTTTAGAAACACTAGTGCCCCAGAAAAAAAAAGAAAAAAAAAGAAAGATATAATAACACATGCAGCCTTCGGACATTGATTGGAATTACGGTACTAACAGAGGTGTCGAAGTTGAGTGGTTTAATCATTTGGCTAGAAATGCAAAGGTTGTGAATTGGATCCCCGACACGGCACTACTGTCCTTTGGTAAGACATTAATCTACATTTCCCACTCCATACCTAGGAAAAAAATAGGGGGGGGGGGCCCTGGTGGATGACGAAAGCCTTTGTGATAGAAATTGCCATATGCCCTCATGGTGACCATATGGTAGGTATACTCATCAGGGAGTGGAAATTGAGCACATTTTGTGTGTGCATGAATCTGATGACCAGGGCAATAATAATAATATGCTGTTCTTGTATAGCACATATCACATTATGATATAACATCTCTATGCACTTCCAGAGCACTTTGGATAGCAATTATCTGTAAAGTGCTTAGAGACTGTATTCTGTACTAAGCACTTTATAAATCAAGACTATTTATTGTTATTAAACAATCCTTTTCTTTTTACAGCTACAAGAGTTTACCAATGCTTCCAACGGATCATTGAAGCCCTCAGACATAGACTGGAATACAGGGGCAGCCATCTTGGATATCTTCATCAAGAATTTGGCCAACGTCACTGGGATCGTGCAGGGTTTAGGAGAACAGTTGGACATCCAGGGGACATTGGCGTACTTCGAGAAGCAGTGGATTACCAATTTGATTGGTGTCTACCCAACCAATGAAACAGAGTAAGAATTTTGTTATTTTCTTACATATGCGCAGAAGTGTTGGACATGAGCAAAACACAAGAAACTGATTGTCTTGTGATTTTTGTTATTGCCCTTCCCCTGCCCCTTCCCCTTCCCCACTCAATCTGTACCCCACGTCCCCAATGTCATCCTCTTTCATTGATATCTGTTTGGAAGACCTTTTTTTCCAAACCAGTTTCCATTGGAAAGGGGTTGAATCTGCCCCCTCCAGCAGAAGGAGCACCAATGATGCAGGCTTCTTAGGGATACTTAATTTTTGGGAAGGATATTCCAATTTTGAAAATGGGATCATCATTTTAAACAAAAGGCGAATATAAGGAGTACAGAGAAGAGCAATGGGGCGTTGTGGCATGCGCCTATAATCCAGCTAACAATGGAAGTTACAAACTGATTCAGCCGAGGACGCAGGTTCGAAACTGAGTCTCGTCTTTCGGATGGTGACGTTAAGGTCCGTCCCCAGACGTAAAAAAGTATATCTGATTGACACACGTCTGTAAAAACCCAAATACACACACACACGCAATTGAGAAACTTTCATGTTAGGTTTGATGGTTTGTTTTTTATCTTAACGTTAAGAAAACACGTGTATGCTTGTAAGTAAGTAATCACAGGATTGATGGATGGCTTTCAGTCCTTTAAGAGGGACTTGGTAATGTGGATTGACCCCTTACTAAAGGCCACAAGCACAACTCCTTGGTTTCAAACCATGCCCCTCCCTCTGCTCTATCATTGATCCGTCAGGCCTCCAGCTCTTACTGATTTTGATGGTTGATTTTTTTTCTTCATCTTTCAGCATTTTAGATGTTCTGGCCCGGCAGCTTAGCATGGTCTGGATGCAGCTGGATGATTCTCTTGGTGATATTCCTGGATGGGATCAGTATAGGACAAACGTCTACATCATTCTCTCATCCATTGAACAGATTACCAGTGGGAACGGAACTACAGGTGAGTTCTTATCCAACGATTATATCGTTCAATCAACCATTGAAGAGATTACCAGTGTGAATGGGACTACAGGCGAGTTCTTATCCAACATTTATATTATTCTATCAATCATCGAAAACAACAGTAGTATGAATGCAATAGTGAGTGACTTCATATCTGACACTGACATTCTTTTATCAGCCATTGAACAGTATGGACACAACCAAAAGTGAGTTCATATCCAACATTTATATTATTCATTCAGTCATTGAACAGATTAGCAGTGTGAATGTAACTGCCGGAAATCTTTCAATCTAACCTAGACAGTTTTATAAAAGAACACCAATTGAGAGCTCTGAATATGAACAGTAGTAACAATTTCGTGTGATAGATAATGGTGATAATGGTATATTATTTTCATCTGCATAGAATGTCTTCAAGCTCACTAAATTATTTTGTTTGGTATGTTGTTTATTTATATTCACAGGGGTAGAACCGTTTACTTTGGCCAGTATTGTTCCCAATGTAACAGAGCTGGTCATCATATTGAGGGAGATACCAAACCTTGGTGATGATATCATATACCAGCTCCTCTATGCACCCATTGATCCTGTGATGGTGAGTTTGGTTGTCAGTTTTGACCGGAGGAGAGAGTAGATGAGGATTAGGAATAGATGATGGTCGTGATGATGATGATGATGATGATGATGATAATAATGATGTTCTAGTGATGATATCATATACCAGCTCCTCTATGCACCCATTGATCCTGTGATAGTGAGTTTGGTTGTCAGCTTCCACCGGAGAATGGAGTAGATGAGGATTAGGAATAGATGATGGTGGTGATGATGATGATGGTGATGATGGTGAAGATGATGGTGATGATGATGATGGTGATGATGATGGTGATGATGATGATGATGATGATGGTGATGATGATGATGATGATGATGGTGGTGATGATGATGGTGATGGTGATGATGATGATGATGAAGATGATGGTGGTGATGATGATGATGGTGATGGTGATGATGATGATAATGATGATGGTGATGATGATGATGATGATGGTGATGATGATGATGATGATGACTATGATGATGGATATGATGATGAAGATTATGACGAAAACGAATATGACGATGATAATGTTGATGATGACGATCTTTATGATGATTATAATGCTGAAGAGATTATGATAAAAGAGATGTTGGTGATGATGGTGATGGTGGTTGTGATCATTTTGTTGGCGATGCTGATGGTGGTGGTAAAGGTTTTGATGATGATGTAGTTGCTCCTTACCAGAAAGTTTCCAGTGATATGTTTGTTGTCGCAAATAAAAGTTCTTATAATTTTTTTCAATACAGCTGATTGAATTGGCATCTTCAAACAGTTGGAATGAGACCCTTTGCAATGCAGATCTTTTGAGCGGCATCTTCATCGAACCAGCGGGACTGAACTTGACGCAGCTCCAGGGGGCGCTATGCAACATTGACTTTGAAGCTCTGATTGGTCAGTTGTCACAGGGAGTAGGCATTGAACATCTTATTTCCATGGTAAGCTGGGAAAATCATTTCGCGCCAGAAAGGCATTAACTCATGAGCATTAAAGTGACTCGGTAACATTGCCTCAGGTTCTGAAACAAAATCCTGGATTTAGCTCATGCTGCAATCATAATTATAAACCTTTAAGTCAGTCAAGAATTCAATGATCTATACAAGCCAATCACCTGTCGGATTATCAAGATATTTATGATTGGAAATCGCAATTTCATTTTTCGTTTTCCTCACAGTTTTGTATAACAATACAGTCTATTGGGAAAAATGAGTATGGTAAAACCGTCACTCAAAGAATTTTATTTTTTTGAGGCACTTCATGATCATTTTGAAGCGCAATTTGTTAAGGGCTTCAATATTACACCATATCACAGACACTGATAACACGTAGGGCCATGCATCTCAGATATAATATTATTAAACGATGCCTTTAAAACAGAATTAACACCTACTGACTCTGAACATATGACAATTGAAAGGATGAAGCTTAGGATACTGAAAAAAGATCTGTAAAACACATATTATCCTCATGAACTGTTCATAGTTTCCCTCTTTTGCCCACATATAACTGATAAGGTACATGCAGATCTATGTTAAAGGATTTGAGTGAAAGGTCCCTCTGGTTCCTTAGACAAATGATATGAGATTAATGCCCATTTATCACTTAATACTTTCCACCCCCAGATAATTGATCAGATCACTAGCTTCAATGGAGGCGATGATTTTGGCATTGGTGATTATGATCCGGCCCAGTGGGCTTCCAGACTCGAGCAGCTTATTCAGTCATATGACCTACAGAATGTACAGGGGTAAGTTCATTTTCACTTTGTTTAATATCGTCTTTTTTGATAATAATGACACTAATTGGGTCACATATTCAAAAGTACCATGCTTGATTAGCAATCATGCCATTTTCTGGTTCCTTTTATCCTTTTATGTTATTGTATAAAACTGTTTTTACCTATTGTTAGTGTTTATTATTGCATAATAAAATTCAAGCTCAGTTCAGTTCAGTTCAATAATAGTTATTCTAGTGTTCTGTTCTTGTAGGTGCATATCACATTTTATACTCACAATTTATATAACTCACTTCTACATGTAGATCCTAATCAAAGGATTGGTCAAACGATGCAACGTGTGATTGCTGAGACTTTCCCATGTTTTTTTTTTCAGGAAAAAGCGTTCAATAGTTTCCAGTACTATCCAACAATTTTTATGTACGTATTTTACAGCACTGCGCTTACCTTAGTGCTGTGTTAGTGCTATTATACTGTTTGTGGGCCTATGCTTGCGCAGCACTGCACATAAACACATATCGAGGTAAGTGTTCTTATCTCTGTGTGCACGCTAAAAGTAAGCATATTAAACTTAGATTTATTTGTCAGCGGTAATCTTGAAAACAATCATGAAATTGATTCTTTGATTTGATTTGATTTGAGTTGATAATTTCAAGGTTCATCCAATCACAGGCAGAGAGTTCCTGAGGATTTATGAATACACTGACAGCCTGCTTGAAGATGTTATTTTAATGATTTGGTGTGATTTGTTGATTAATTTGCTTTGATTTGATTTGTGCTAAAGGTTCATCCAATCATTGGCTAGTGAGTTCATGCTGATCTATGAAGACATTGAAGCCCAGCTGGTGAATGTGACAGGTTGGATGGAATTCAAAGCCGATCTTACTATTCTCATGACCGTGCTCAAGTACACAACACCATTCCTAGGCAATGGGACCAGTGGTAAGCTGAAGATTGTGATATAGTTCTCTTGTCTGTTACACTGTGACCCACATGGCTGTCCAAACATTACATGTATCATTCCGATCATAGCTGAGCGGCCAAATATAAAGCACTCTAGCATATTGGTAGTTTTATACCTCGGTGAGGGGGTAAATGTTAAAGCCTGTCTGCACTAGTTTGGCCCGGGGGGATTAGACCTCCATGCAAGGTCACTGACAGGTTATCTTATCTTATCAAATCAGCTCTCAATTAACATAAGAAAAAAGGGATCATGGGTGACGAACAGGACCGATTAGGCATTGTTTGCTACTTAGAGGGCACAAGTAGCTATAAGTAGTGCAATGGGGCTCTAATTAATTGTATTCACATATTTGATGCAGTATCTGTCTTAGAAACAATTAGGTATGATATTTGCTGATAATGGAGGTTATTGGTGTCTTGAGTATGCACATTTCCCCCTTTCTCTCAGCAGGTGATGTGCCCATCTCTCTGTCAATGCTGGTCCCTAACGCCACAGCGCTAGAGTTCCTCCTGGCTCAGCACACGCCCTTCAGTCGTGACCTCATCGATGCTTTCATCTACACTCCAATCAACCCAACAAAAGTGAGTATATCAATGATTAATAATGATAATAATGACGATGATACCGATGATGCTGATGGTTGGGGTGATGGTGATGATGATGATGGTGATGGTGATGGTGATGATGATGGTGAGGATGATTATGATGATGATGATAATGATGGTGATGGTGATGGTGATGGTGATGGTGATGGTGATGGTGATGGTGGTGGTGGTGGTGGTGGTGGTGATGGTGGTGGTGATGGTGGTTATGATGGTGGTTATGATGATTGTGGTGATAATGGTAGTGATGATGGTGAGGATGATGATGGTGATGATGGTGAGGATGATGATGGTGATGATGATGATGATGATGATGATGATGATGGTGATGATGGTGAGGATGATGATGGTGATGATGGTGAGGATGATGATGGTGATGATGATGATGATGATGATGATGATGATAATGGTGATTTTGATGATGGCAGTGATGATGATAGTGCTGGTGATGATGATGATGTCGATGATGGCGATGATGAGGATGATGATGTCGATGATGGCGATGATGAGGATGATGAAGGACACTCCCTTTAGTCCTGACATCATCAATATTTTCATCTACACTCCTATAACATTTGTAAGGTGCTAAATCCACTAGATAGCAAATTCTCATGGCGCACTTATTGAACCCCCCCCCCCCCAAAAAAAAAGAGAAAAGAAAAAGAGATCACATAAAAGCATCTACATTATAAACAAAGGAACACAAGTAAGATAAAACATGCAAAAATGAATGAACAATTTATTACATGTATATGCCAAATTAAACACATATGTTTTTAAGATAAAAAATGTATTCCTTTTATGTTGTAGCTCATTGAGCTGGCTATATCAGACAACTGGAACACGACTCTATGCACTGAAGAGGGTCTGAGGATGCTGTTTGTCTTGCCGGAGGGACTGAACGTGACGAACCTACAGGGGGCGCTGTGCAGTGTGGATTTTCAGAAAACCCTGACGGAATTGCTGGAAAATGGTGCAATTGAGAACATTATTTCTGTGGTAAGTAAGAGATAGACATGAAGATATGTTCTGGCATCTGGCATTAAATCCACAAGACTTTTAGTTTTCTTTTCCCTTTAAAGCCCCACTGCACTAATTATAGCTACTTGCGCTCTTTCTATATAGTAAACAATGCCTAAGCAGTGACCGTTGGTCCCCCATGGTCCCCTTTTTCTTATGATAATTGAGAATTGATTTGATGAGATATCCAACTGTCAGTTACCATGCAGGGAGGTCTAATATCTTTCGGCCAAACTAGAGCAGATAGGCTTTTAAATAAAAATAATAAAAAAGGGATTGATTGTAAATCATCAACCAACTTTATGTTATTAAGCCATTGTCTATATGTCTAAAGGATCCTGGAGGTTCCTGTGTTAAGCCTGTGGAAAGGATAAAGCCCGGCCCTCCACTCAGTGTTATTTAGGGTACACATATGCATGTTCCCTCCTTTTGAAAACACCCCCTAAATCCGGCGTGTAAAGTCAATAGGGCCAGATTTTTGTGTACTACGAGCCGGACTTTGGTGCGTGAAAAGTACCTCTTTACCGGACATTTTGGTAACACGCATGGTATCCCTCCACAGGTTAAAATTTAGTGCCAGTTTAAATTCTGGCTGTGCCACATTTTGAAAACTTTGAAAAGCTTATATAGCATTTTGTAACACTGATTCTATAATGTTGATTCAAATCCTGAATTTAATCAAAATGTTGTACCTGAGTATATGTATCAAATTACAGAGCCTCAATCAAAACATGTGGGACTTAAGATGAGGAAAGTGTCGACTAAAGTTCCATGTACAGTCAAACCTGTCTATATCGACCACCCAAGGGAATCACAAAAAGTGGTCTTTGTAGACAGGTTCCTTTAGTACATGTTTCAATGAGAAACCATTTTCAAGGGAAACAAAAAACTGTGGTCTTTGTAGACAGGTGGTCACTAAAGCAGGTTTGACTGTATAAATATCTTTTCCATGTCTATTCCATGCTATTTTTATTCTAAACATTCTCTTTAGATTATTGACCAGTTGTACCTGAGTATCATACCAGAGCTCACTCTTCCAGACTTTGATTTGACAGCCTTGACAGACCTCATCCCCAGGATAATCTCTGGGGTACGAACCGGAAACATGCAGAACATTGGCCAGTACTTTGAAAGGTTCGAGGAATACTCTCATTTTTTTCAAAGTTGATTATCTTGATGAATTTTTAATGCACATTTGTTTAGATAATCGGATGGCATTGTTTAATGCACTGACAAGAAGTATGCCATTGGTGTTGGAGGTAGGTCTTCTCTCCCTTCTGTGCCATTGGCGGCAAATCCAGCCCAAACATTACAATCATCATCTTTAAAAGATCATTTGTCATAAATTTGTTTGCCTAGAAACTCAAATGTGTATGTATCCTTCAATTTGTTCCCACGCAAGAGATTTTATCCCAATGTCAAGAATTAAACATAGAATGATCATTCACAATTTGACTCTTGAAAGTCTGTGTACCGGTTCAATCTGATTTGCCAGTCATAGTTCCAAATCTTATGATTCATTTCAATAACTGCCCTTCCTTATCATGATGCTACAATCTCTGCGATTTTCTTGAACCAGCTTAAAGATGTATAGAGCTTTTCACGTTCAAGTTAAGCTTCTAAGTCTTTTATATGAATCAAGGTTTGTTTTATGTCCCCGCAAAAAAGAAACTAGATTTCAGCTGTAGAATATTTTCTTTATTTGTATTTTCTGTAAAAACTGATAAGTATTTGATGCTGGCATTAAGCTTAATTTTTTGTGTGATTTATAATTCTCATTTTTATCATATAGCTTGAACAGCCTAACAGTGATGTTTTCCAATGAAACATGGTACCAAGATACCATCAGACAGCTCCAGTTTATGGATTTCATCACAAAGACATTCGCAGATAAAATCATAATGCTGGAAGGTAAGATTGCTCTACTTTTTACACTTGGGAAACTTAAAAAAGGGATGAATATGAACGTCTCTGTGAATAAGAACATAAGCTGGAGAAGTTTGACATGATTATTATTTTTCCCTCAGAAGTTAGGAGGCTCTGTTCAATTATGTTATGTAAATTAAATCAAGAACAAATTCTGCATTATTCCCTGAGACCAATATGCTAAAGATTTTTTTCTTTCCGATCCACTTTTTTTCCTATTCATGCCATGTTGGTACCACAATTATGGGCTGTATATAGTAAAATTATTGTTCATATTTTTGTAATCCATTCATTTCTCATTTTGGGTGTCAATAAGAAATATTGTACTGAGTTATTTGATAAGACAGTCGCTAATAAGTTGCGCTTAACATCAACTGTTCATAAGACGGAACCCAGGACTATATTATTGTAGTACATTGCATGTTAAAGATACAAAATGGAATGAAAAAAGGATCAAACACATTTTTCCCTCGAGGTTTTCTGTAAATTGCAACATGCCACTATCCTTCTGAACTTGATTGTACTCAGGTTGGTAGTCACTCTTACTTGAGCATAAAGGTGTAGTGTCAGATCTTAAAAGCAGCATGACAGTGCAATAGAAACGGTTAATTTGTTTCGCTTTGGTTATTCAGGCCGCTCCATTACTTTCCCTGAACTTGGTAACCTGCTGGCAAACTCCTCTGAGATTCAACGGATTCTTCTTGATGATTACAGCGTGAGCTTTGGCATTGTGGAAGCGATGATGACCCTCAGCCTTCAACCTGAGAAGGTAAATTGATTCGTTTTGTTAATTCAATTATCAGCGCCATGTTTCATAGAATTCGTTATCAATAACGAATGCCAAAATGCTTTGATAAATTTGCTCTCAGCCAATCAGATGCAATGATGACCCTCGGCCTTCAACCTGAGAAGGTAAATTGATTCCTTTTGTTAATTCAATCATCAGCGCCCTGTTTCATAGAACTTGTTATCAATAACAAATGCTAAAATGCTATGATAAATTTGCTCTCAGCCAATCAGATGCCAAGGTTTCAGTAGCTTATAACAGTTATTGTAACTTGTTATTGATATCAGGTTTCATGAAACAGGGCCCAGGTTTGTTTAAATCATTAGAAATCAGTTCTCTGACCTACCCACTTTGGGATGCTATGTATGCTGTCAACTATTGATTTATTATCTTTTGCATATTCTTAATGCATTTATCACCAGTTGAGAGTAGGATGCGCTGGATGTTGTGTCAGACTTTTATGCAGGTCTTTCTTTGTTATGAATACCCTAGATAGTTGAAAAAAACATGTTAAAAAGCAAGCCATCCAGGCATTACATCATGGCTTGTTTTGTGAACCGACGTATGCATATAGGGTTATGTATAGGAGATTCTTGGTTTGCTCAACCAAATAATGACTGCTAAGAAAGCATTTATATGCTGTTTTGTTTTTGTTTCACAAGTGCGGCTCAAGCATTTAGAATTCAAGTTGAATCAGCGCCTTATACATATCACATATATCATTTTTATTATTTAATGTGCTTTTATTCTTTTACAGTTGATATCGTTTTTCAACATGTCGAACCCCTTCGTCACGCTGTGTGCTACTGGCCAGTTCTCATCGTTCTTCTACTCGCCTCTCAATCCTGAGTTTGACATCAGCAGCCTCGAGCAGGCCGTTTGTAAGATTGACTTTGAACAACTGGTGATGGAATTCAAAGATCTTGTGTCTTTCGATGAAATTCTGGAACAGGTAAAATAATATACAAACGTATTGTCTCTTTGGAGACAGAAGGGCATTTAACATGTCAAACAATTTAACGCCCATCTGGCTCTTTTTGCACCTTTGTATTTTCAGATCCAACTCTTTGCCTCCACTCGACAAACTGCTTTCCTTTAACTGGACCTGAAATATGTAATAAATGAAAGATTAAACCAGGCCATCTCACAGCTAATCATGAATCCTTTAAAGCCCCACTGCACTACTTGTAGCTACTTTCTCCTTCTATATAGAAAACAATGCGTAAGAGGTGCCCGTTGGTCCCGTATGATCCTCTTTTTCTTTAATATGTTATTTGAGAGCTGAGTTGATAAGATAACCACTAGTCAGTGACCAGCAGGGTGGTCTAATCCCTCCTGGCGAAACTAGTATGGACGGTTTTTAACACTCATAAATTCACTTACAATTATCAAATGTTGTGCCTTTGCAATTACAGATCCAACTCTCGGCCTCCACTAACCAAACTGGTCCCTATAACTGGACAGCGGCCTATGTAACAGACGAGAGGTTGACCCAGGCCATATCACAGCTGACCGTGAACCCTCCACAGCTGACCTTGGATGAGGTCTGGGTCAACAAAACTCTGGAAACATTGATTAGTTTGGGTGACCGACTGAACAAGGCCCAGGAGAGGCTCAGTGGAGTTTCACCTTCAGATATATCAAGGTAAGAACTATTTGAATTTATCAAACATCTCTTTATTGATCAAACTTGCACAGAAAGATTAGACATCATAGCTCAAGACAATATCAAACTACAGGTAGATACAGGGCTTTAACAAATGACATCTTGGACAGCATAAAGAACATATGGTTATAGTAAAAAAAAAACTTCTTGAACAAAGCAATACCATATGAATTACATTTATCATGGTGCAGTGTATTAGTCATACACTAAAGGAGAGGCTTGTCAAGGTAATATATCATTTATTTGGAGTTAGAAGGGCATTAAATCTGTGTTAAAAGTGTATGAGTTAATATCCTTTTAGCTGTAAACAGATGATATATACCTAGATTCTAGGCAAGGATTAAAAAATCGATATTAAACCTTAGATATTAATCCTCATGGAGAGGCTTATTGGAGCAGTATCTTTGAATCTACCAAATTATGACAAAAGATATTAGCAATTGTATGACAGGCTTGTCAAGGAAATTCCTTGGATCTACCAAGTTCTCTGTATGAATCAAAGTCATGAATTCTGGCTTCTAGACGCTTTTTGAGCAAACCTTAGAATGGATTTGTATATATTCTGCTTAAAATAAAGACGTATGTCATTTCCCAAATGTGATAATAATGATTCAGTTGCTTTTTCAGTAAAACCTAAGTGTTTTTTCTCCAGTTCCTTTGATAGTCTAGCTGAGATTCTAGAGCAAGGCATTATGGCCAACCAGTCCTGGGCGATCGAGATGGCTTCTTCTCTCAGGACAATAAATGGTGTGCTGGGATACACCAACAACAAACTCTGGCCGCTTCCAGGTATACTCTTTAAGGCTTGTTGTTCAGATATGTTGCACAGACAATTTCAGTAGCTTATTACAGGTATTGTAACTTGTTAGTGATAACATGTTTTATGAAACAGGGCCTAGGTTGACTTTTTATTAACCAAATGTCTGCAGGACCATAGTTGTCATTTTGTTAGTCCTATAGGGATATTGGAATTCAGTATTTAATGGTTAAACAAAGGGAAATGAAAAAATTTCAATTGCCAACTAGTTGACATGGCAAATTTATTCAACTTGGTGAAAGTGGTGGTTATTTTACCTTTCTGCTAAGATAGCATAAACGCTTGTTAGTAAGCAACCAGAGGACCGACGGCTTTAGGTCCTCTCTGAGAGACCTGGTAATGAGGATTAATGCCTTACCAAAGGGCACTAGCACATCGCCTTGTTTTTCGAACCTGGGTTGCCGGATTACGAGACCACTGCTCTACAAACTGAGCTATCGCGCCTCCTTATTCATATAACAGCTTTGATTGAATGTTTGTGATTTCTATCTTGAAGGGAGGAACATCACACTGCAGGACCTGCTGCCACCTGACATCGCTACCTACATTGAATCAACCTCTGACCTCACCCCAGATGTCATAGCATTGCTTCTCCATTCGTCCGTCAATACTGCTTCAGTAAGTCGAGGGTTCAGTGACACAATGACGTAACTCCATATTTTGCCAAACGAGTATCTGATATTAAAAAATGTTCAGAAAATTGTGGGCTTTCCAGGAAACACATAGACTTAACTCCACCCAATACCCAATTGAAGTCAATGGCTAGTGAAACATAGACTTAACTCCTGAAGGCCCAAGTGGACTTCTATCTTTAAACCACTTTTTCTCAAAACGAAAATGGAGTTAGGCCTTTGTGTCACTGACCCTTCAAAGTCTTCTTTGTATTGTGTTTCTTGTGGAGGTGTCGTGGTACGGTGGTTCATTCACTTGACTCTCAATCCAAGGGTTGCTGGTTCAAATCTCAGCCCGGCACTAATGTCCTTTGGCAAGAACATTAATCCATGTTTAGCACTCTCCGACCAGGTGTAAATGGGTACCTGGCAATCGCTGGGATAATAATTATTGCAGGGCCTTTACGAAGAATAGCATTGAAGCTGATGAGGCTTCACTAGGTAAATAATAATATTATTATTATTATAATTATTATACTAAATTATGCAGTTAATACTAATTGAATACTCTGGGTTTCAGCAAACCTGTAGGCCTATCAAGAAATAGCCCCTCGTCTGTCGGAGAGTTTTCAGGTGAGGGAAAAGTGAGAAAATGACTTTACCATATGGGGAAATGTGAGGCATTACATAAAACTGAGTTAATCCTGGTGATTTCCAACACATGTTATTGGGTAAAGACACACGGAACGGTGTCAAATTCCAAATGAGAGCAAACTTCTATGTGTCTTTAACTCCACAGTTGCTTGTTGCTAATGCTACTTGGTTAGACGCGCTATGCTCGGATGCTCAAAGCCTTCCCTTGATGCTTCAGCTGCCTCCCGATGTGGACGTAGATGCGGCCCATCAAGCTATATGCTATATAGACTATGATCAATGGACTGATTCTTACGAGCAGGAGATACAGAGTATTCTGATTGAGGTAAGAATATGCAATAGGGAAAATTGTGGAAAGGAGGAGTAGGGGAAGAAGGAGAAAACTTTGGATGGACAGTCTGCTGAAATTGTTAGAAGAGAAAGGAGGGAAAAGCTGGGAGGGGTGCTAATAGAGAAGGCTAGGACCCGAGGGTTGTGGAACAGCATGATCGTCAAAGTAAATTGATATGGCACTTAAAGAGAGAGAGAGAAGATTATGTGTAAAGTCTCGTTTAGATATCAAGTGGTAAACCACCACAAAAACTAACGCAGCAGGTTTTTATGGTAAATTAATGGGGAGTGCATGCGACAAAATCCTACGCATATTCACTTACACATGTACCTTGTGTTAAAAGATTCATAAATGTGAAGTGTTTGCACTTTTATACGTCATGACATAAAAACATAGTAGTTTTGCTGAGTCATATCTGTATGAGGTGTTGTGGTCTAGTGATATGTCTCCCTGCTAGTACATGGTTCATATCCCTGTCCTTAAAGACTTTGATGTAGACTTTGTATCAATGGACTGTAGCCTACGTGCAGAAGATACAGAGTATCTTGATAGAGATGAGATTATGTGTAAAGGCTTGTTGAGATATGACTGGTAAACCATTTGAGTAGTGCCAAAAGGGAGAAGGCACTTAGAAAAAAAGAAAAAAAATTAATGATATTTTCATAATGACAAACAGGAGAGTTATCCGCAACTACGCCACAAACCACTGACCAAACTGTCGAATTTAGATTTGCATTCAGGTTTTGTGTGAGGATGCTAATGGAAATATACAGCTTTTACTTTATTTGCCCTTAAATCTTATGAAAACTAGAGCGCTAACCATCATAAATATTTTAAGATTCATGAAATACTGCATGTAAGCTTCTTTAAACTAGTGTTTGAAATCAACTGCCGAGATAACCCAGCTGTTTGGATACGTGTCGTTATGGGTACACATGATACCTCAGCACAATATAAAGTATATTGGGGTTTATATCTTTCAGGTTGAGAGCGGGAAAGAAGTGAACTTCACATCTATCACAGAGAACTTCCAGAAACTATCCCTTGGTATCCAGACCCTCATCGAGAATCCACCGACGCTGCTCAAGTACAACGAAGAATGGTTCCAGAGTATCATCCTACGAACCGGGGCTATTCTTCAGACCACCTTTAACGACACCCGGTTCTAGTAAGAATTATTCACGGTTGATCTCTATTTCTTTGTCGCTTTATTTTCCCTTTTCTATTAGTCTTGATGAAATACTTCAGGATAAATATGCCTGTGCGATACACAGAGATAAAACTACACATTGTTTTTACACAACGCTGTATGAGGTACACATATATGTATATTTCTTCATCAACATTCAACAAAGTGATTTCTTTTTAATGTATGAACAAACAAACAAGAGATTCTTGCAAGCAAAATAAAAAAGTTGCCAATTTCAGCATGATCTCAGCTTTCTTACCCTTGATTTTCTTCCGAAATTTCAGGGACCCGTTATGTCTTGTTTTATTTTTAAACCTATAAGATTTTAGAGAGGATTTCCCTCTTGATATTTTTTTTGCGCTCATAATTTTGTAGGTACTTCAGCAACATGTAGTTGTATGAAAACACACCCTCAGAGCCTAACATGCACAGAAGTTTAATTACTACTAGGTGAATCACAGGTTCATATTTGACATACATGTATGTACATGTATCTGAGGAAATTAAGGCACAAAGGTGCGTTTTAAAGGGGCAAGTTCCCCGTATTCCAGAGGGCGTTCAAAATACGTACGCACTGGCGGACGGTGCTATAGCTGCCTATTGACACCAACAGAATACGGCTCTTACGCAGATGGCATGTTCCGATAACTACACTGGCGGGAACATGCCCCTTTAATAGGACAAGTATGTCCCAGCCCCATATCCTAACAAAATGGTCCTACTGTATACCTATGTAATAAAATAATGATTTTCTTATAATGTGCATATCGCATTTAGAATTTGTCCATTTTTGTGCCAAGCTATATTTTATTGAGTTACAGAGAAGGTTGAGTTCTGGGAAGAGGTGAAAAATAATTTGTGAGCGTTTTCATTGTTATTATACAAGTGTGGAAGAACATCAGATAGAACATGTTCCCTGAGAAGCATGGCTCTTCAAATGCCTTTATGTTCTAAATATGGCATGTAACAGCATAAAAATTGTGACAGATTTTTATGCCACATGTTCATCTAGTCCCATATACATCTTTCTGTGTTCAGTGTAACTTTACCAAGACTGGGCTAAATTTCTTATCATTTTGATGATTCAAGAACCTTGCAATACACACAAATACGTATATGCTGGATTATCAACCTTTTCTGATCGATTCCTCACCGTTTCTTTCACAATGCAATCGCATGACCAGAACTCAAATTTTATTTTTAAGTGTTGGTATTCCTCTTGTTCTTCTGTAGCACGGACCCTAATAGCATATCTTTACTGTTGAATGAGATGTGGAATCAAATAGCAGTTTCCGATCCGTCGCTCTTGATTCAGGCCAGGATGAATGATTACTTCACACAAATAATCCTCGATAATCTCAAGATGTTTCCAGGTATGTACAGCACTCAAAGATTAAAGTGACTCGGTAAAATTGCCTCAGATTCTGAAACAAAATCCTGGATTTAGCTCATGCTGCAATCATAATTATCAACCTTTAGGTCAGTCAGGAATCCCATGACTTTTACAAGCCGATCACCTGTCTGATTATCAAGACATTTATGATTGGAAATAAAAATTCCTTTTTCTTTTTCTTATAGTTTTTATAACACTACAGTCTATTGGGTTAAATGAGTATGGTAAAACCAGTCACTCAAAGATTTTTCACTTTTTTGAGGCACTTCATGATCATTTTGAAACACAATTTTTTTAGGGTTTCAATATTACACAAGATCACAGACACAGATAACAGGTAGGGCCATGCATCTCAGATTTAATATTGATAAAGGATGCCTTTAACGGTTTGATGGTTTGTTTTTTAGCCTTGAGCAAATGTCGCCAGAGTGAATGTTGGATCACAGGAAAGCTCTGATCTATATGTATGCTTCTGTAGCAATCGCTACAGGCTTTATAATGATGTCAAAGATACAGGGCTAGGTTTAAATTTGCACTTGGACATAAGGTTGGGATTATAAGCAGTCAAACCTGCTTTAGTGACCATCTGTCTACAAAGACCACATTTTTAGTTTCCCTTGAATTTGGTTACTCAATGAAATTGTACTTAAGGAACCTGTTTACAAAGGCCACCTGTCTACAAAGACCACTTTTTGTGTTTCCCTTGGGCGGTCGCTATAGACAGGTTACACTGTAGTATTAGGATGAGGTATAATGTTTGGTAGAGGATTGAAGTTCGGAATACTTAAAGGTGTAAACATCTTTCTTATTCCCAGAAGACAATACTTGTATGTTAACATGATTTATAAGTATATTTAATAAATCAATGTATCTAATATTCACGTTTATCTATCACATTGCGCAGGCCGCACCTACACCTTCCCAAAACTGGATGAGCTGTTTGGTGATACAACATATGTGAGAGAACTTCTCAGTCACAGTGACATCGCCCCTGAGATCATTGACACATTCATGATCCTTGCCGTAGACCAACAGAAGGTAAAGCTTCATCATGCCCAAAATTCTGAAAAGACTGAGAAGTTTTTGAAGTGTTAGTCTTGAGATAGAGATGCCAAGTTTTTAAGCCCCTTGCATGGCTTTTCAGTGCTAATGGAAGGTATTTCTTTTCTACAAAAGTGTTCAAATGGATACTTGATATGCTGGCAATCTCATTGTGGTGTGAAAATATGTCAGTCTGGTCAGTTCTCAGCATTCTTCCAGCTTTCAACTGACCCGTCCAAAGACAGAATATTCCACATTATATTCCAAATACTAAGAATCTTGCTCTACTATTGGTCAAAAGTAGATCATGTGATGAAAGATAGTTTCGCCCATCAATCACTCTGTTGTAATTTGTGTTTCGCTGATCTCTCAAATTAATAGCTTTGATCCATAGAGTGACAATGCGCATTATCACTATTTGGAGTATCCGAAATGAAGGTGGGTTGCAGTGTGTACTATGCCATTTTCTCTCATGCAGGACTTTTAACAGTGTCCGACACTCCTATTCTTGTCTTTCAGATCGTGTACCTGGCAAGCACTCCTAATGTGTTCGTCGAGCTGTGTCAGACTGGTCAGTTCTCAACGTTCTTTCAGCTCCCTCCCGATTCACCTACCGATATCACTCTGGTTGAAGATGCATTCTGCAAGACAAACCTCACGTTGGTCCTAGCCGAGCTGGACCAGAAATTCAAGTTCTCTGAGACTGCTACTAAGGTTAGAAAACTAGGGCCTGTATTTCAAAAAAAAAATATTCTCTCTTTGGGCTGATATTTCTCAGCTTTGAATACTTTAATACATTTTTTCTCTAAAAAAATGGTAATTTCTATTTTTTTTTTAAAGCTGACCATACTTTTCAAGATTTTTAGATCGGTCGCAAAGGACAATACAACATTTTTTTTTAGGCCTAAGATGTTGTCATCAAGTTGCTAGCTAGGTTTTAGGTCGTCAACTTCCGATTTTCAAAGCTATAGATTTTGAGTTTTCAGAGAGCTGTTACTCCTCTGACAGATACTAAAATAGCATATATTGATATTGATATTGATATAATCTTTGGCTTATAAGCTCTCCCTCGTTTATATAATTCATCTATTTAATTCTCACTTCCGACAGGGTCTTTAATCTTTATTTGGTTTGTAATGAGTATTTTCAAACTTGGTATTTTGTTAATTAACCAAATAGTGTTTCAATCATGTGTCACATTTGAGAACTTGTGAGACAAGTTTTCAATCTTCATGCTATTTATTTGTTTAGTCTTTGCTGTTCAAAGAAATTTACGTTTAGAATTTGGGAACTCGCTTTCTATTTCAATTAGAAATATAAGCCTCTCCTTATCTGATAGGAATGAATATGCATTTTTGTATGAGATTTTAGGTAGTTAAACCTGCTTTATAGAGTTTTTAAAAGTTCTCATTGACAAGGACAGTGTGATCCAGCCCTCATTATTTTATCCTATTTCTCCATGAAGTTCCAACGCATCATCAGCAGCGACCCCACCCTGCCTCCATTCAACCAGACCGCTGCTTCTCTTCGCATGATAGAGCTCTCAAACCTCATCACGGCCCTCATTGAGACCCCACCAACAGTGACCGTTGACCTTGTCTGGTGGGAGAACGTCTATAACAGGTCCGAAGTCATTGTCATGCAGTGGCTGCAGAGACTGACCGAACAGGCCATGAACGGTAGCAGTGTACCTGGACTTGAGCTGTGAGTTAGATGTTTGAAACGTAAACATTTTGTGACAACTACGATCATGAAAAGGGACATTCATATGTCAGTAATTTTTTTTAATTGAAAACACATCTCTTCCCAATTTTGTAATTCCTTTCAATTTAATAATAATGTTAATAATTAGATAAATTTATATAGCACAGCTACTATATAAATATACTCTAATATGATGTGATTAAAACAAACCTCCTAACAGTGCGACTTTACAGACACACAATAACAAAAATATTCAAAAGCTCCTGAAAGCAAGTGCATCTTCAATAAAGCTCTGGAGACAGCAACAAATGAGACTTTTCTTATGTCGCTGGCAGGTTATTCCTAAGCTTTGGAGTGGTGCGACTGAAAGCGCAATCTGCAAGAGTTACTTTTGTTTTTGTTTGAGGTAGCTTGTCCTGAGTGTGTAATTTGCAAGTTACGTGCATATGGATGTGATTTAAATGATAATAATTAAGACGAGTAAGTCAGGGCTTGACCATTCAATGCTTTGTTATTAGTTATAGTGTAAATGTGTATACAGGAGGATATAACTTTAGGTTTTCTTATCTCTGATAGCTGCACAAGTTGTGAATATTGGAATATTGACACATACTTGCACATAAGTGTATATAATTGTGAATTTTATGGAATATATTCTGTTTCTAGTGTGCTTGCTCAGCTCGGGACGTTGGACATTCCTGGTTTTGATGTGGATCAGTTTGAGATGTGGATTGGACAGACTCAGCATATCCCAACTCTTATTACACAACTCCTCAGTGGTCAAGCAACCAATGGTAAATCATGCCCGTATTGTCGTAACGTCACTGTAAAAAAGCAATAGGGTGAATTTATGATTAACAGCACCCTCACTGGCAAGCATCGAGTGGCCAATTTTTCAGCTTGCGGGTGAACATCTTTCAACCAGTCCAGTGTGGCAAAATGCTAGCCACCTATTGAAAAAAGCAGTGTGGACTGTTTTTTCTTCAAACTAATCCAATGAGATTGATTGTTCTGATATCAGTGCATAGTTTCTATTGAATTTGGATGTCAAAACCCACCTATCACTGAAAAATTTGGCCTGACTTGTGGGCAAAATCAATACAAATGGCCATTTTGGGCAAATGACCATATTGTCGTTGACGGTGGTCAATTTGACCACTTTTTTTAGCATCAGGACACATTCTTACATGGAATAAGCCCATCAAATCTCCTTTCTTGATAATAATGATTGGAAAATAACTCCTCACTACAGGAGACCATAATGGTCAGTTTGGCCCAAAGAAGACTCATTCACATTTTCATTGACATATTTTTATATTCTGTTTGTGAATGACATATGTTATACTATTTTCTCTACTTGGAAATGAAATAGTTATATTAATTTTTGTTTTATTTGCATCAATTGAGATTCATCATAACAATATACATAATCACACAATTTTTGTTTACAAATGATTTATTTGCACATTTATAGTGAGTACAGCTGTCATTGTACCCATACTGCAAGAGCTCTTCCCCGATCCCGATCTCATGAGGGAGCTTCTCAACTCAACAGGACTACCTCAAGATGTCATAGAAGTCTTTCTACAGATGAGACTACAGCTTACAAAGGTATGGTAATTGAAGAATATATTTTATTCTGATGACTTTTATTTGTGACAGTACTCTAACCATTTCCAAATCTATCTGGTTTTAAAGAAAAAAGGGAGGGGGGGGGGGGTCTCTTCCCAGAACCAATTGTCATTGGGGTGCTTCTCAACTTGACTGAACTTCCTAGAGCTGTCACAGAAATCTTTCTACAGATGAGATTACAGCTTACAAAGCTGCAGCAACAATAGAATATATTTTGTTTGAAAGACTATATTTATGAGAAATGTTATATCTGTTAAAGATGTAAGGTGTTAGAATGACAAAATGATTGAAGGAAGGACTTCCTCAAGATGTCATATAAATCTTTCTACGGATGATATCACAAATAACAAAGGTATAGCAACAATGCTTTTTTAGAATTGATAAACCTTTAGAATGGATTACATTCTTTAACTTTGTAACCCTTAAAAGTATTTGCCCATCTAAAATTGATTTATTCATAATCCGTGTTATCTGTTCTCATAGTGGCTTCCGATGTTGACGAGTCCCGATCCACTTACTGCGGTGTGCGAGGGTGGACTCTTCAAAGATATCTTCATTCTTGCAAACACGTCCATCGACATCCAATCCATCGACATCCAATCGATCGAGGATCAAATCTGCTCTCTTAATCTCACAGACATTAATGGCCTTCTCAGTGAACTCTTCACGTCGGACCTTGATGCTGTTGTTCTTGAGGTAGGACAGTTAAACATAAAATGCATTCTGAACACACCATCATTTTTTAATTTCTAGAAAATGTACATGGACTTCAGGAAAATGCATGAAGGATTTTAATTGTTAATAATTAGTTATCATGATTGACTTTCATCCCCCATTTGTGTATTTATGCCTTTATTCCTCTTGTAATGATCAATATGAATTTTAAATTATCATACATTTTTATCTCAAATTTATGTTTTTATGTTTGTATTACAGGTTTTGTTCTAAAAGAATATTTGTTTGGAGGGAGTGGAATCTAGGGGTTAAGGGGCTTAAGAGTTCTTGTATTCATTTTCATTATGTGCCTCAAATTTGTGGGCGGTCTTGAGCCCCCTTCCCAACCGCTACTGTTTTGGCATTTCTGTTTACATTGTAAATTACACTTTCAGTCCATCAGTCCTTGGGCTGCAAACCTGAATTTTTGTAGCCAATCCAATTCAATTTAATTTGATTCATTTCATTTCTCTTATGATGCAGCTTGTTAAGGTTTTCTATCAAGTCCCAGGTCTCGATCTCCAGACTGCCCTCAATGTCAGCCGAGAGATTTCAGCGATCATCTCCAATCTGATCTCAGACCCTACTAACTTTGAATTAAATCCAATGAGGTATGTCTAAACCAGTGTAAAAAAGTACATTTATGTTCAATGGAGCTCTTTAAGGATATTAAAGCCTTTAATTTTTGATTTTTTTTTTTGACCTTCCAAGAGCTAGATTGCTCACTGCTCCTGGAAATGTCTTTGTTGATGTAAAAGTTTACCAAAGTCTGTTTGTAGTCATCAATATACTTTGTTTTGATCAAAATGCAGGTTTCATTGACCAGCATGTGCACATTGCTTGAGGGTACCGTAGATTGATGCACATAAGTATGTTTATATGTACATGTTATGTACGCAAGACTGTATAATGTATACATTGTTTCAGTCCTTTTGTTTGTGTACATTTTTAAGTAAGCTTTAGTATCGTTGAGATCCTTGCATTTTGTTGATGAAATAGCATGTTAAAAATATGTTTATATGTTTAACAGGTTACAAGTTAAATTTCATTTTTAACAACACTTTGATTATTTTTATAAAATCTAGTTTTGTTGTAGTCTTTTGAAATGACAGTGGCATTTCGATTGCTCTCTCTCACACCTTTATGTGTTTATTTCTTTCAGCATCATTGAGTTACTGCAGTCCCTTGACATTCCTGGTCTGAATGAAACCTCGGTCCAGGACTGGTTGAAGCAGGTCCAACTCATGCAGTACATTAATGACGTCATTGCAGATTTGTTGGCAAGCAACAATGGTAATAATAATAATTATAGTTACACTGTTAAATGTTACACTGTATTATTATAATTATTCTTTTCTTCTTTCACTTTCTCTCCTTGACATTCTCGACATTGACAATAGCCGCGCAGCCCTGATAAATGTAAATACCCCATTAACATACACAGATTTTTCTTATGAGTCGATCCTTAGGGATCGCCAACTCATATTTAATCGCAAGCATTCGTAAATAACTTGCTGGTATCCATAAATAACTTGTTGCAACAACTCACAGACATGCTTAAGGATCCGTGAAAGGATAGAAAAATTTGTTGACATGACAAAAATGTTCTTTTGATTGTTCACAGATTAAGTTTTCTGTAAATAAGTCGTAACAATCTGTAAGCATCGTAAACGACTCGTAAACTGCACACAACAACATGTAACCATCCGTAAACTGCTCGCAAGAATCTGTAAATGACTCGTAACAATTTTGTAAACGATTTGTTACGGTTGGTTTATGATTTGTTTCTGGATTATTTACAGATCATTATGAGTGCTTACGTGCTGTTTACGATTTCATGCTGGTTGTGTTACTATGGCTTTAAGTATTGTTATGAGTTATTACAAGCACTTTATGCGTAGTTACAAGTAATTTACAAATAGATACGTATACTTTACATATTCTTACGTAGTGTTTACGATTTGTGGAAAGGTTTAAAGGCTGCAAAATCGTAAGGACTAATAAAAAACTATTCCTAACAACACAGGTCGTAACTAACACATAAAAGCTTTGATGAATAGTTACATTTCGTAATATACTTGTAACAATCCCTAAAAAGCTTGTACAATGCCCGTAAGTTGCTTGTAGTTAACCATGACAACTCGTAACAAATCATGGAATTTTGCCGTAAATACATCGTAAGAACTCATAATAATCCATAATAAATCGTAAATAGCACATGATAACTCGTAACAACTTGTAAATCGATCGTAAAAATAAGGATCCGTGAAAGATCTGTGAATTTGTGCGATCCGTGAGGACTCTGTGTATGTGAAGGTGGAATAAAACAATATGTTAAGGGCCATACACTGAAAAGACAGACCTCATGTATTGAAGTCTATGGGAATGAACAATTTCACTAGTCAGTTCATATCACTTACATCTGTGTGTGTGTGTGTGTGTTTGTGTAATTTGGGTTTTTCAGACCTGTATAAGTCAGATATGATAATTAACATCCTGGGACCGACTTTTAAAGTGACCATTCAAAAGACGTGACTCAGTCTAGAACCAGGGTCTGCTGAGTCGGTTTTCAGGCAAAGACAGAGAGTTGACTATACCACAGACAGCACTTGCATGCGGTGATTAATGAGTATGTCAAGATGTCAAGAAAGAAAATGGTACATTATTGATTACATCTCACTCAGAGACTGCTTATTGTTCTTTCTTTAAAATATAGGCCTACCCCGATACCCTACATGTATATTTCATGAAATTATTATTTTTGTAATTGTTACAGGGACAGAGTTTGCCATCCCAACCTTCAATGAGCTATTCCCAGATCCTACTATTGTTGTACAGCTGTTGACTGATCTTGGTGTTCCTAATGACGTCACTGAAGCTTTCTTATACATGGCTGTTCAAGCGGATCAGGTATGTGTACATGACTGTACAATAATGTTGCATAACCATATAAGGAGGATAGGAGGGGGATGTGCAGATAAATGAAGCACTAAAACAAACTTTACAATCTTTGTTCTTCTTTTGTGTGGCGGGCTTCAAAAAAATGTGCAGGCTGCTTCAAAAATAATTAAAGCAGTCATCATATATCTTTGTACGAAGGAAGACAATTTTGATTACTAATTTTGTTAATCTATGTTACACTCTGGACATCTATCACAGTCAAATCATTAACATGTCGAAGCAGATCAGTGAAATAGTCATTCTTCTCTGCACACCTCCAGCTCATTCAATTGGATCCATTTTTAATCTATTTTAGTGGACAGAGATATGGATGAAGCCCGACCCTCTCCAAGCTGTCTGCAATACAAGTCTCTTTCAAGACATCTTCACCCAGACTCTCAACTCCTCCATTGATATCCAGACCATCCAGGCAACACTCTGCTCTCTTAACCTCTCTGACATTGATGCTTTACTGAATGATATCTTCAACGCAAACGGTATGATTGTTCAGGTAAGTAAGCTGACGGCTGTATTGGTCAGACGATTACTTTATCAGCAAGTAATGCAGGGCGCAATAAACTTCTTGGAAGTCTTAATGCTGGAGTCCTGTGTAAAGATTTCAAATTTGTTTGGGTTTGGGGGCCCAGACTTACGTATTGTTTTAACAAAATCGGTGTGCGATGTGTGCTTTGACAGTGATTGATTTGTTTGATTTCAGCGATGTGAATTTTTTTTTCTCGTTAGAAAGCTCCCGGGAATTTGATCGACTTGGGCGATTATTCTACATACAAAATTTGACTTACAAATTGCGACAGATGTTTTAACACATGTAAATGTATGATGAAAACTTTTGACTTATTATTTGCGTTGACTTGGGCAGTTATTCAACAGATACGAGGTTGACTTTTGCAAGGTTGACTGTATATATTTTATAGGGAGGAATTTGGGGTCTAGGGGGCTTGACGGTTCTTGCAGATTTCCTACATGTGTTCCAAACTTGGTTAGGCATGAGCCCCCCACCCCAATTCCTACAGAGTAACTGTTGTTGTGTTTTTTTACATGGTAAATGCCACTGTAATTCAGTCCTTGGGCTGCAAATGTGAAGTTTATTTTTAGCCAATCCAATTTAATTCGATTCATTTCTCTTATAATGCAGCTTGTTCAGGTTTTCTATCAAGTCCCAGATTTTGATCTGCAGACTGCCCTCAACGTCAGCCGAGAGATATCAGCGATCATCTCCAATCTGATCTCAGACCCTACTAACTTTGAATTAAATCCAATGAGGTATGTGTAAACCAGTGTTTAAAAAAAAGATAGATTTTTGAAGAAATGTGATTGTTTGAGTGATAGCTAAGTTTTTAGTTTTCTTGGAGCTCTTTTTGAGCTTTCAAGAGCTATATCGCTCAACGCTCCTATTAATATTTTTTCCGATGTTAGCATTTCCCAACGTCCTATGTAGTGATCAATATGATGTATTATATCATCAAGATAGCATGTTAAAAATTACAGAATAATGTGAATAAAGCAAATGAAACAAAAAGAAAATAACATTTAGCTGCTCTGACTTGTATACATCATATATCACTGGTTTTATTGATACCTTTATGTGTTTATTTCTTTTAGCATCATTGAGTTACTGCAGTCCCTTGACATTCGTGGTCTGAATGAAACCTCGGTCCAGGACTGGTTGAAGCAGGCCCAACTCATGCAGTACATTAATGACGTCATTGCAGATTTGTTGGCAAGCAACAATGGTAATAAATACAAAAATGATAATAATTCTTCTTCTCCTCCTGATCCTCCTTTTTCTCCTTCTCCTTCTCCTTTTGCTTTTTCTCGTTTTTTCTCCTTCTTGTTGTCCTCTTCTTTTGTTTCTTCCTTTTCTTCTTTTTTTCCTCTTCTTGTTCTTCTTAGTCATCTTCATCTTCTTCTTCTCTATTTTCCTCTTCTTCCTCCTCCCTCTTCCCTTTTGTTTATTTTATATTCTTCTTCTTGTTTTTCCTCCTCTTCTGTTGTACTATTATTACCCTGGTGTTAGCAAGGCAGCCCTGATAAGGAAACAATGTTAAAAAAAGGCATACAGACCCATGGTACTGAAAATACGGGAGCCTCATGTATTGAAGACTAAGGGAATATAAATGGCACTAGGTAGTCAGTTCACATCACTTGCATCTGTGTGTGTGTAATTTGGTTTTTACAGATGGGTATCAATCAGATATGATTATTTACATCTTTGGACCAACCTTTAATGTCACCATTTTTTTTGTTCTTTCTTTAGAATATAGGCCTACCCAACATGAAATGAATTTTTTATATTAAATTGTTACAGGGACAGAGTTTGCCATCCCAACCTTCAATGAGCTATTTCCAGATCCAACCGTCGTTGTACAACTGTTGACTGATCTTGGTGTTCCTAATGACATCACTGAAGCTTTCTTATACATGGCGGTTCAAGCGGATCAGGTATGTGTACATGACTGTTCAATGTAGATGTGTAACCATGGTGATAAGAAGGATGAGAAGGGGATATGCAAAAAAAATGAATCAGTAAAAGAAATATTACAATCCTTGTTATCCCCTAACCGACAAAGTCGGAGGGGATATAGTACGATGCCGTTTGTCCTTCTGTCCGGAGTTCCGTAACAAACCTGGTTTCTGTTCGATAACTTTAGTACTGTTTGACGGATTTCAATGAAATTCGATATGAAGGTACATGGTATAAAAACACAGCTTAAGATCAATTTCGGAATGTAGTTCAAAGGTCAAAGCTCATTGAATATGCACAAAATTGTAAATGTAGGCCATGTTTACCCAGCGAGGGGCTGCTACGCTTTGCATTGACTTGTTCTTCTTTGGTATGGTAATGCATGCAGGCTGCTTCAAAAAATAATGAAAGCAGTCAGCATTCATCTTCTTGCCAGGGAAGGCAATTATTATTAGTATTTTCTAAAGATCTCTTTTACTCTAGACATCTTTCACAATCAAATCCAATTGAATCTATTTCAAATTAATTTTAGTGGACAGAGATATGGATGAAACCTGACCCTCTCCAAGCTGTCTGCAATACAAGTCTCTTTCAAGACATCTTCACCCAGACTCTCAACTCCTCCATTGACATCCAGACCATCCAGGCAACACTCTGCTCTCTTAACCTCTCTGACATTGATGCTTTACTGAATGATATCTTCGAGGCAAACAGTATGATTGTTCAGGTAAGTGAGCAGATGGTGGATTACCTTATCAGTAAATAATGCAGGGCGTCACATCAACTTCTTGGAAAGGGGTCCTTATTACGTTTTGGAGTTTTTTTTTCTGGAGTCCTATGTGAAGATTTTAAAATTGAGGGTGGGGGCTGGAGGGGGAAGGGATGCCAAATAAAAATAGTAATTGTAAGTTATCATAATTGACCTTCATACCTCGAAGAATGTTGTTGTTGTTAGGGGGGGGGGTAAGGGAAGGGGGAGGAGGGGGGCAATTTTGGGGCTTTGGGGCTTTGGGGCTTGAGAGTTCTTGCAGTCATTTTGTACATGTGTTTCAAACTTGGGATGGGCTTGAGCCCCCAAACGCTGCAGAGTAACTGTTTTGGCATGTCTATAAATATTGTAAATCTCACTTTAATTCAGTCCTTAATTATTTTTTAGCCCATCCAATTCAATTCATTTCATTTCTCTTATAATGCAGCTTGTTCAGATTTTCTATCAAGTCCCAGATTTTGATCTGCAGACTGCCCTTAACGTCAGCCGAGAGATATCAGAGATCATCTCCAATCTGATCTCAAACCCTGCTAACTTTGAATTAGATCCACAGAGGTATGTGTAAACGAATGTTTAAAAAAAAGATATGGTGTTGAAGAAGTGTGATTTTCTTGTTGATATTTAAGTGTTTGTTACATTTTTTTGAAGAGCCCTTTGAGAGCTATTAAGAGCTATATCGCCCATTGCTTTCGTAAATGTCTTTGCAGATGTAAGCATTTTCTGAACATCCTATGTTGATATCAATACGTCATAGCATGTATTATATTATCAAAATAGCATGTTAGGAAATCACAGATAAATGTGATTATAGCAAATGAAAACATCATTTAGTTGCTTTGACCTACATGCATCAAACACTTGGTTTTATTTGCCAGCTTTTGGGTAGTGCTTGAGCGTAGATCCATTTATATATATATATATATATGAGACTAAAACAGTTGTGAGGCAGTTGACATTAGAAAATAGACAAGTGAAGATTGAGTGTAGGAGATACAGAGTACACACATTTTTGTCAAGCCTTTGTTAGAGTAACATGAGCATGTTTACATCTATATATGTACATGTTATGTACACAACACTGTATAATGTATACAATTTTCAATTTCTTTTATGTTTGTGTATATTGTGAAGCAAGCTTGTGTATTATGGGAAGTTATTGGTGAGAATCATGCATTTTCGGGACAAAATAGTACAAAACATGTTACATGTTTAACAGGCTACAAATAGCTATGATTTATTTTTAATGACACTTTGATAACTCATTTAATTTTGTTATTGTAAACGACAGTGGCCTGCAGTCATCACAAATTTAGATTGCACTCTCATGTTGTTATGTCTTTATTTCTTCCAGCATCATCAAGTTACTGCAGTCCCTTAGAGTTCCTGGTCTGAATGAAACCTGGGTCCAGGACTGGTTGAACCAGGTCCAACTCACGCAGTACGCTAATGACATCATTGGTTGGTTGGCAAGCGGCAATGGTAATTAATGAAAAAGAAATTAATTCTTCTTTATTTTCTTCTTCTGCTTCTCCTTATTTTCTCCCTCTTCTTCTTGTTCTTGTTCTTCTCCTTCCCCTTCTTTTCTTTTTTTTTCTCTTTTTCTTCTTCTTTTCTGCTTTTTCTTCTGCTTCTTCCTCTTCTTCTTTTTTTTTCTTTCTACTTCTCCTTTTCCTTCTCCTTCTCTTTTTTCTTCTCCTTCTTCTTTTTCCTTCTTTTTCTTTATTTGTTTTTTATTTCTGGAGATTTAATGATAATTTCTTCGCTCTAATCCACAATAAAATATTACAGATTTCAATATTAATTATTTCGACTAATCTATGAGAGTCTTTGGGAGAAAGATAAAATTTGTGCAAAAAAAATTACAAAAGACAAAACATCAGATGATTGACAAAAGTCTTTGATATATAAAATTAACAAGAGTGGGCCTAATATGCTACCTTGTGGAATGCCACAATTTATATTACAGAGATCTGAGGAGTTTTCATTTAAAAATGCATACTGCTTTCTATCCGAAAGATAGCTCACTCAGGGACTGCTTATTGTTCTTTATTTGAAATGATGGCATACCCTACCTGAAATTTCTTTTGTTTAAATTGTTACAGGAACAGAGTTTGCCATCCCAACCTTCAATGAGCTGTTCCCAGATCCTACTATCGTTGTACAACTGTTGACTGATCTTGGTGTTCCTTATGACATCACTGAAGCTTTCTTATACATGGCTGTTCAAGCAGATCAGGTACGTGTACATAAAGGAAGTGTTGTTGTAGTTCGATCCTACAGTTCAATGCTGTGCCATCACTATAACCCAGATGACAAATAGTGAGAGTACATTACTGTTGCAACTTTGTAACCTGGATTACAGATTATATAATCTAGTACAGTTTTACTGTGCCACTTCAAATAACTTCCTACAGTATCTTACTAGAATAAGACTGCCAAACTTCGGACACTTAAGACAAAACGGGGGAAAACATTAAATTCTTTTTTTAATTATTGAAAGATCAAATATACTATTATTGTGCAAATACTGTTTATGTATGTCATGAAAAGAAAATTAGTAAAGGAAATGGAAAACTAGAATTATTTACTTACCCGCCGAACCTGTTTTCATGCCAAGCTTCGGACGCACTTGCCAAGCTTCGGACGTTCATGTGTAGCGCACGTATAACGCACGTATAGCGCATAGCGCACGTACAGCGCACTTATGGCGCGCGCGCTAAAGTGCGCATTCATCGGAGGTTTGGAAACCGGATCAAAAATCGTTCGACGGGGGTAAGTTTGACTGCGTTGATTTCATGAAAAAAGTATTATTTTCTCGTTTTGGGTAGATTTATTTTAGGTAGAACTATCAGAAAGGTGTTTTTCACAACACTCACACAATATTTTGGTGCTAAAATCTTACGAAAGCGCTATTTTTGCGTAGTCAAAATGACACTCAATGTTGCCTGTCCGAAGTTTGGAAGAGCGTCATCATCTGGTAGGGGTACCTGTATAGTACCCCTAGGTCCGTGGTAACGGCCGCCATTATAAAATTTTCGCGATAGAGTGAAAAAGTATCTCATAAGCTCCCATAATTTTGGCAGAAACCACCTTAAATATGCCAACGATTTGTTTTTAATCGATATATTGGAGGCTCTATACCTTAACTCCCCTGTTAAGGAACTGTAAAAATCCAGGTAACCTGAAATCTGTCTCTGAATTCGATGTTTTTTGTGAGTTTTGCAGACGGCAACCTGCCCTAACTTTCTGTACTAACGATGTAGGTTAGTAGTAGTATCAAATGCATGCAAGTTACCCGCCTGACCTAGGCTCATATTTTGCGTTCGAGCCGTTGAAGTAATTTTTGTCCAAAGTTTGGCAACGTCCGAAGTTTGGCGGTTTTACTCTATGACTGTATTTGTGCAAAGGGTGAGTCAACACACCTTGTATGACTGAGCTGGGAGACATTGCCAGGCACAGTGCAGGTGGAGGAGGCATAAATCAACACTTAAATTATTATTATCTTTTTTTTGTACCTGTGGATAAGACGCACCCCCGATTTTCAAGAGAAGATCTTTCCACCCATGTATAAATTGTCCATAATTATCATGAATTTCCTTCAGATGACTACTTTAAGGAAATAGTCATTCAATTGAATCCAATTTTATTCCATTTTAGTGGACAGAGATATGGATGAAGCCTGACCCTCTCCAAGCTGTGTGCAATACGAGTCTCTTTCAAGACATCTTCACCCAGACTCTCAACTCGTCCATTGACATCCAGACCATCCAGGCAACACTCTGCTCTCTTAACCTCTCTGACATTGATGCTCTACTGAATGATATCTTCAAGACAAACGGTATGATTGTTCAGGTAAGTGAGCTGATGGTTGTTTTGGTAGGTGGATTACCTTATCAGTAATTAATAGCCCCTTCACATTCACACATTTTTCTTACGAGTCCTTACGAATCGCACAAATTCACGGATCTTTCACGGATCTTTACAATTTGGCCACTTATGCGATGGATTTAAGAGTTGCTACAAGTTATTATAAGCCATTAGGGTTTATTATGGATTATTACGAGTTATTACAGTGTATTTACGGCAAAATTCCACGATTTGTTACGAAATCTGAGAGCAACTAAAGTGTTAGTTACAACCTTTTTATGTGTTGTTACAAGTTAGTTCCAAGTATTTACGAGTCCTTTAGATATTTAGCCGAAAAATAACAACTGAGAATGTAGTGTTCGAATTTGCAGCTTTTAAACCTTTCCCCAAATCGTAAACAATTTGTAAGAAAACTTAAAGTGCTTGTAATAACCCTCTACAAATTGTAAAGCCATCGTAAGAGGACCCAAATGAAAACCATAAACAACAGGTGAGCACACGTAATAATCCGTAAATTAATCGTGAACTAACCATAAAAAAATTGTAAACAAATTTGTTACAAGTCATTTAGGGATTCTTGCGAGCAGTTTATGATACTTACAAATTGTTACGAGCTATTTGTAGAAAAATCAATCCGTGGACAATCGTAAGAAGATTGTTGACATGTCAACAACTTTGCCTCTCCTTTAAACGGATCCTTAAGAGTGTCTGGGAGTTGTTGCAAGTTGTGACAAGTTATTTACGGATGCTTACGATTGACTACGAGTTGGCGATCCGTAAGGACTCGTAAGAAAAAAACGTGTATGTAAAGGGGGTATTATGCAGGTCATCAGGTTAACTTCTTGGAAGGTGCTCTGAATTATTTTTGGAGTCTTTATGCTGGAGTCCTGTGTAAAGATTTTTGAAATTGGGTGGGGATGGGGGGGGGGGGGATAGGGGTTCCAGACATAGATTTTGGGTTCCCATGAGTCCTGGGCGCCTATCAGTTTCAACCCCTGAATGATGGGACCAATAATCTACTTCTGGAATACATCGTTGTGTATCAGGCAGACGGGTCTTAACACAAGTCAACTATCTGTTTATATTGTAAATTTCACTTTAATTCAGTCCTTAGGCTGTAAATGTAGCCAATCCTATTTAATTCAATTAATTTCTCTTATAATGCAGCTTGTTCAGGTTTTCTATCAAGTCCCAGATTTCGATCTGCAGACTGCCCTCAACGTCAGCCAAGAGATATCAGCAATCATCTCCAATCTGATCTCAAACCCTGCTAAGTTTGAATTAGATCCACAGAGGTATGTGTAAACCAATTTTTAAAAACAGGATATATTGTTGAAGAAGTGTGATTTTTCGAACGATATTTAAAAGGCGCCTCCAATCAAACAGGCTAGAAATTGAAGTAAAAAAGAAATGTAGAAGAGTTTTTGCCAAGAGATTTTTGAATTTGACAATGAAATCTTCAATAATTGTGGAATCTAGCTTTAAAAGAAGACGACTCTGACCATCAATGGTAATAGAACCCTGCATTTTGTTGTCTAAGTAGTACAAAATATGTTACATATTCAACAGGTTACAAGTTATATTTCATTTTTAATGAAACTTTTATCACTCACTTTACTTTTTGATGAAATCTTGTTTTGTTGGAATCTCTGGAAATGACAGTGGACTGGATTCATGATGTATTTAGATTGCTGACTCGAACCTTTATGTGTTTATTTCTTTCAGCATCATTGAGTTACTACAGTCCCTTGATGTTCCTGGTCTGAATGAAACCTGGGTCCAGGACTGGTTGAAGCAGGTCCAACTCATGCAGTACATTAATGATGTCTTTGCTGATTTGTTGGCAAGCAACAATGGTAATAAATACAAACATTATAATTCTTATTCTTCTCCTCCTGCTCCTTGTTCTTCTTCTCTTTCTCCTCTCCTTGTTCTTCATCTTCTTCCTCTACTTCTTCTCTATCCTCCTCTTCTACCTCCTCTTTTCGTATTTTCTTGTTTTTTCTTCTTCTTCTTCTTCTTTGCATTATAATTATTTCTGTGTCATTAACAGTGCACCCCTGGTATTAAGGGTACTATGTAAACAAAATATCCAATGCCATATACTGAAAATATGGGTGCCTCATATATTGAAGTCTATGGGAATGAAAAATTTCACTTGTCATTTCACATTACTTGCATGTGTGTGTGTGTGTGTGTGTGTGATTTGGGCTTTTACAGATGTGTATCAATCAAATAATTTTCACCTTCGAATCAACCTTAACGCCATCGTTTAAAAGATGAACAGGGGTCCGCTGAGTCATTTTTTAGGTTAAGACAGAGATCGAGCTGACCATACCACAGACAGCACTTGCATTTCACATCATATCTTCAAATCCAGTCTTGTTTTGATACAGTAAATGATGAGTTGATAATAAAACTGTACATTGATCAATTTATGTGACTGAGGGACTGCTTTTTGTTCTTTTGTAAAAATATAGGCCTTCCTTACATGAAATTGGTTTTTTAATTAATTGTTACAGGGACAGAGTTTGCCATCCCAACCTTCAATGACCTGTTCCCAGATCCGACCATCATTGTACAACTGTTGACTGATCTTGGTGTTCCTGATGACATTACTGAAGCTTTCTTATACATGGCTGTTCAAGCAGATCAGGTACGTGTTTATTAAATTCCAATGTAGATGCGTGGGGTTGTGCAAAAAAAATTAATCATTACATTTTTGTTGCAATCCTTGTTATTCTTTTGTGAGCTGATGCATGCAGCTTGCCTAAAAATAATGAAAGCAGTCATAATCTAATCTTCATGCCAAGGAAGACAATTTATATTGTTACATTTTGTATATCTCTGCTGCTCTGGACATCTATCACAATCAAATAAATGTAATTCTTCCTTGGACGTTTTCAATTCAATCAATTCAATCCATTTTTAATGCATTTAAGTGGACAGAGATATGGATGAAGCCCGACCCTCTCCAAGCTGTCTGCGATACGAGTCTCTTTCAAGACATCTTCACCCAGACTCTCAACTCCTCCGTTGACATCCAGACCATCCAGGCAACACTCTGCTCTCTTAATCTCTCTGACATTGATGCTCTACTAAATGATGTCTTCAAGGCAAACGGTGTGATTGTTCAGGTAAGTGACTTTGGTCCGTGGATTACCTTTTCAGCAAATAATGCAGGGCATCACATTCTCTTCTTGAAAGAGGGTCTGTATTACTTTTTTGAGTCTTTATGCTGGAGTCCTGTGTTCAGTTTTCAAATTAAGGTGGGGATGGGGGGGGGGGGGGATAGGTGTTCCAGACATAGATTTTGGGTTCCCATTAGTCCTGGGCGCCTATTAGTCTCAACCCCTGAACGATGGGACCAAAAATCTACTTCTGGAATACGTCGTTGTGTAGCAGGCAGATGGGCCTTAACACAAGTCAACTATCTGTTTATATTTCAAATTTCACTGTAATTCAGTCCTTGGGCTGTTAATGTAGCCAATCCTTTTTACTTCAGTTCATTTCTCTTTTAATGCAGCTTGTTCAGGTTTTCTATCAAGTCCCAGGTTTTGATCTGCAGACTGCCCTCAACATCAGCCAAGAAATATCAGCAATCATCTCCAAGCTGATTTCAGACCCTACTAACTTTGAGTTAAATCCACAGAGGTATGTGTAAACCAGTGTATAAAAAAGGATATAGTGTTGAAAAAGTGTGATTTTCTCAGTGATATTTAAAGTGCCCCTCCAATTAAAACGGGCTAAAAATTGAAAAAAAGAAGACATTAAGAAAAGTTTTTGACAGAAATTTCGAATATGACAATGATTTTTCTTAGAAATCATCAATAATTCTGGAATCCAGTTTTAAAAAATGACCAGTCAGACCGTTAATGGTAATGAAATCGTGCATTTTGTTGACTAAGTAGTACAAAATATGTTTCCACATTTAACAGGTTACAAGTTATACTTCTTTTTTAATGAAATCACTCATTTTACTTTTTGATGAAATCTAGTTTTATTGTAGTTTTTGAAATGACAGTAGCCTGGATTCATTATAAATTAAGATGGCTCTCTCACACCTTTATGTGTTTACTTCTTTCAGCATCATTGAGTTGCTGCAGTCCCTTGACATTCCTGGTCTGAATGAAACCTTGGTCCAGGACTGGTTGAAGCAGGCCCAACTCATGCAGTACATTAATGACGTCATTGCAGATTTGTTGGCAAGCAATAATGGTAATAAATACAAAAATGATAATAACTTTGCTTCTCCTCCTCCTCTTTCTTCTTTTCCTTCTCTTCTTGTTTTTTTTTTTTCTTCGTCTTCTTCTTTTGCTTGCTTCTCTTCTATTGTACTGTTATTTCCCTGGCATAAGCAACGCAGCCCTAATATTAAGGGTACCATGTAAAAAAATATATCATGGGCCATTATACTGAAAATGTGGGTGCCTCATGTATTTGAGTATTATAACTGTACATTGTAGAATATATGTGACTGAGGGTCTGCAATTTTGTTCTTTTTTAAAAAATATAGGCCTACCCTACATGATTTTTCAATATTTTTTTATTTGTTGTTACAGGGACAGGGTTTGCCATCCCAACCTTCAACGAGCTGTTCCCAGATCCAACTGTCATTGTACAACTATTGACTGATCTTGGTGTTCAACGTGACATCACTGAAGCTTTCTTATACATGGCTGTTCAAGCGGATCAGGTATGCGTTACCATGGTGATAAGGAGGATGGGAGTGGGATGTGCAAAAAAATGAATCAATAAAAGAAATTTTACAATTCTTGTTCTTGTTTGGTGTGGTGATGCATGCATGTAGACTGCTTCAAAAACAATTGAAGCAGTCATCATTAATCTTCATAGGAAGAAAATTTGAATTAAAGGGACTATATTTATAAATCTCTTTTAATACTCTGGACATCTAATATAATTCATTCATCATGTCAAAGCATTCCGGAAATATTAATTCTTCCCTGCACACCTCCAGTTCATTCCATTTTTAATTCATTTTAGTGGACGGAGATATGGATGAAGCCCGACCTTCTCCAAGCTGTCTGCGATACGAGTCTCTTTCAAGACATCTTCACCCAGACTCTCAACTCCTCCATTGACATCCAGACTATCCAAGCAACACTCTGCTCTCTTAACCTCTCTGACATCGATGCTTTACTGAATGATATCTTCAAGGCAAACGGCATGATTGTTCAGGTAAGTGGGCTGATGGCTGTTTTAATCCGTGGATTACCTTATTAGCAATCACCGCAGGGCGTCACAATGAATTCTTGGGAGGGGTCCACATCTTTTTTTAAAAGAGCCTTTATCTTTATGCTTGAGTCCTTTGTAAAGAAATTGAACTTTGGGTGGGGGGGGGGGGGGAAGGTCCACTATATTAATACCCTCCTGGAATACATCATTGTCAATTAGGGTGTAACACAAGTCAACTGCAAAATAATGATGCAGAACCAATATCAACAAAAGAAATAATATCACAAAGCATTGAATCAGAGCAGTTTTAGTCGTTGAAAACAAAGTTTGTAGCTTATGATCTCTCCTTAACATGTGTTGGTGGTTATTTTACCTGACTGCTAAGAAAGCATAAATGTTTGTTAGTCAGCAACCAGATGGCCGACGGCTTTAGTTCCTCCCCGAGGAACCTAGTAATGAGGATTCATGCCTTACCAAAGGGCACTAGCGCATTGACTTGGTTTCGAACCCGGGTCACCGGATTACGAGACCACTGCTCTACCGACTGAGCTATCGCGCATCCTCATATTGCCTTTCATCTCCTCTGATATCAATACTGCTCTTCAATGATCCAACTATGGATTAGACGATGATGGGGAACTTTAACAAAAAACACATTTTAACACAACAGTATATTTTAATTTCTAGAAAATGAACTTGTTCTTTAGTAAAATGCAATAAGTATTTTCATTGTTAATTGTTAGTTATCCTAATTGACTTTCATCCCCAGAAGAATATATATATATATAATAATTGGGGGTAGGGAGATATGGGGGGCTGGGAAATTTGGGCTTGGAGGGGGGGGGGGAGGATCAGGGGGCCAAGGGCTGGAGGGTTCTTGCATTTATTTTCAAAATGTGTTCCAAACTTGGTTGGTCTTGAGCCCCAAATGCTAAAGAGTACCTGTTAGCTGTTTTGACATGTCTGTTTATATGATAAATTTTTCACTTTTATTCAGCCCTTGGGCTGCAAATATGAATTTGTTTAACCAATCCAATTTAATTCAATTCATTTCTCTTACAATGCAGCTTGTTCAGGTTTTCTATCAAGTCCCAGATTTTGATCTGCAGACTGCCCTCAACATCAGCCGAGAGATATCAGCGATCATCTCCAATCTGCTCTCAGACCCTACTAACTATGAATTAAATCCACAGAGGTACGTGTAAACCAGTGTCTAAAAAAAGGATATGGTTTAAAGAAGTGTGATTTTCTCAGTGATATTTAGGGCCCCTCCAATCAAAATCTTAAAATTGAAAAAAAGACATGTAGAAGAGTTTTTGACAGAGTTTTTATATATGACAATGATGTTTCACAATGCACAATAATTCTGGAATCTAACTTAAAAAATGACGAATCAGACCGTCAATGGTAATATAACCCTAAATTTTGTTGACTAAGTAGTATAAAATATGTTACATATCCAACAGGTAATATTTAATTTTCAATGAAACTTTGATCACTCATTTTATTTTTGATGAAATCTAGTTTTGTTGTAGTCTTTTGAAATGACAGTGGCTTGGATTCATGATGTATTTAGATTGCTCTTTCACACCTTTATGTGTTTACTTCTTTCAGCATCATTGAGTTACTGCAGTCCCTTGACATTCCTGGTCTGAATGAAACCTGGGTCCAGGACTGGTTGAAGCAGGTCCAACTCATGCAGTACATTAATGATGTCATTGCGGATTTGTTGGCTAGCAACAATGGTAATTATATTAAAAAAATGATAATAATTCTTCTTCTGATCCTCCTCATCTTCTTTCTTCTTCTCCTCTTCTTGATTTTTCTTTTTCTTTTTCTTCTACCACATCGTTGGCGTCCCAGTTCATCGCAGGATGAAGATTAATCATTTTGGACTTTTCACCCGAGTCCGAAGACGTAAACTAACGACGCTAGAAATGTCAATTTTCGGGCATCTATTTTTCCTGAATCACAACAAAAGCATGTTTTGGGGTTATATCCCACCGCTGCCACCATGTTATGCCTTAACCCGTTGATTACTGAATTCTCTAATCCATATAGGCTTAACAAAGGGAACACCCGGTTCCAGTAGGCAATGGGTTGATGTGTTCTACGAGTCACTAAAGTAGCCAAGTTAGACGTGATGTTCAGGATTAATGTGTGTTTATTTGCTCCATGTTTTTCTAGTTGTCTGCGGAGTAATACGTGCATGCATACGTTTGCAATCGGTGTGTGGTGCACTAGTGGGATACATGTAAATACGCAAGAAGAAATATAGTTCTTAATCATAAGATATAACGTGTATCAATCAGGTATGATTATGTACATCTTGGGACTGACCTTTACCATCCAAAAAAGAATCGACTCGGTCTCAAACGGGGGTCCGCTGAGTCAGTTTTTAGGTAGAGACAGAGAGCTGACCATACCACGGACATCCAGTTTTGTTTTGATGCAGTGAATGATGAGTTGATGTCAAAAAAGAAAAACTTACATTATTAAACATATCCCACTCAGGGACTGCTTATTGTTCTTTAAAATCTTGGCCTACCCTACATGTATATTTCATGAAATTTATTTATTTTCAATTGTTACAGGGACAGAGTTTGCCATCCCAACCTTCAATGAGCTATTCTCAGATCCTACTATCGTTGTACAACTGTTGACAGATCTTGGTGTTCCTAGTGACATCACTGAAGCTTTCTTATACATGGCTGTTCAAGCAGATCAGGTACGTGTATATGACTGTCCAATGTAGATGTTAACCGTAGTGATAAGGAGGATGGGAGTGGTATGTGCAGAAAAATGAATCAGCAAAACAAAGTTTACAAAGATTGTTCTTCTTTGGTGTGGTGATGCATGCAGCATGCCTTAAAAAACTAATCAAAGCAGTCATTATAATCATTCATGACAAGGAAGACATTTTTATATACTATATTTTTGTATATATCTTTGCTACTTTGAATATCTATCACAATAAAATAATAGTGATTCTTCCCTGCACACTTCCGATTCATTTAATTAAATCTATTTTAAATCATTTTAGTGGACAGAGATATGGATGAAGCCCGACCCTCTCCAAGCTGTCTGCGATACGAGTCTCTTTCAAGACATCTTCACCCAGACTCTCAACTCCGCCATTGATATCCAGACCATCCAGGCAACACTCTGCTCTCTAAACCTCTCTGATATTGATGCTTTACTGAATGATATCTTCAAAGCAAACGGTATGATAGTTCAGGTAAGTGAACTGATGGTTGTTTTGGTTTGTGGATGTAGGGCGTCACATTAACTCCATGGAAGGGGGTCTGTATTACTGTTTTAGAATCGTTATGATGGAGTCCTGTGTAAATTTTCCATTTTTTTGTAGGATAGGGGTCCAGACTCAGATTTGGGGTCCCCGTGAGCCCTGCATGGGTGCCTATTGGTTTCAAGCTCTGAATAATGGGTCCAATTATCTACTCCTGGAATACATCGACATGTAGGAGGCAGAAGGGGCCTAAACATAAGTCAACTGCAAGATAATTATGCAGAACCGATTTCAACGTAAGAAATAATCACAAAGCATTGAATCAGAGGACTTTAAGCCTTTGAAAACAAAGTGTGTAACTTATGGCCACCCCTTAACATTAAAACACCTGTTTTTCATCTCTTCTGACCTTAAAGATATCTATACTCCTCTTCAATGATCCCACCATGGATTGGGCGACGGCATGGAACATCAGCATTTACTTCAGTCAAATGTTTGATGAGCTATTCCAGAATCCTCCCATGATAGAGCAAGACATAAAGCAGTAAGTATTACACAACTCACTCCTAGCTCCTAATAAAATGATTGAAAATGAAATAGCTCGTAACAATCCGTAAGTATCGTAATCCGCTCGCAACAACACTTAACCATCCATAAACTGCTTGCAAGAATCCATAATTGACTCGTATTTATTACGGTAAGTTTATGATTTGTTAAAGGATTAATTACGGATTATTACAAGTGCTTACGTGTTGTTTACGACTTCATTCGGGTAGTGTTACAATGGCTTTACGGATTGTTACAGGTTATTACGAGCACTTTACGTGTAGTTACAAATACTTTACAAAAAGATACGTGTACTTTACGTAGTCTTACAAACTGTTTACGATTTGGGGAAAGGTGTTAAAGCTGCAAATTCGAACACTTCATTGTTAGTTGTTATTTTTTGGTTAAAAATCCTAAGGACTCGTAAATACTTGTACCTAACACGTTAGTTGCTCATAGTTATCCGTGACAAATCGTAATAATCTGTAATAACCCGTAAATAGTTTGTAATAACTCATTGCAACTCTTAAATCGATCGTAAAAGTGGTCAAATCGTAAGGATCCATGAAAGATCTGTGTATTTGTGCGAACCGTAAGGATTCGTAAGAAAAATCTGTATACGTGAAGGGGGTATAAGGTGGTTGTTACAGTTTAAATACTAAACAAATTCTGATAAAAATATGTCAAATTATGTCTTTTGTATTCCAGGCTAACACTTTCTCTGTTTGGTGAACTGGAGAGTATGTTTAAGATGTATGGTGTTTGGGATGATGCTAAACATTATCTAAAATATGTTGAACTTTCTCTTCTCTTCCCTTTGCATTCCAGGCTAACACTTTCTCTGTTTAGTGAGCTGGAGAGTATGCTGAGGATGTATGGTGTTTGGGATGATGCTAAACATTATCTAAAATATGTTGAACTTTCTCTTCTCTTCCCTTTGCATTCCAGGCTAACACTTTCTCTGTTTAGTGAGCTGGAGAGTATGCTTAGGATGTATGGTGTTTGGGATGAGGCTGAACATTATCTGAAATATGTTGAATTCTATCTTCAAGTCGTAGGACATCACCTCGGCAACTCAAGTAAGTCATTTCTTATTGTTATTGTTATAGGGGATAGTAAATGGATAAGGGGCCAATAACCCATAGTAATCAGTTTATGGTTGTGTGCGCCATTTTAAACAAAGCCAATGACCTAGAGGTCAGTGGTATTTATGCGTAAATTAAGATTGTGCCCATGCAAATTATGATGTGAGCGCACAGAGCAGCGCACAGACAGTGATGTCATCATAATTTGCATGGGCGCAATCTTAATTTACGCATAAATACCACTGATCTCAGGTCATTGGCTTTGTTTCAAAGCCAATTACAAGTCTGCGCATGCGCACTGATGTAACCGTAAACTGGTGTATTCAGACTTTTTTGAACGTCAAAATGAATCAGCTTTTTCTCTTCAAATTGGCAACAATAATTTGTAACATAGTTACAAAAATCAGTAACAAAATAAATAAGTAGGAGTGTACATCGAATGAAACAGTGTGCATGAAACTTACAACAAAAAATTATTTCTGATTTTTATATTAAGAAAGAGTGATTATAGATTCATTTTTCATTGCTGATTTACAGACTTTAATGATTACTTATACTTTACAATTTTGAACTTGTTGGTATGTAAATTTCAACTGGATCTATGTGATGGAGTTAATGCAATTGAGATTAGAATATACTTTTTTTGGTGGACAGTTGCTAAAATCGATTTTGATTTATCATTATTGATTCACCAATAGAAGCCATTGGACATACCATGATCACTGTTGATGATGATTTGTTTATACTCTTTTAGACAACTTCTTGAAGGATTTATTTGATCCGACCGTCTCGCTGGATACCTTGGTACGCTACGTTGGCATGTCACCGGAAGAAATAAGAACCGCTTTACTTGGAGATGTCACAGATATATCCTTTGTATGTATACAAGTACACATGATATTAAAAGATGAACACCAAAATCATGTGTCATAGATTATGTTGAAAGCAAGTTGATATATGAATTAAAGCCCCAGTGCACTACTTATAGAGCTACTTGCGGCCTCTTTATAGCAAACAATGCCTAATCGGTGACCATTGGTCCCCCATGGTCCCCTTTTTCTTATGTTAATTGACAGCTGATTTGATGAGATAACCACCTGTCAGTGACTGACCATGCAGGGAGATCTAATCCCTCTTGGCCAAACTAGTACAGAGGGGCTTTAAATGACATGAAGATACTTTTAATCCTATGTGAGAAAACGTGTTATGATTTTACGTGTACATGTATTATGGTAGAGTATTATGATATGATATACTAGTTGAATTTAAGATTGCTATTTTATAGAGATGTTTACACGTTGGAGAGATTGTCGGAAGTGTGCATTTTCAAACGATGGCGTGACAGATGCCCTTGTGATGATTGAGGGGGGTGTTACACAAAGTCTTTTTTCAATGACAAATGACAAAAATCAGTCACAAATCAGTTGATAACCAATCAGAATCAAGGATTTCAGTAGCTTATAACAAAACCTGACACTTGTCACTGATGACAAGTTTTGTGAAACGCCCACCAGGTTCACTTTTAAGATGAAATTCCCAACTTCAACTATTGACCCAAAACTGTTATCTTTTTTTGTGGTTATTTTCTCCCTAGCTTGCTGAACTGTACTATGGGGACGGGGACTGGAACTACCTATTCTATTGCGATGACAAAGAACAGTTTGAATCTAATTATAACACTACCAACGATGGGTTCTTGGACCTGTTTGCTGTCAGAGAGGCCTTCTGTTCTCTGAACATCTCAGAGTTCTTTGAGACTGCCAAGAATATCTATGGCTTTGATTTCCTACGACTGGCAGAGCTGGTGAGTGTTGGATAACGCTTCGATCGATCGATTGATTGATTGATTTTATTTGTGAAGTACTTGAAAAGTGTCATTACATTTAAATCGTGAAAAAAACCTTTTGGATTGGACTGGATTAGACACTGTATAACTATGTAACATGACCTGTATTTGCGCTAATGTGAAGATATTGACTTGCCTGCACCTTTTAATGTTTTTTTTAGACAGAAATATGGCACCATGTAAATGCTTAGAATCATCATCATTTTCCTCATTGCTTTTTTAAATCCTATCTAGGAATCCATAAGGAGTAGGAACGGCTCAAGTCCTGGTCTTGATATCGAGTCTCTCGTAGATGTTGCAACTGACATAGCTCAGATGATCACAGATCTGGCTAATCTACCATCTATGCTGACCAAAGACCTGGACTTGGACTTCTTCTTGATGAGACTAACAAACTTGTCTAATGCGATTGACGAACAGGATTATGAGCAGTAAGGATACACATTGATTGTTACATCTTAAAATATAAAAGAATGATAAAGTACTTCTTCAATTTCCAGAGTTAGTGCATAAACCTGTATTTGGTTGATTTGATTTGATTTAATTCAGTTGACAGACCCTGTTCGTTACTGGCATTGAGTTTGTTAGGATGTTCACATTATTCTAGCAGATGGCAGGTTCGAATCCCTCTGGTTTTAAGATTTTTTTCTGACTTAATTGTTTTCAATTACAGATCGATCAATTAATCTTTATTTACTGGTTGTAAGCCTCAAATATGTTTAAACAATTGAAATTTCTCCCTGGAAGCATTACATTTATAAAACTTATTGTACTAATGGCAGACTGATGAATATTAACAAGTCAGAATGAGACAGGAGAGCTTGGGTTTTTGTTTCTTGTTCATCGTGACTGTGCCATGGACCAGTGATGGCCTGGTGGTAGAGTCGCTGCTCGGCAAGCAAATGATGGTTGGTTCATATCCCGCTGGTTACAAGATTCTTTCCGACTTGTTTTCAATTACAGATCGATCAGTTGATCTGTATTTACTGGGTGTAAGCCACAAATATATTTAAACAGTTATTCTAGCTGTTCTTTCAAAATGCAATGATTTGAGCATCATATCTTTTCAGGCTGATCGCACTCCTGGGCGAGCTTGCTCCGTTGCTTCGATCACCCGACATCGTCTACCAGATCCAGGCTTCTCTTATGTCAAGTAGTGATATCTTGTCATGGTTTGAATCTATAGATTCTACAGAGTGAGTGTTGGAATGATAATAATAATAATGTTGGAATATTAATAAATTGTTCTATAATAGAGCCACTCCTGCCACCCATCCTTTCCAAGCACTATAGTTCTCCTTAAAACTATAAGCTAAGAAAGATAACCAACAATCTTTCTCAAGACTACACCAACAGTCCTTTTCAGGACTACACACCCTCAAAAAAGATTACTGAGAGTCCTGAAAAGGACTAAATCCTCAATCCTCCCTCTCTCTCACATGGTGCATCCGCAAGCCTACTTCATAAATTGTTCTTGCATACATTACATTTTAGTTAACAGCACTATGTAATTCCTATTGGGTTGAATATTAGAACTCTAGCTTAAACTCCCATAGCTGTTAATGTACATGTACCGGCTCACAGTATTTTAAGGAATAAATCTTGCCAGGTACTCATTGGACTCGTAGGTTGAGAGAGAGAGACAACTGTAGAGTGCCTTGTTTATATTGTCAAAAGAATAGGGCTAGAGCTAGAGTTGAAATTGGATTTAGGTTAGATTAGGTTAAGGGTTAGTGTTTGTTATATAGTATCTGGTGCAGAGTTGAAATTTAGAATTTGTCTATTGTAGTTAATAGCAGTTTGTTACCAGTGCACATTCATGTATTTCACAAATGAGAAGCATATTCATATATTTCCAAAATTTGAGGAGACACGATGGGTCAGTGGTAGAGTAGTGATTTTCGGGAGGTCCTGGGTTCGAAACCAAGTCAATGCGCTCATGCCCTTTAGTAAGGCATTAGTCCTCATTACCAAGTCCCTTGGAGAGGACTTAAAGCCGTTGGTCTCCAGGTTTCTTACTTATAAGCAAATACATGCTTTCTTAATAATAACAATATTGGATATTTATATAGTGCACATATCCACCATGCAAGGTGCTCAAGGCGCTCCAATATTACCTGGCTCTGAATCAGCGCTCACAGCATTCAAGGAATTCCTTCCTCCTGGTACCCATTTAACACCTGAGCAGTCAGTAAAGCAATCCCCATCAAACAAATCAAACAAATGTACACTGTATCAATGTGTTTTGAGTTGTACATAGTTTATTTTTTTACAGCCCTGTGACGTGGTTAGAGCGTATCGAGGGAGCACTGAATGAAACACTCTTATGGCACACCATTCTCCCTGCTCTCAATTTTGTTGATCTTCTCATCGAAGTAGACCTTGATGCTCTCAACCCCCTTGGTAAGTTCCCTTGATTGGTTAATCAGCTATGGTAAGTTCCCTTGATTGGTTAATCAGCAATGGTAAGTTCCCTTAATTGGTTAATCAGCAATGGTACGTTCACTTGATTGGTTAATTAGCAATGGTAAGTTCCCTTAATTGGTTAATCAGCAATGGTACGTTCCCTTGATTGGCTAATCAGCAACATGTACGTGATGGCCCAAGATGGTGGGTTGTGGTCTGAGTGTACCTGTTGGTGCGCCACAATCTTGCCTTTCCTTATTAAATTGTAGATGTTCCTTCATTTTGTGCAAAATCTCACTGTAGAAACAAACTTGTATGTATTTTGAAATAGCTTTCAGTGAATCATAAGATTTATTTGAAGGTATGAATCAAACAAATTGAGACGATACAACTCTTGATTGGACGATGAAAAGTGGTTAGAAAGCGGGAGAGGGCAGGTGGGGGGGGGGGAAGTGGTAATATGGGCTGGTCAAGTGTTTCAAACTAAATATGCATGCTGGCCTATTACCTCCGTACAGCGAATGAGACATTAATTGGTTGATCATCTATTATCTTATTTGCCACTTAAAGCTTGAACATGATCAGAATTCTTCTAGCTATTGGCCTAGAGACATTAATTACAATTTAAAGGCTGAAGTAAAGACCTACCTTTTCACCCAGCAGAAAATTATCATTATTATTAATGTTTACTTGATTTCATATCTCTCAAACTTAAAATTCTTATCTTTAAATGTTTTGTTTATCCTCTAGGTTACAAGCAATATTAACTGATAAACATAAGATTTTTGTTGTTTTGTTCTTTAATATGTCTAGGTTACAAGTACTATGACTTGATAACCAATGAGACTGCCCTTCAACAGTACCTGACCGATCTTCTAGGCTTGGCCCCAGAGTACGCAGAGGCAATCACACTATCTGGAGTCAAAGATGTACTTGTGGTATGTCTGTTTGCTTTCGCAATTTTGTCTGATCTGTTTTTACTTAATTAAAATAAACAAATAGTGTCATTTTACTCTTGTGTACCAATTAATTCCCGAAGATAAATAATTGGTGTAAAGCTAGAATGTATAACGTCATCCTCAAAATACTTTACCTGGCATTATATCGACCACGGATAAGGAATATGAATGAGTTAAAGAATGATTCAAAGTCCCGCGCAAGGAAGCCAAGTTGGACTTGGGTTGCATGCAGGCCATATCTGTGAGCCCGTACAGGTACGTCTTGCAGTCTACTTGCAAGTCTCTTTGATAATAATTAACTCTTTATATGAGTAATATTTGAAGCTCATGTTTTGAATATCATGAATAATTGCCTCATGGAACCCCTAGCATACGGAACAAGATATTTTGTTGGCGATTGGTGCTCTTTAGACCTGAAAAGTGTTAATACGATTGTCATCCAGGTATGAGAAGTTTAGACTTAGGATAGCCAATACTTTTTTAAACAAGCTCTGGCTGTCTGACTGAATTCCAAATTTCCTAGATCAAACAATATCTAGAACCCTAACCTTGAATCTAATGCTAAAATAACATACATTCATTTTCTGTTTTCCAAAATATGTCCTTGAGAAAACAACAGCGGGATAAGACGTTTTTGCCCGTTTACTTTTATCTTCTCTGTTTTCCATGTCATATTGTTTATCTCTCTAATTTTGTTTCTGTATGTTTAGCTTGCCGATCATCACTTGTCCGGGACATGGGAGTCCACCTACTGTGTCACGGTAGATTCAGCTAATGGAACAGACTTGAACCTGACTGCAGTCTACTCACTCCTATGTAACCTTGATCGAGAACAGTTCTTTGAGAGCCTGAACACTCTCATGGGCATCGATGTCCTAAGATTGACACAATGGGTAAGATGGTGAAGATGATAATGACATTGGTGATGGTGATGGTGATGGTGAAGATGATGATGATGATGATGTTGGTGATGGTGATGATGGTGATGATGATATTGGTGATGGTGATGATGATGATGGTGATGATGATATTGGTGATGGTGATGGTGATGGTGATGGTGATGGTGATGGTGATGGTGATGATGGTGATGATATTGTTGATGATGATGTGTGTGTGTGTAATTGGGTTTATAAAGACGTGTATCAATCAGATATGATTATTTACTTCTGGGGACCGACTTTTAACGCCACCATCCGAAAGACTGATGATGATGATGAATAAATATACATGTTCTTTATTCTATTTCTTTAAAGATTGGCGATGTGACGAACCCAGAGAGAGGTGTGGTGCAGAGGTTTGACTGGCAGACACTGGTAGGCAATGTACAGTCCCACATAGATACGCTGACTGGCCTCACTAGCATAGGACAGATAGGAGGTGTTAATGTGACCCAGGTCGAGAATCTTATCCAGAAACTTCAGCAGGGAATCGAGCAGTTTGATTACGAGGTGTAAGTATAACCACGTGTACATGTATCAGATAAGATGTTTAGTGGTGATGATGATGATGAGATGGTGATGGTGATGATGGAGATGGTGATGGTGATGACAATGATGATTATAATGTTGATGATGGTGATGATGATGATAACTGATGATGATGATGACTGTGAAGATGATGATAATGATGGTCATGATCATAGTGATGATGATGAGAATGATGATGATGTTGGTGTTGATGATAATAAGATGATATATTCAGATAATAAATTAGGTAATCATATAAATATGATGTAGAAATAGTGATTGTAAACAAAGTACATTTGAATGCCGATTGTGAAGTTGTTGGGTGTGTAGATGATGAGTAATAATATTGACTAGGAAAGGGATGTATATAACATGAAGACCACTGATCTTCCTTCAAGATTTAGAAAGAGAGAGAGAGAGAAGAAAGTTACAGAAGATGAAAAAGGAGGGGTAAAAGGTAAAACGTTTTTGTCTTTTCTTTCAGGTTGATTGAACAAATGGAGATTCTAAACCAGATTCTTTACTTGAATGGTGAATGGGACAACATCAAAGGTTACATAAATGCTGTCACTAACATTGTTGAATGGATTAATCCACAACTGGAGAATGCACATGGTTAGTCAATATATCTCTCTTTAATAGTCCATTTAGTTTTTGTATGAAGTGCAGTTGGCAACTAAATTATTCATACCCTTACCAAGTTTTCCTGATAATTACCTGATTTAAATTGTTTTCCCGATTTTTGTATTTTGTTTCCTGATTTTATTTTTCCCAATTTTTTATTTTTATTTTTTATTTTTTCCTGATTTTCTTCTTCTTTTTCTTCCTGATTTTACCCCTATTTCCCTGATTTTTCCCTATTTTTTCCATTTTTTTTTTGGTGCTCACTATCACTCCTAGTTTTGTAATATTTTAAGTATGTTAAAATTTGATATGTCCCATTTATATCTTTGTTGAGAATGTGACATATCAAAGCTTACATCAAAACGTATTTAAACAAAGGCCCTTTTTGAGTTGTATGATACATATACATCTTCACTGATATCAAGAGATATGGAAGTGTATACTTTAAAAGTGCATGTATAATAAGGTTCATTTGTTTGTCTCTTTCTACATGTAATAACATTACCCTGCTTGCGTTGGTCCCCCATCATGCAACAGCTATCCAGAATCTCTGCCATACAAAGGGCATGTCAGACACAATATTCATGGATGATATACTGATAATACAAATACACTCTTTCTTGTTCCAGCTAATAACGTTACCCTGAGTGAGTTGATTACCCATCATGCAACAGTTCTTCAGAATCTCTACTACGCCCTGGGCAGCGACCTATTCCCTCAGCTCATTACAGCATTGGTGAATCCACAACAGGTTAGCTACAAAAATCATGTAAAATTATTCTCAAAAGCATATTTATTGTTCAAGATTGTAATTTTTTAAAACTTTTGCATCTAAATTTTTTTTTAAAATCTTTGTCAAACTCTCACAACTATGTTTTTCTCACATTCTGTTGTATTAAAACCCATGAAAAAACGAGTGGACAGAAATGAGATATTTCTTTATTTTGATCCATTCTTTTTTAAAGAAAATTGGATACATCAGCTTTCTCGTATACAGTGAAAACTGCTTTAGCAACCACCTGTATAGAAAGACCAACTGTCTATTAAGACTACATTTTCCATTTCCCATGAATAGTGTTTCTCAAAAAAACATGTATTACAAAATGTTTACATTTTCTGGTCTCCCTTTATTTTAGATTGTTACAATTTATTACAATTGTAACAGTGACATTATCTAGTATAATCTCACTGGTGTTTATATAGTGAGATGTGAAGATAGATGACTATTAAAATCTACATGTATTAATATTGTCTGATGAAATAGGAACCTCTAGAAGCACAATTTATGAGAATGCATTTACTCAGCCTATTGAATTATCTTTTTCCCCCATATACCATTCATTATTGGTTTGGTATTTTAAAGTTTGGAATTCTTTTCATGATATAACGGCATACTTATCATTAAAAAACTTATGATGTAAGAGGAAATTGTCAATTTTTTTCTTCACCTACGTATCAATGTAGCATTGATTGGTAATCTCATATATTCCTTACACCATCTTTTTCTTGTTTCCAGGCAATGACACTGAATACCCATGATGATATTGAGACGGTAGTCTGTGACGCAGACTCCTTCAACGAGCTTCTCAAACCCACCCTCTATTCTGACACGAACTCACTCCAGACGTCGCTGTGCTCTCACCTTATGTCGGGTCATCCAACCATAGCCAATGACCTAATGACCCACTTCAACATAGCTCCTCTGGAGCATGAGGTAACTTTCAATAACAAGTTATAAGCTACTATAAGTGTTATAAGCTACTGAAATTATGACATTTGATTGGCTGAGTTCAAGTTTGTCATAGAAATTTAGCATTTGCTATCGATAACAAGGTGGATGAAATAGGGCCCAGATGTCACTTTTGTAGGTTCAGCTTAAATTAGGATTACTTTTTTTAAAGATATTGATGAAATTTATATAATTGCATAAGGGAAGGTTAGATCAAACAATTTTATAAAAAATCCCGCCTGCATGAAAATGCTCAGAGTAACAATTAAGCTTCTACGATTGTCATCTGCATGACTCCTGGTTTCTAGTGATACATAACTGGCCATACTTATAATAATCACAGGGACAGAGAACAGGCAATTAATTCAGTGTGCATGATTCTCAGTAAGGTATGTCTCGGTAAGATTGATTTGTTAGGCATAAAACACACCTCATTGTATATATATGTATTCAACCACTGTACACTGTGTAGCTGTTTCTTGAACATGCACCAGAGTGACTTAAAAGAAAACTGCCAATAGACTTTTAGGTACTTCTTAAAGGCATCGTTTAACAATGTTAAATCTGAGATGCTTGGCCCTACGTGTTATCAGTGTCTGTGATATGGTTAAATAGTTAAGCCATAAAAATTGCGCTTCAAAATGATCATGAAGTGCCTCAAAAAATTCAAAATCTTTGAGTGACCGGTTTTACCATACTCGTTTTTCCCAATAGACTGTAGTGTTATAAAAACCGTTAGGAAAACAAATTCTGAAATTTCTAATTCCAATCATAGATATCTTGATAATCAGATAGACGATTGGTTTGTTAAAGTCATGGGATTCATGTATAACCTAAAGCTTTATAATTATTAAACGCTATTTGGCTAAAACCGCCGTTTTAATACATTTTTTGCAGATTACCGTCCTCGCTACGAACAACTTCGACTTAGGTTTCCAGGACCAGGACATTGATATGCGTCGTATGGTTAACGAATTTGAGAAGCTGTCAAATGGATTAATTTTAATAACCATCAGAGACGTTATGAATCATGCTGGTCTTAACATCACCATGCTGCCCACCATAGATAACCTGGAGTAAGCTTTCATTTTTCTTTTTTCTTCAAGTTTTCTTTGATTTCTTTGAATAGATATTGTATTAAACCAAGTCAATTTTACCACTTTCGTGATTAAGATGAAAGGACAAATATATGAACTTGTATTGATATTCCCAACTACTTTACTTCACTGCATATAGCTATTGCTGCTAAACCCATCCTTCCTTTTTAATTTCAGTGATATTTTAATAATGATCTCTGGATTTCTGACCCAACTTGGCCATGATTATGTTTAGGGTTAGATTAAGGGTCAAGGACAGTGCTAGGTCCTGGTTTGAAATTAGGAATGTGTTTAATATAGGATATTCACTGTGTAACATAGCTATTTCTGCTCAACCTAGCCTTCCTATTATCATTTCAGTGATATTCTAATGATGGTCTCTGGATCTCTGACCAGCACATTACCCGCCCTACCCCTATGGGATGAGGTCTTCTACCCCATCCTGGGAAGGCTAGACTTGGCCATGATTATGGTGGAGGATCTGTTCTTCTCACTACCTGGTAAGTTAGTGTATAGATTTATTCATTTATATATTCATTTTTGTATTCATTTATTAATTATGTATTCATTTATTTATTTATTTATTTCATTTATTAATTTATTTACATTTGTATTAATTAATCAATTAATTAATTAATTCATTCATTCATTAATTAATTAATTCATTCATTAATTAATTTATTAATCAATTAATCTATTCATTCTTCCAAGTATTCTACAGTGGATGCAAGCAAACACATTTTGCTCAATGTATATATTTACATTGGGAACATAACTGCACAATGAAGCTACATTGGCTCGTATCTGGCTCTTTGGGAAGATTCATATACAAATAGTCATTCTTTATTGTATAGGGTGTGTAGTAAAAAAAAGTATGGTTCTTTGTACATTGCTAAAGGGTTAATCTATTATAGAGAGAGCTTATCATCATATTGTGAACATGAAATATTCAGTCTTGATTTTGTCAAGAAAATGAAGAAATTTGAATAATGTCTTCCCCTTGCAGATCATAAACCTGACATACAGGCTGTCCTAGATACCGTAATGCCCCAAGTCCAACTTTTTGTTGCTGTATGGAAAGTAATAAATAGAGCTGCCAACTAGTATGGATTTCCCGTAATTGGTACGGAAATTAATGATCATTACAGCAGTTAGGAATGTTGTCTTAAATTAAGGATTTTTTTTTTTTGGTAGCGAGTGCTGTGCAGTATGGCAGCCATCCAACCCTCGCAGAGAAAGACGGAAAAGTATCAAGTATTCTCTTCACCAATTTTTCATGGAAAACTAATGTGTTGTGATGACCTGAAAATCAATATTTAGCAAACTGGTGTGAGTAAAATCACCAAAAATGTTGAATATAATGCGTGCATGCGTCCCATTATTTTAGATTCTTAGCGACGCATAGGACATAACTGATTTATTCCCAAAATTACTGATTTTGAGCCTTGTGATTACTGATTTTCTGTTCTGGAGGTTGGCAGCTCTGGATAAAGTGTTAATTAAGGTCAAAGCTTCATTGTCAATGTGCCTTTCAAGTGTGCTTATTTTTTAGCTCGTCAGAGAATGAAGAAACCTTGATAATGTCTTCCATCTTGCAGATCGTGAAGCTGAGATACAGACCGTCCTGGACAATGATACCATCGTTAATGCTGCAATACCAGTCATCCTGACCGAGGTTCCTAAGGTTATAATGGCATGGAATGAAGTGATGGAACAACCTTTACAGATACCTGTGGTAAGGAGAAATTTCATCTTAAGGAAGAGAGAGGGAGAGAGAGAGATAGAGAGATAGAGAGATAGAGAGATAGAGAGATAGATAGAGAGAGAGAGAGAGAGGGGGGGGGTGGATGAATGCAGAGAGGATGGAGAGATAGAGAGATAGGAAAGAAAGAAAAAGAATCAAGAAGAGAGATATCCTTTTGTTAAAGCTGTGATACCAGTCATATTGACTTACGTATCTAAGGTAGAGGTGTAATGGTGGAGTGGTTTCGTCACCGGACTGTCGATCACAAGGTCAGCGGTTCGAGTCCCACCGCGGCACTAATGTCCTTTGGCAAGATATTGTTCTACATTTGCCAAACTCAACCCAGGTGATGTAAATGGGTACCTGGCAGGAATTAATTCCTTGAAATGCTAGAGCGCCGTATTGGCAGCACAGCTAAAGCCAGGCAAATAATTTCCAAATTTGTTATTATTATTACATAAGGTTATAATTGGATGGAATGAAGTGAGGGAACAACCTTTACAAATACTTGTGATAAGGGAGATTTCATCTTAAGGAGGGAGAGAGAGAGAAATAGAATGACAGAGAAAGAGAGAGAGAAAGAGAAGAGACAGAGAACAAGATAGAGACAGAGAGAGAGAGAGAGAGAGAGAGGAGCCCCCTGTAAGTAGAGAAATGGAGGGAGAACAATTTGTGAAATCAACCAAATCAGGAAAAAGGGAAAGAGTGTGTGTATTATCAAAGTACTTTGGTCACAATCACTTCCCCAAGTCAATGCTCATGAAGTGGAGATGCTACATATCCTCTTCCCTACCAACAGCTCAGTAAATTGATCATAGAACTGCTGAAGGGCTCTTTTGAAGGCATCTCTGAATTAGATCCCTCTTTCCTGAGTGACTTTTTGACACCAGGTAACTCCACCAACGGGTCATCTACAGCAGTATTTGATCTCATCGTGAGTCTAAATACAATGCTTGTCACTGACTTTGGGCAGCAGCTTTTGGATGTCTTCAGGATCAGAGAGAATGCTGAAAGGGTGAGTTACAGTTAGAGCTTAGAATTAGATTGCTATACTTTTATCAATCTTACAGATACAGGTTATATGTTACAGTTTAGATTGTTTGTATGTAGTATAGTTTAGTTTGTTATACTCTTTGTCAGATTTGTCGTTATTATACTCATCATGTTTATACTCCGCTCTTTTCCCTATATATGTAGTATGTAACATATGTTTTATGGCTGAGTCTGAAAGAAAGTTCTGAATTGAATTGAATTGAAAATTTGGAAATGACATTTATTTATCTATTCATTTATTTATTTGATTTATAATTCTATTAAAATATTTTGGTGTATATAATTTATTTATATTCATACTGATTTATTCATTTATTTATATATGTGTTTGTTTATTCATTTAGTTATTTTCTTTATTCATTTATTTATTACTGGTAATCATCTATTTGTCTGTTTGTTTGTTTATCTAAAATTGAAATTGAAATTAATCATTTACATGCAATGTCCATTCAGAAATATATTTTCAATGGTATAAATTTACAAACAAAGTTACAAAAAAGAAATAATCATAGCCATTGTCAATTACAATAATATATACAATTCTCTATTTATTTCTTCATTGATTTGTCTACTTTCATTATTTCATGATCTTCAATATTCTCCTCATAGCTGGACATCATTACTGACTTTGACAGCAAGGACCTTCCCCCGTTCGATGCTGCATTCATCGGTCGTTCCAAAGACTTTGTAGAGAAGGCTATGGACTGTGCCGCGAATCCTGATGGTTGCATCGTAGATCTCCAAGCTCCACCTACCCTAGACCTCCTGGTGAAGTTGATCGAGATACCTAACCAGTTGCCTGAGGGCAGCTTGGAAAGGTGGGGGTGCAGGTCGATTTCAAGCATTATGGAATGACATTGCTAGAGAATTTTCAGTTTTGAAAAAAGAACATTTTAACAATAATCTTCAACTTAATGATATTTTACCTGTACATGTAACAATGATAATGATAATTATATTTGGTTCTTGTAAAGTGCATATCACATTATATAACGTCTCCATGTGCTTCCAAAGAGCTTTGGAAATGATTACCCTAGCTTTAGCTCCGACAGCCGTAATCACCGCCCAGTGCATTTCAAGGAATAATCCTACGGGTAGTAACTAATATGAAGTATTTATGACAACACATGGGTTTCCAATCAACCATTCATCAAATTCATCAAATATTGAATTTTAAATAGCTTTGTTGTGGAATAACTGTGGATGTGTGCGCTATGAAATATCCAATATTATTATTATCATATTGTTATGATATTTTTCTTTTTCTTTATGCGTACAAGTACATTAGTTTCATTTTACATGTACACTGTATATGTGACGACACTTTATTTACCACATATCCTTATTTTGTCTTATCTTTCTATCTTACATGTGCAGCCTTGGGGATGTGTTTGTTATCTTAGCTCCTGTTGTAGAGGACTTATTTCAGCAGCTTGGGAACGGGACAGGAGAGTTTGGAAACAGCCTCAACCTGGTTTTCTCCTTTCTTAGGACAGTCTTTGAATCAAACAAAGTTCCTCTTACTGATGGTAAGTATCGATCTCAATCCTTACCTCATGTACATGTACATGACATATTAATATCAGCTTCTTGTCCTATTTTCTATCATGGTACTTGTACAGTAATTATTCATACCCTTACCAAATTTTGTAATTTTTTTAGTATGTGAATTTTGTTGTTGTTGTGTGTGTTATTGTGTGTTCTCAAGCAAACACTGAAAGAGCTGTTTGTCTTTGTCCAATCTTCTTTAAATGTTGAAGTGTAGTATAGGCCTATTAAATCAAGAACTATGATGCACTTATACTGATAGCCGTATTGTGTAGTTCCTTTTATAGTTACGGACTTGTTAATTTAATTACTCATTATTTCTATATATCATTTGAGGTGTTCACACTTGTACAAGCATTGCTTTTTAGTAGACCCCACTATTTGCAACATGTATTTCTACATTTGTTTTAAATGCTTACAATTGATTTGTAATGTTTTGTTGGAAACATGAATAAATTGAAATTGATCGAATAGCCACCAAATAATGTTGGTTTTATTTGTTGTATCTCCAGTTCTGTCTATCTTCGAGTTCGAGGAGGCACTGTTGAATGGCTCCAGCATCTATCAATTCTTGAAAGAGAACACCGACCTGACCGAGATCGATCTCCTGACCCTAAGGAATAGTTCAATCAACGCTACAGTGGTATGACATGACATGGTTTTTTCAGAATTCTTGTGTGGTAGAAGGTGTAGGTGGCAAAGGCAAAACAAAAAAAATACTCTAACATTTTAATATTTCAGATGCTTTTTGTTCCCCACATATCAGACAAGTATTACCCCCCCCCTACAATTATTTTACAGATGCCAGTTACTAAGGGGTACTCCAGGATCATACATGGGCCCTTGAAAAATAGTAATAACTTGCACCAAGTACGCGCCACTACAATATTATCACAGCGTTTGCAAAAAAACAATACATAATATTGAATTACAAATGTTAGTTGAATTTCTTTTTCAAAAACCGTATTATACCTTCAAATTATTCAGGATCAAAGAATGGAAGACAAATGATTCTTTGCAAAGCCCTCATGGAAGTTATCTGGAACTTGGAGTGAACTTCCGTGTGTAGTGTGCAAAACATTTCCCCAATCTTATCCAAAAGTGGTCTTGACATTTATTCAGAATGTAATCTTTGTAATTTTAAGTTGTAATGTTGCTTTACAGGATATATATTTGAAGTTAATATTTTTAATACTGTCAGTGGTAATACAACTTATATGTTGAGTACTTATAATTATACATATAAATGTACATGTAATATTTGTTGCTTTATTAATTGCTTAATACATTTTAATATCATTGTAATTATTATTATTGGTAGTAGTACCTTATAGTAGTATTAGTAGCAGTAGTAGTAAGATCCTTATTATTATTATCATGTTCATCCCTTTTATCTAATGTTGTTCTGCTTAATCCATTTTTCTTCCTATTCTAGCTATTCAAACTCTTTGATCTCGGAGTGAAAGACTCTGTTAATCTGCCTTGCAATGAAGCCTTGCTCGATGATCTTCTCCTCGATGTCGACTCCACACTGAAAGAAGAAATCCTCAAGGGATTGTGTAGCAATGGAACACTCATTGCAGTAGAATTCTTTCGCACCAACATCGACTTGAAAACAGTTATTGATCTGGTGAGCAAATCTTAATTTTACAAGATTTTCATGTATGTAAAGCAGTATGTGTGTATTGGGTTTGTACAGACGTGTATCAATCCGTTATGATTATTTACGTCTGAGGACCGACCTTTAAACATCACCATCCGAAATATGTGACTCAGTTTCGAACCTGTGTCCTCGGGCTAAATCAGTTTGTAACTTCCATAGTTAGCTGGATTACAGGCGCACCCCACAACACCTAGTTGTCTGTCAAGAGCTGTATAAGGGTGTTAAAACCATACTGTACGTAACAGAAGCACGTACTACCACAAAACCCCCTCTAACGCCATCTCAGGTCAGCTGTAGCAGTATGATCCTGTACCTTGGTGCTTCCCTAGCTGCACTTTTGGTTCTGGCATCTAGTCCTCTGTCTGCGAATTAGGTATTGGGTTACACTCTGTTAGCAACTTGACCATGAGATGGCGCTTTGCAATAAACAGTACACTAGGGCAAAATGTTCTCGTCAGTTTATTATTGCTTTAACTTGATGTGAATTGATATAGAATGTTGCCCGTGTATGGTCTCATGGTGTCATTCAACCAATTAAATTGCCTACATTTTAGAACCCGTTTTGTAACCAACAGTTCCGTTATTATGTCTTTTTCTTGTTTGCTTACAGATTAACAAAAATGCTGGACAAACATTTCCGGAATTCCTCTTGGAGACCTTCAATGCCATCGGGAACTTGTCTGAAGTAGATTATGAGGCGCTTGGAGAGTTTGTAGCTATTGTCCTTCCAGCCCTCTTCGATGACGGTGTCCCGACGATCTCTGATCTTGATACACTGGCAGAGAATATCAACATTACGATAAGGGCCCTTAGAAGGTGAGTATATGTGTAATTGGGTTTTTACAGACGTGTATCAATTAGATATGATTATTTACGTCTGGGTACTGACCTTTAACGTCACCATACGAAAGACGTGACTCAGTTTCAAACCTGCGTCCTCGGCTGAATCAGTTTGTAACTTCCATTTATAGCTGGATTACAGGCGAACACAGGTCTTTTAACAGGTTGACTACTGAATCGTCTAATTCCCATAGGCTTCATACAGGAGCCACCCGGTTCCAGGGGTCAATTGGTTAAGAGTTGCGGTTGGTTCAAATTGACTGAAACTTGACCGGAAAGGCAAAGGTCATGGGTTTGAACCCTGATTTTGCATTTAAGTCCTTTAGGAAGCATTAATCTACAATTGTGTGTTCATAGATGGGTAAAGATTGTTGGGAATTCTTTGAATTCTGTGAGCTCTTGAATTATTAGCTTAGCTAGAGGAGGGGTAATATTAGAGCATATTTAGCTTCTTGTGTGGAGGATTTGTGCGCTGTAAAAATACTTATTTTTTGTTGTTTTCATTATTATTATTTTTCTTGTTGTTGTTGTCGGTGTTATTTTTGTTACTATTATTATTACTTTTATTATTATTAATATTATTACAATTATAAATACAGTCAAACCTGTTTATAGCAACCGCCGAAGGAAACACAAAAAGGGGTCATTGTAGACAGGTGGTCTTTGTGGGCATGCAGGTTCCTTTAGTACATGTTTCAATGAGAAACCATTTTGAAGGGAAACAAAAAATGTGGTCTTTGTAGACAGGTGGTCTGTGTAGACAAGTGGTCACTTTTTTGTTTAAAGCGACCGCCGAAGGAAACACAAAAAGGGGTCATTGTAGACAGGTGGTCTTTGTAGGCATGCAGGTTCCTTTAGTACATGTTTCAATGAGAAACCATTTTCAAGGGAAACGAAAAAATGTGGTCTTTCTAGACAGGTGGTCTGTGTAGACAAGTGGTCCCTAAAGCAGGTTTGACTGAATCATTATTAAAATCTGTGAATTTTCTATGTACATGTAGATGCCACTACATTCTTCTCACCTTCATGTGTACCTGAATACTAGTTGATCATATAAACTGCAGTTTATTCACAGAAAGTCACTCATTCATAGCTTACAATGTATTTGTTATTTTGTTTAATCTATCAAAGCGTGGATGCCCTGTTGACTCTTACTGAAGGATTATTCAAAGACTTCCCGACCTATCGCGATGTCCAGCAACTGATTAGAACTCTACTGGACAATATCTACGTTCTTGAACTTTTGGCTGAAATCCCAGGTAGGTCTAAAGCTTCAACTTCTCCTGTGGAAACACCTGCAAATGTGGTGATGAAAGTGACAATTGCTCCAGCTGTTTGTTGTTAGAAGTATAAGATAAGGGTTGGGGTTGAAATTGGGTTTAAGATTAGATTTAGGTTTAGGATTAAGGTAAGGTATAGTGCCTGGTATACTGTTAGATATACTGTTGGGTCCATGATTGAAGTTAGTTATTTTGAAACTACCCCAGAGCAATTTTCACAGAAGCATGTGCCGTTCAACAGAAGAAGTAAATTATGATTGTATTTTGTATCATTGTTTCACTTGAGGTAGATTCTATGCTCTCAACCAATGTGAATTAAGACATTCTCAGATAAACTCATTTAAACTTTGTTTAATACATTTTGTACTTTTTCCTAATTTGTGTGTATCAAATTATTCATTAGTACATTTCCGTTCAGGTTTTTTTTATAAGTGGAACACACGTAAGTTGAAATGGAATCTACCTCAGGCACGATTAAGAGATTTAATCCAACTGCTGTGCAATCACATGCTGAATGCATCTTAAGAAAGCAGGATACAGAATCCGTTTGGAGAGTTTGGACAGGTTCTGATTGCACTTAGCCCTAAGTAAGTCAGGAAGAGTCTCCCGATCAAGATGCGAATGAGCTGTCTTGCAAACAGCCAGATGAACAAACACGCGAATGGTTGGATTAACAACGATCGTTGAAGAAGAGCGAACGGTGTCTGAATACCCAAAATGTGCCAGACGGAATTTAAAAAGGAATGTTTGATTTCGTACTCTTTATCCTTCATAGATTTGACTGTGAACAACATTCTGAATGTGCATCTGAATACTCAATTTTAATACAGAATTTAAATGGAAATTTTTATTTTGTACCCTTCACAGATTTGACTGTGAACAATATTCTGAAGGATGAGCGTGTACTCCAGGACTTCTTGGTTGAGAATACAGCTCTACAACAGAGTGAGGCCAGGGACATCACGTATGCTACCTTCAATCTGGAGGAGGTAAACAAAAAGTCCTGAAGATAATTATTACTTATAGCACATCTGTCATGTATATACAGGTATACCCCTCAAGGAGCGGAGCGAGTGCACCATCATGTGCGGATTTGCAAATGAGTCCATTAATTATCAATTAATTTAACTACACAAATGTGGTACTGCTGACAATTATTACTCGTAGCACATCTGTCATGTATATGGAGGTATACTCCCCAAGGAGCGGAGAGTGTTGAGAATACAGCTCTAAGGCAGAGTGAAGTGAGGGACATCACGTATGCTACCTTCAATCTTGAGGAGGTATAACAAATGTCCTAAATATGATTATTACTCATAGCACATATGTCATGTATATAGAGGTATACTCCTCAAGGAGCGGAGGGAGTGCACCATCATCTGCGGATTAGCAAATGAGTCCCATTAATTAGCAATAAATCTAACTTCACAAATGTGGTACTGCATGATGATAATATTACTCATAGCACATCTGTCGTGTATATAGAGGTATAGTCCCCAAGGAGCGGAGAGGGTTGAGAATACAGCTTTAAGGCAGAGTGAAGTGAGGGAAATCATGTATGCTACCTTCGATCTTGAGGAGGTATAGAAAATGACCTGAAGATAATTATTACCCTCATGTATATAGAGGTATACTACCCAAGGATTGGACCATGTGCATGATCATGTGCGGATTAGCAGTCAAATCCAATAATTAGCAATTATCTTCACCATCATCGTTATCATCATCATCATTATTATCTTGATTCTTATCACTTTTCCTCCCAATCAGCTCTTCCTGACCGAAATCACCAAGCTCCTGGAGAAGCTTTGTGATCCCGATTACTTGAGCACCATCCTCATCTTCTCAAATCAAACCAATGCTACGATCCTTGCCGATACCATGTGTGGTCTCTCAGGTGATCAGGTCGCCACGCTCATTGAAACCGCCCTCCCGTTTATCGATGTCAGTGCCATCGTGAATGTGGTATGTAGATTTGATTTGACCTGTACAAGTTTTTTTTACCATTTGTGAAACCACATATGTAAGTTGTCTTTCTGTCAATTAGTTTATGACTCATCTGAAATCAACCGTCCTCCGGTTTATCGATGTCAGTGCCATCGTGAATGTGGTATGTAGGTTTGATTTGATTTGACCTGTATAACTTTTTTTTACCATTTGTGAAAGCATACATGTATAAGTGGTCTTTCTGTCAATTAGTTTATGACCATCTGAAATCAGCTATCCCATGAATAAGTTGCTATGATTTATCAGTCGAAGCTTGGTTTTTCTTCAGGTAAGTGCAATTTGTATAGGTGGTCCAATTTGTATATAGGTGGTCCCAAACTCTTGTCAAATGAACCTTAAACCCTGCAATGATAATTCATTTCAGCAGCTAGAAGCTATCCCGGGACGATGATGATGATGATATGCAGAGCGTCAGTGTGAGGTGCCACGGTCGAGTGAATACAGTTATACCTGCTTTAGCGACTACCTGGATAGAAAGACCACATTTTCAGATTCCCTTGAATAGTGTTTCTCATTGAAATGTGTACTACATTTGTTTTTACATAAAGACCACCTGCCTATAAATACCACATTCTTGTCTCCCTTGAGTGGTCTTGATATACAGGCTTCACTTTAATTGCATTTCCACATAATTATGTACAATAGAATGTGAACGTGCATCTTGCGAGTAAAACATGCCTCTGTTCTTACGAAGATGTGGAGTCAAACATGTATGATGTTAGAATCTATAGATCTGTAAAAATAGTCATGTACAATATGTTCGCTTGTCTTTTTAATAGAGTTATTTGGCCGACAGTTTTGGCGGGGCATTCAGCATCAGCAACGAAACTATCAGTCAAGTGATGCAATCCATCGAGTCCTTAGAGGCGGTTACCATGGCATTACCGGCCTTGCAGGAGGCCATCGCCAGTTTCAACGATGACCCAGCTATAGAGAGGTTGAGAGAAATGGCTGAACTTGGATTCTTCACAGGAGAAGAGGTGAGAGGAGAGGAAAGAAGTATTTTTAAAACTCAAAGACAAGAGGAAATACATTTTTTTAAAAGGTGTTGTGATAATAATAATAATATCGAAAATAATATCGCTAGGGACATTCGTTTGTCTCGCAATAAATCCGCAATGAGTAATATATCTAACATTAATAATAATAGTAGTAATAATATTATTATCATTTTTATTATTTTGATAATTCCAAGTTAGGAAGAAAAAATGCAGGGCTTCCTTAAAAAGCAGATCCACTGTCTTCCAGTGAAACTGAATGAAACTACCCTCTTAAAAGAAATCATGAATAAATAAATAAAATGAATAAATAAAATAAATAAATAACGGCTATGCATTTGTAAAATATAAATCTGTTGTTGTTCTTTTACCTAGATCTCTGCAGTCACTCAAGAGATTGTTTGTGGTAGCACCAGCTTGAGAAAACGTAGAGCCACCGAAGATTTCATTCGTACATTTGAAGATGCTACTATCACTGAAAATAAAGGTAAGTGCAGTGAAGTTTACAAGATTGTTTGTCACAAAGGACTTTGCAACTGCTAATCCCATTGCAACCAAATAAGTTTCAAAGACAATCATGGCAATTGCCAGTAAAAGATAAATTTGCATACATTTTACCAAGTGCAGAGATGCCAACCGTTACGGTTTCACCGTATTTGTTACGGTTTTAATGCTCTTGTTACGGCGTTACGGTAAACAATCAAAAGGTTACGGGGAAACGATAAATAAAAGTACATTATAGCGAATGCCGCCTTATCACATAGCCTCCGTACACTGTGCTGCATGTCGCACGCATTTACTCATAAGTTCACTGAATTTGACTACACTGGAAAGGCACTTTCGCGCACGTGGTCCGTCCGCCGCCATCTTGTTTAATTGTGAAACAACACGGCCGCCGTCATTACTGCTACGTGCGGTCGTGCGTTTTTGGGGGAGCATGGTGGTGGATGATCGTGCGCGTGGCGCCCGCAATACCCATTCAAAGTATAGTAGCGAAGACTTCGGTGATTCAGCAGGCGCATTGCAAGTGTGGTATACGGTGTGTTGTTGTTCATGAACGCCGGGCCTAGCGGCCTGGGCTGGTGTGTCTGTGGTAGTGGTGAGTGTACGTGTGCGTGTGTAGAATATGAGTTCTGCCATTTGACTGTGGATTCGAATTTGTGGTTCGACGCTTGAACGAGGTGTTTTCTTCCTGAATATTATCATGGATTCATTCAAAAGAGCGAGTACCCGAGGAGGAGATCCTTTGACTGCAAACCGATTTTTAAAAACGTTTTCATGCACATCTTTATTTTGGACTTAAAAATGGTAGGTTCGAAATGCAGTAAGAGTGATTGGGTGTTTGACGTTTCGCGCGAAAATTATGCTGCAGTGTCTTGCGTTCCGGAAAGACCCCCATTCGTTACGGACAAATTTGGTAAATGTTACTGACAGCCCTCCTATAGGGTTGGCATCTCTGCAAGTGCAACCAAAGGTGAGTCAGATATGTTCCCTGAGAACTTTCATATAATTTGTTCACAGGTGGGTGAGACATAATCGCCTTGTTGTAAAAACGAAACAAAAGAATAAATAAGTGATGATAGAGAAACCACAACCTACCATGGTGAACAAGACAATGTATGAAACAGATATATATTTGTATATTTTGTTTTTCTGTTTTTCTTAAATCATCAGATGACTTTTGTGAAAACATCTCGACAATGTACATATCTGTGTATATGTTTCTTTGTGCATTTTTGTACAGTATGAGCTGCTATTATGGGTCATCACAATTCTTTAGTGAGAACATCTTCACCTTGTATGTTTGTGCTCTTTTTACCTTAATATTATACCCCAACTGTTTTTATCACCAGATTGTGAAAACCTCTTGACTATGTGTATAATGTTTGTGCATGCAGTGTTTATATGCTAACTTTTTTATTTTCATCAGATGACTTTTGTGTGAACATCTTTAGTTCCATTGTGGATGGTATTGATGGACGTCTAGTCTGGGCTTACCTTAAGCCTATCGTAGCGGGCAGCATTCTCTACTCTCCGGATATTGCACCCGTCAGACGCATAATTGAAAAGGTGAGATGTGTTCACAGGCTCAATTGCTCTATAATAACAATTTCTAATAATCACATTTGTACAGCAATTAGTAATACATTTCTCAAGTGCTTTACATTATAATTATTGTTACCCTGGTCCTCAGATTGAGTTGCGAACCCACACATGATAGTGCACATGCTCTGCTCCCTTGGGAGTATCCCAGCCAGGTGTATTTTACAAGCGCACACATGCTAATCTAGCCACATTAACGCTCCCATCGTACCGGGGACCCATTTAATTAAACACCTGGGTGGAGAGAAGCAATGTAGATAAAATGCCTTGCTTAACCACAACCTTGCATTGTTAGTCAAGTCTTTAAACCTCTCGACTATGACATCTCTATGTGTATGCACACAAAATTCATAATAGACCCACTGGAACCTCAGTTACACCGCTAAACGAACACCAGATCAATTCTTGGCCGTACGGATAATTCAGTTTACTGTTTGATCTATTATTGGTCAGGTGTCGGTCTTGTTGGTGTTTGTAGCGCATACCAATATTGAATATGTATATTTCGTGTTCTATGAAGTACAGAAAAAATGGGTTTAATTGCCCTCATTTTTTGTGAATACATGTCTAGAAATGCATACAGCCCTGCTTTTGAAATAGCTAAACAGTTTGCTTCATAAGTAGATCTTGCTCAACTTTTTTCAAACTGAATGTATTACATGTAAAAACGAGGTGTAGAGTATTAAACCTTTAATAGCATCAACTGACTACTTGCACCGCAGGCATTTCCATACACTCACTGACGGAAACCGTTACATGTTTAATATTTTGCAATTGTAAAGATATATGTAAGCTGAAAAGCTCTTTTCCTTGCCGGAAGCACTGTGTTTTCATGTTGTCCACATATGTCCATCATGTTATTGCATTAATCTAAAAAAATCATTTTGATGTATGAACTTCAAACTTGGTCCAAGTACTACCATTCGCAATGTTGTTGATAATATTGTCGTAGTGTTACCTAATTCTAAAAAGGAGTTTTTTGTATTTTTCAATGCATCCACTTCTCGTTTCATAGGCAAACAGAACCTTTGAGAACATTGCCCTCACTCAGCGGTTTGCTAAAGTCTGGTTGAGGAGCGAAGGAGACTTGGGAACAGCGCTCGATCCCGACACGCTTACTGCTACCATGGTAAACTTTCTGTTGATTCCTAACTTAACAATGATGATTTGGATGAGAATGACGATGATGGTAATGGTGATGAGATTGATGATGATGATGATGATGATGTTGGTGATGCTGATGATGACAATGATGATAACAATAATGGGTGTTTTGATCTTGATCCGAACACGCTTACTGCTACCATAGTAAACTTCCATGTATTCATAAAACTACCTGTTGCATATACATGTAGTAGTAGTAGTAGACGTAGACGTAGACGTAGTAGTAGTAGTGGTAGTGGTAGTGGTAGTGGCAGCATTAGTAGTAGTAGTAGTAGTAGCAGTAGCAGCAATAACAGCAGCAGCAGTAGCAGTAGCGGCATTTGTAGCAGTAGTAGCAGTAATAGCAGCAGTAGTGGCAGTGGTAGTTGTGACAGTAGTAGTAGTAGTTATATTGTTGTTATAATTGTAGAAGAAGTAATGATAATAATTACAATGATAAAAATGATTTGAAATGTCTCTGCTCAACAGACATTGCTAGAGAACTCTTACGTCCAAGGGCTCCTTGAGGATCAGTATGGCATCAACTCTGACATGTTCACGGACGTCCTCAGTGGAAACCTTACATCTATGGATCCAGGCCAAATCCAGGTATGTTCAAATTGGCAACTTCAAGGGTCCTCTTTACCCTTCTTCCGGTTTCTCTAGTTAATTTCTTGTTTGCACTCTGATGGGAGGTTTCACATGCTCCCCTATTATATTACCCCCCCCCCATGCTACACCCCTCCATCCATAAACTATCATGAACAAAATTCTGGTCTCTACTGTCTTGATGATGAGAAAATTGATTTGCAGTGGTCTATCATTGTACAAGTGCTCATCATCTCCAAAGTTCTACTCAGTCCATGAACATGGCAGTGAGAATAATCTGTTCATGCCACTAGTTCCTGTAACCATTCCTGGCATTGGTTTCTCAAGGGAAGTACAAATCATGTTTACAAATCTACAGAATTATTATTTTTTTGATAGTTCATTATGGAAGGAAAAAATAGTATCTAAAGATCATAATTGAGAGACCAATGGTGAGAGCAAACAGTGGCACGCCATAGTTAAGTCCAACTTAAGTGGATCTTAGTCTTTTTGAAACAATCGCCTGAAACCAGTCAGCATTAACCTCTAATTTGTTAACAAGATCGGAAAGGCTCTCAAGAAATCGATGACAATGACTATGTCAACTTTGATGATGATGATACATTATTTCGAGGGGTCAGTGACATGAAGACCTAGAGGAGTTAAGTCTCTTTTTTACTAGCCATTGACTTCAATGGGGTGTTGGGTGGAGTTAAGTCTTTGTGTTTCCTGGAAAGCCCACATTTTTCTGAACATTTTGATATCAAATACTCATTTTGGAAAAATATGGAGTTACGTCTTTTTGTCACTGAACCCTCGATTTCATTGTATTGGAATTTTGAAGGATTGATGTTTTGTTGAGTCTCTGGGATTTTGTTCTTTTAACAGACTCTGAATCTGCTGGCAGAACTGGTCAGCAATTTGACGACATGCTTCAACTTGAATCGGTTCATTGGATATGACAACGAGGCAGCCATGGTTGAGGACGCAAGGAGTTTTGACAAAGATAACACTCTGCTCGCTGCTCTAGCCTTCGATATTCCTGCAGATGCTACGGAACTGCCTGCGCACATCAAATACAAGATTCGTATGGACTCGGACAATACACCACCTACGGACATGCTGAGAGACATGTATGTGCCTTCTTTTTCTTCTTCTGCCTGTTACTCTTTTCTGCTTCTTTTCATTCTACTTCTTTTCCCCTATCTTCTTCCTTTTCTTCTGCTTTTCCCTCTGCTTCTTCTTTTTCTTCTTCTGCTTCTCCTTCTCCTGCTTCTCTGCTTCTTGTTTTTCTCTTTCCTCTTCCTTTTCTTCTACTGTTTCTTCTTCTGCTACTTTTTCTTCCTCTTCTACTTCTTCTGCTGCTTCTTATTCTTTTTCTTCTGTTTCTTCTGATTTTTTCTGCTTCTTCTGGTCCTCTTCTTCTTCTCCTCCTCCTTCACTTCCTCCTCCTTCTTTTTCTTCTTCTTCTTCTTCTTCTTCTTCTTCTTCTTCTTCTTCTTCTTCTTCTTCTTCTTCTTCTTCTTCTTCTTTTCCCTCTCCCTCTTCCTCTTCTTCTTCTTCTTCTTTCTCTTCCTCTTCTTCTTTTTGTAATGATACAGTTTTAAAGTTAGGAATAGGAATAATGTAAGGAATTGGCCACAGCAATTATCACTAGAGTATATGATGTCGTATATTTTAAATGTATTTATACATGTGTGATCAAATCAAATAAAAAAAAAGCTGTAAATTTATAGTTGCATGTACACTGGTACGCACATGTCTGTATATATTCTTGTTTATATTATGTACTGGGCCACACCCTAATCCAAAAAGACGTGTCTTTGCATTGTAATCAATCCGTGTATCCATCCTGGTTTAATTCACAGCTTTCTAACACGTTCATCAGCCAACGACTTTGTATTTGATTTACGCTACCTGCGTGGTTACATTATGCTTCAAGATATGGTTGAGGGCAGCATTGTGTCGCTGCAAGCCAGCCCTGATATACAGCCTCCCGGAGTCTATCTTCAGATGACACCATATCCATGCTACTTGAATGATGAGTAAGTAGTCAACTTGACGTTATTTTGATGAACCTAGAAAAACTCTGTCCATTAAAGTTGTTTGTAGATATACGATCCCATGTTGTTTCCAAACAATTGCAGCTTTGTTGCCCAAAAGGCAGTTGTGAGCATTTTGCATAATTTACATATATTAAAATGGCCACATGTATAGGCATATTAAACAGCCCAAGAAAATTTAGACAAAATGTACGCACTGCACCCATCGCAAACAGTATTGTTAATCTTGAGCAATTAATGAATCCTGTCACACAATACAATTCCATGATATAGCCCCTGTTCATTGCATCACAGGTCGAGATGCACATCCGATTTTGATATGCAAATTATTCAAATTGTTGAAGTTTGCCCCTGAAACTGAAATTGCTCTTTGACCACTTTTGATCAAAAGTCACTTCATTTCATTTCATTTCAATAATTTTCATATTTCTCATGTTACATATACATTTCAAAATATAGTACAAATTGTTTTTTGAGGGATAAAATAACAATCAATGAGACATAAGAAATAACATAAAGATAAGTGGTTAATAACGAGTACTGATTTAACTGAGAGAAGTATGATGGGACATGAAAGCAAGCTTGTAGAGCTGTAGGCCCCAGTGAAATAATTTGTGGTAATGAATGGAGGACGGATTTGAATACTGACCAATCCAAATAAATACAAAAATTTAAAAAAGGGAAAGAAAAAAAAAACATGCGGTGGTGATGTTTATATTGTCCCTCCCTTTCTTACAATGTAGACAAAAGTACACATACTTAAATTATAGTCTACAACTCTGTCTCTCTGTCTCTCTGCCTATAGGTTTAGTGCCATCTTCACCCTGGTTCTACCGCTTGTGATGACCATCAGCTTTGTGGTTCTGATAGGGGTCATGACCCATCAGCTCGTCTATGAGAAAGAAAGAGGAATCGAAGAGGTAATACTCCCTACCAGCTGATATCTTCGGATACAGATCTTGTCCTGCAGAAACACAAACATTTAAAAAAGGGGTGTAGCATGACAATACTCTGTGTCTTTCCAGTAGCCTGACTCTGGCCAATCTGGTATAATACCACTACAGACGACGCGACTGCAGTATTCACGTGCTGCAACGTACACGAAACCGAAGCGTGAGGGGAACATCACTCTGTTTCGCGAATGCTTGCACGCGCTGTCGTAGATGGCGTAAACCAGTATTTGCCATGCTACACCCCCTTTAAGTGAAGATACTGATTATAGATGGTCAATTTATCAGGTTTACAACCATGTCATTCTTTCAAAGGAATAAGAGCCCTGAAAAAGGGCGGGTGACCTCCGCTGAGAGCTCTTTCGTTCTCGACGTTTTGATTAGTATATGGAGGGGTCAGTGACACAAAGACGTAACCCCATTTTGGCCATTTTGAGAAATAGTGGTTTGAAGATAAAGGTCCACTTGGGCCTTAAGGAGTTAGTGTATGTTTCACTAGCCATTGACTTCAATGGGGTGTTGGGTTGAGTTAGTCTTTGTGTTTCCTTGAAAGCCTACATTTTTCTGAACATTTTGATATCAAATACTCATTTTGGCAAAATATGTAGCTACGTCTTTGTGTCACCGAACCCTTGACATGCTCTACTCGCTAGTTTTATTTTTGTAGTTGTAACTGACTAAATTTGTCTCTTTCGTTCATCCTGATACAGTTGATGAAGGTGATGGGTCTCCCGGCGGGTGCAAACTGGTGGGCGTGGTTTATTTCTAACTCCCTCCTCCTTGTCCTACTCTCCTGTGTGGTTGTCATCATCATGACATATGGGAACATCTTGCCAATGACGGATTGGTCTCTCCTACTCGTCTTCATTTTAGATTACTTTTTCTCTCTTATCATGTTCTGGTAAGTAATTAATGATGATTAATTAATCTTGATATGTGTACAATGCTTTGAAACTTTTATGTCACAAGTGAAATATAATTTTTTTGTATAAATATTATTATGATAATACAGTGAAACCTGCTTTAGTGAGCACCTGTATAGAAAGACTCCCTGTCTATATATGGACCACAATTTCCATTTCCCTTTGTGTCTCATGGAAACGTGTACTAAAAGAAACCTTTACATAAAGACCACCTTTCTATAAATGTATAATGACATGTCTATTAAAGCACTTGACAGATAAACCACGTATAAAATATTGCTAAACTTCTGCTTTCAGAAGCTAATTTCATTCATAGTATCTTGTAATTGATGCAGGGCCCAGGTGCTTATAGCATATTGCTTGTTCTGCCAGATTTACAGACAAAATAACTATCTGAATTATTCCTTTTGAAAGTTGCCCTTATAATGTATTGCAGTCCACTGTTTGTTCCATTGGTGGGCAAAGCCTGCAAATAATTAATTCAGGAATTCCCTTTTTGAGATCGACTTGCATTACATATATAATGACTAGCCCAAAGTCATGTAGTTCATTGTGTTTCCCTTCTTGCATATTGTTATTTAATTCTTCTTATTTTATTTCCCTATATTATCTTTTTCTACCCAGCTATCTAGCTAGTGCTGTATTCCAGAGAGCAAGCATTGCCTCCCTGGCTTCAATTCTAGTATATTTGATCTTCTACCTGCCATATATAGCTATCTTTGCCTCAGAATCATTGCTTGATGCCTTGTGGAAACTCATTGTACCGGTAAGCTCTTATATACATATGTCAAGCATGAACACTGTGTCAAAACCCAATGTACTTGTCTGCTTTTATGACTTCAATTCTATTCAATTCAATTCATTTATCCACTCAATATATAAAAACAGATACATAAAATTGCCTATGAACACATATGACAAATATAAAAAGATGGACATAGGAAAATCAAAAGTTGAAAGCACAAGTAACATAAATTGAGTGCCGGGGGATCAGATTAAAGATCTATTTAACCCTTACTGTACTGGGGGGGGGGGGGCCTGGGAGGCCCCCCCCCCTCGACATTTTCGGAGATCGCGCCGCAACCGCTTGGAATTTTAAATTGTTGTTTCATGACTTTTTTCCCTCAAGTCTTGCGCACATTTTGATACCATTTTCGTGAAAATCGAATATACCTGTAAGGTGTTACATAACAATTAGTATGCGCATGTCATCAAAAAAGTGCTATAATTACATATATTCATGTACAAGCAGAAATGTGAAGATATGAATTGATATCAAATTGCTTTTATATGTTTCTCAGAGTAACTTGATGTATTCCAGAACAAAAGAATACATTAGAATTAAAACAATTGATATAATAAGAAATAAAAAACAATAAAATACATAAGAAAATAAATGGTTGAAAATCGCATCAAATTTGCATAAATTATCATTATTAATTACATCAAATAACTATTTTGTGTTAGAAAAGAAGTTTCATATGAATAATGAGTGTCAACATTCAAAAAGTGGAGTCTGACAATTTTTGTAGTGATTCTAGTTCCCTAAATATAGTTCCAGATTTGATATTCATGAATGCGTAATTTGCGTATTCATAATTTATGCAAATTAATATATGCATTTTCAAATATCATAAAAATAATGAAACCTTATGAATTTGAGATGAAGGAAACATTTATTCAATACATTTTCAAGATTCTTCACAAGTCTACGGACAAATATGTAGAGTTTTCCGTAAAATGCATAAAATTAGCATTTTGCATAATTAATTAGGCTATAACGACAAAAATTTGCATATTATGAAAAAAAAATTATACCATCTTGTTCCTTACGTAAATATCTACAAAAATGCAAATTTTTGTGTTCATCAGACATTCGACGGCCGAGATCATGGGGGGGGGGGCCTCCCAGGCCCCCCCCCCCCCCCCCCCCCAGTCAGAGGGTGCTCAAAATAGCCCAGTACAGTAAGGGTTAAAGATCTTGTTAATTCGACCCCATTGTGATGTATAAATTGCATTGAATATTATTTCATGTACAACAACAAGAGGGAGAGAATACATAAATAGCTGGGTCATAGACGAAAATAAAAGAGATAGAACTGTATATTTACTCGTAGTGGTAGTATTGTTTTTATTTATTTTTTTTAAAGCAAAAATGGCTAGTCTTGTCAAAATGCTTTGATACAATGTGTATGTAGTAGAAGGTATGAATAGTATTTGTAAATATGTCTCTGTTTTGTACTCTCATACTCCGAGAGGGGTGTTGAAAAAGTCAATAAATGTTATGTTATGTTATCATATTTATATACATGCATGTATATTAAACATAAACATCTTGCAGAAACCAATTTTATCAAGAAGCTCCTATAAATACATGTACATAGTATCACACATGAAACCTTACATGAACCCAATTTCCTGATAAGCTCCTATACATACCATTGCCTGATACCTAATGGAACCCATTGTGAAATGGTAAGCTCTTATACACCTACATCAAGCATGAACTATAATACTGTTCTTCCAGAGTCCCTGCAATCATATTATTACCCTGTTTTTAGCCGAGCTACCATGATAAGGCGCTCCAGCATCTTCCTCTCAGGTACCAATTCACTACACAAGGGTGGAGAGTAGTAAATGTAGCTTAATATCTTGCCAAAGGACATCAGTGCCGCAGTGGCACTCAAACCGTGAACCATGTGGTTCACAGACCAGCGGCGTATCAACTAAACATATGACACCTCTACATAGTGTGTTCTTTACAAGCTGTATAATATATAATGAGCCCTTCTTTCTGATTCTTCCATGCAGTGTATATTCTTCCCGTCTACGTTCAGTATTGGTTGTCTCGTGATCAGTCAGTTTGAAAACATGGGCGTTGGCGCTCAATGGCATCTGATATGGAACAATGCATTGGATGAAGAAATCAGCTCCATGGCCTTCGTTCTCATTGCCTTAGCTGTAGATGGCGCTGTTTACCTCATCTTGGGCTGGTACATCAAGACCCTCTTCCCTGGTTAGCATACTTTGATTTATTCAGCCAATTCTATCTCAATTTTTTTTTTTTTATTGCTGATGATTTTAATTATGCCTTGTAGTTTCTTAGTTTCTTGTGCAATGTTAACATCTTTCTTTTCTCTCTTCTTCTTGCTTAACTTGTATACTATAATGAATTGAATTATCAGTTATGTCTTTTTTTCTATTTGTATGATTAGGTAAATATGGTGTTCCAAGGAAATGGTACTTTCCCCTGCAACCCTCGTTCTGGTGCCCTTGCTCGATTTCTAAGAAACACGACATGCAGCAGTACATCAATTCAGCTTTTGATCCAGAGTCTGGAGTGGCCCTAACTAGTCAAGGTAAAGGCAAGTCACTAGTTATTCTGGGCCATGTTTCACAAAGTTGTTTTCAATAACAACTGCCACAATTCTATAACAGAGTTCATAGCCAATCGGATGCCTTTATTTCAGTAACTTGTATCAAGGATTGTTACATTGATAGTTGATAGTGGTGGTTATTTTACCTGACAGCTAAGAAAGCAATAAATGCTTGTTAATAAGCAACCAGAAGACCGACGCCTTTACGTCCTCTCCAATGGACCTTGTAATGAGGATTAATGCCTTATCAAAGGGCACTAGCGCTTCGCCTTGGTTTCGAACCCAGGTCACCAGATTACGAGACCACTGCTCTACCGACTGAGGTATTGCATGATGACAGATTTCATGAAGCAGGGCCTGAATGGCGTGATCTTGTATCCCACTGCTGCCACTACAACATGATTGAATATTTATCAGTCACAAAAACAAAAAGGAATAGTATCGGTCCCGTGAATTGCACTGTGCTCATTTGCATAAGGCTAGTGTGAAATACATCTTGTCTCAAGATTGGCCAATCAGTTGTTTGCCATACAGATACTCTTAATGACAAATATAAATTATATCTGTTACAGAGATGTTTTATCACACTTTCTATGTTTTAAAGCTGTAATTAGAAAAAACATACGAACATGCTCTAATAACCATGACAATATTTGACCATTATCGATTCTTCTTTGATTGCAAAATATTCAATGCAATCTGTCCATTATCAATTATTATTTGATTGCATAATATTTAATGCAATCTGTCCATTATCAATTCTTATTTGATTGCATAATATTCAATGCAATCTGACCATTATCAATTCTTCTTTGATTGCTTAGTAATCAATGCAATCTGTCCATTATCTATTCTTCTTCGATTGCAAAACATTTATTGCAATCTGTCCATTATCAACTCTTATTTGATTGCATTATATTGAATGTAATCTGACCATTATCAATTCCTATTTGATTGCATAATATTCAATGCAATCTGACCATTATCAATTCCTATTTGATTGCATAATATACAATGCAATCTGTTCATCATCAATTCTTCTTTGACTGCATAATATTGAATGTAATCTGACCATTATCAATTCCTATTTGATTGCATAATATACAATGCAATCTGTTTGTTATCAATTCTTCTTTGACTTCATAATATTGAATGTAATCTATCCATTATCAATTCTTATTTTATTACATAATATTCAATGCAATCTGTACGTTATCAATTATTATTTGCTTGCATAATATTCAGTGCAATCTTGTCCATTATGAATTATTCTTTGATTGTATAATATTCAATGCAATCTGTTCATCATTGGTTATTCTTTGATTGCATACTATTGTTTCTTTGACAGATCCAGTGGTAGAAGAAGATCCCTCCAATCATCCAGTCGGGATCGCCATCTTGAATCTCACGAAGGTCTACCGGTCATGCTTCAAAGAGGAGAAAGTTGCCGTTGATAGCCTTTCACTCAACTTCTTTGAGGGACAGGTGACAGCAGTACTAGGACACAACGGAGCAGGAAAAACAACCACCATGTGAGTAGTGGTCCAGGGGAGTATTTCACAAAGACTAAGATCGAATTTAAGTTGGACTTGACTATGGCAGGCCATTCATGCCACTGGTTGCTCTCGCCATTATGATCTTAAGATAACATTTTTTCCTTCAATAATCAAACTATCACAAAATTTGTACGTCCCTTGAGAGACCAATGCCAGTAAAATGGTGAGGGAAAACAGTCAATCTTTGTCTTGTGAAACACTCCCCAGGCTTTATTTTGTGGAAGGTACAGGGTTTGCGTGAGGGTTACAAAATCGCCTTAAGTTGTACATGTATTTTGGGTTAGGGTAAGGTGTAATGATTGGTACAGGATAGAAGTTAGAATTTGGTTGTTCTGGAAATTGACTGCGGAGCAATTTACGTTCAACAAAGTCGGCCACTTTCTCTTTTAGCCAAGCTAGGTAGGACAAACATTATGAATTTCCATAACTAACAGCACATAAGATTTGCAATTAGCATTCTGACTATTGAAATACAATTATTTGTAACAGGTGAATTTAATAATTTGTATTGAGACATTTAACTATGAATTTGGTTACATTCCGTTTTATCAATCACAAGTATTGCATTTTCATCTTTCTCTTCTCAAACCACGCTGAGTGATGTATATTTATTTTTCTTGTTACCATAGTAACATCATCACAGGTCTCTTCCCTGCAACCTCTGGCAAGGTCTACTTACAGGGCGTCAATGTCTCTAAGAAAGCCATGTCAACCAGAGAGAACTTGGGTGTCTGTGTCCAGCACAATGCCCTTTATGAAAAGTAAGAACTCCTTTGCACATGCATTATCAGTTATGAAGATCATAAAACCAACTTTATGAGTAATTGAGGCTCGTCAAAGTTTCATGATGTGAGATAATTGAATGAAAACATAATGATTGCAAGGTGTGACCAACTTGCTAAAGTTATACCTTTCCTTATCTACTTTTGATGTATATTGTCCTGACTCGTAAGCTGGAATCTAGATCTAGTATAAAATCTATTTGGTACTGTGTAATAATTTGATTGTATCCACCACATAAAGTAGTTAATCATCAGTATGGGTACCACACACTTTGTAGAAGTAATTCAGGTTGGTCCAAACTATATCTGAACAAGCCTTTAGCCATCAGGTGGAATAAATAATTAAGGCTCATTAATATATGCCACCATAAACCGGTACATTGTTAAAAAGGAATGATTTCCGGGAGGGGAGATTTTGAGTCCTGTAGCCCCTCTCTAGCAGGGCTGCTCTCTAGAACTGTTACCAGTGATGGCGCTTTAAAAAACCCATCTAAAAGTATGGCGGTTTACCTCAGCATATGTGAACAATACTTGCATCTCTCAATCCTATCACCTTTGATACAGCTTGACTGTGAGAGAGCACATGGCCATGACTGGAAGGGTCAAAGGTCTCCGTGGAAAAGCTTTGGATGATGACATCTACAAGTAAGTCTTCTTGAGTTTTCACCATTCAGTATTAAAGATAACTTGGAATGTAAGGCGTCCAGGGAGAAGTCTCAATTGTTGAAAAGAAACTTTTTTAGAAGTCAATGATCGCATGCTTGACCTTGTCATTGAAAGCAAGTCAGAAAAAAATCTTGTAACCAGCGGGGGGATTGAACCTGCGATTAACTGCTTACCGGGCAGCAACTCTACCACCAAGCCATCACTGGACTGGCATAGTCACAAAGATATGCAACAAACTTTATTACTGTATGTTGCTCTGGTTACATGATACTTGCTCCTGCAGTTGCTCCGTGATAATTTCCTACCCTAACCAAATTCCTTAATTTCACCCTGAGACCCAACACTACATTATACTTAAACCTAACCTATCCCTACACCTACACTTAAACCCAATTGAAACCCTAGCCCTATATTTACACCTAATAATAATAATAATAGTGGGTTCTTATATAGCGCTCATGTCTGTCAAACTTGACACTCCTGGCAATCCACAATTATGACCCCAGCTTTAGCATGGCTGCCATTATGGCACTCTAGCATTTTTGAAGGAATTAGTTCCCACCCTGAAACTAAATTGCAACCATAACCCTTACCCTAAAATTTTGCCAAAATAATCGTGGAGCACTCGTTGTGGAAGCAAATGTGTAGACACTGTTGCTCGTGAAAAGGCTCAGTCTGCATTTTTAAATTTCTCTCTGTTTCTGCAAGTGTTGGAGTTATTTTTTGTTTCATCTTGGATTGGTTTTTTCTCAAGAATTGGTAAATTATATGAAATCAAGGACAACGAACAGCATCTAAGAACCAGAGGGGTTATGTACTAGTAATGTTTCATGTCTGCATGAATCTTATTTTACAATATTATGGTAGAGTTTCTCAGCAGTTAAATGTAATTGCTAGTATAGTTTGTGAATTTCCTGTTTTTCCTACAATTTTCTTTGCATTTAATATGGTTTCATTCTTCGCCCTCTGAACTGACCTTAAGATCAACTTTTAATGTAGACAAGACTGTGTGAATGTGTGGAAGATAAGAAAAAGTCCTCAGATTTGGTGAATGAACACCTGACATTTGTCCTTTCTTTTCAGTCTTCTGCAAGACGTTGGACTCCTCAAGAAATCAGAGGAGAGGGTCAAGAACTTGTCCGGTGGAATGAAACGCAAGCTTTCCGTTGCCATGGCGTTCGTGGGACACTCTACGATCATTATCTTGGATGAACCGACAAGTGGAGTAGATCCTCATGCCAGACGCGCTATCTGGAATCTCATCATGAAGCAGAAGACAGGTAAGTACAGCAAACTTGTCTTTGTGGCACCTCTCTATGAAGGCCACCTGTGTATAACGGTCACCTGTCTGGAAAGGCCACCTATCTACAGCGGCCATTTTTCCATTGAGTGGCCTTTACTTAAAGATAGGAATGTGGTTAGTGTACAAGATTGTTTCATAGAGCAAATGTTACTATATATGTCGTGTGTCACACAGCCTCTATCAAACTAAATTATATGTACATGTATTCATGTACCTTTTTTTTTGTTGAAAATATTGAATTCTGCTTGTACCTCAAGAAAATATACATGAAAACACAATATATATATTGATCCTCTGTACAAGAAGCAATTATTTTACAAATTTTCGCCCATTATTGTCTTTGGTTCTTATCCTACACACGTATCCAGGTCGTACCATCGTGCTCTGTACACACTTCATGGACGAAGCGGACATCTTGGGCGATCGTATCGCCATCTTGGATCAAGGTCATCTCCGTTGCTGCGGGTCGCCGGCCTTCCTCAAGTCTCGTTTCAGCTCGGGTTACCGTCTCAGTCTGGCCAAAGAGGCTACCAGCGGAGGAGGCACTCCTACCGACCATGGAGCAGAGGACTTCAAGACTGAGGCTGTTCCCAACATCTATGACACCATGAGGACTGCAACCAGTGATGTACCAAGCACTTCCAGTGGCATTGCAACTGATCCAGGTAGGGACAAACTTCTATTTTGACCTGAAGCTAATTATTAAATAATCTTGAAGTCTTGTAATTCATATTTTGCCATTCAAATCATTGTAATGATTGATCTCTAACCCTAAACTGATTAAGATCAAGAAAAGAAGAGGTAAAAGACATCAAAACAATCAATGTAGATTTATGTCTTCCCAATGGACGTTCCTGCCTTCTCAGGCATTTGAGCCACATGCAAACGCACGTGTGAAAATAATAGCGTACATCCACATCTATATTGCTCAGAAATCCATTCTAGGGGATCATTGCTCAAGATGCCTATAAAGAACATATATCACCCTCCAATGTAATAATGATAATAATAGTGTAAACTTATAGAATGCACACACCGTCCAGAAACGCTCGCGGCGCTAGCTCAGCAACAGTTCTCTTTAATACATGTACATGTACAAGTAAAGTAAATGTTTATTTGATAATAGAGATACACTATCCCCTGTACTGTTCCACACCAGACATGTACCTTTTTGTGTTCTTTCCAACAGGTTCATCCTTTGACACTAGCAACGTCACGGATTTCATCCAAGCCCGCATCCCTTCTGCCAGGCTACAGGATGACATCGGTACCGAGCTGGTGTACGTACTCCCGGTCGACAGCGGAGAGCGAGAAAAGTTCCAAGAACTGTTTGAAGACCTTGACAGTAGTCTTGGAGAACTCTGCATCAAGAGTTACGGCATATCCGACACCACACTCAAAGAGGTATTATGAAAGTTTTCAGTATATTTTTAAATGATGTCTCCCCTTTTCAGGCCTAAACAAATAAAAAGTGGTGTATAGACATGTATCCAACAATTGTTACTGAGAGAATTGCTCCGGGCTTCATTTAGTCGAAGGTATACGGATGGGCTTTGGGTTGCAATTTGACTTTAGGATATGTTTAGGGTTAGGGTTGGGTACAAAGTTGGGTCCAGGGTCGAAGATGAGAATTTGGTTAGTGTAGGAAATTGATTTGGAGATCGATATTGTTAGATAAGCGAGTGTCGTACATGAACAACATATATGCAGCTCCATATTGAAGTTATATTGTTAAATGAATTTCTACAGAATTAGATTAGTTTCGTGAATAAAACCTGAGTCCCTTCAGTCTAATTTTTAAAAGTGAGTTATGTTATTTTTTATTCTACATGTAGTTTAATAATGGGTACTTATTATTAATATTTAATTCAAACTTTAATTTTTATTCTGAATGATTTCATCAGGATGGTCAAATGATTTAGGAAAGAGTTTTATGACACTTTCATATTTACTTACTACTGTGGCAGTTTCCTTGTCTAGGTACAGACGCATTCAGCAGAAGCATATTGGCAGACTGAAGGTAGCTACCAGTTTCCTGATTGCCAAAAGATGCCGTTTTGGCCATTGCCTTGTCGCCCCTGTCCATGTTTTTCGGTGTTCTCCTGATTTCTATTGACTTTTCAAGGAACTCAAGAGTGAACACTCTTTTAGAGGTTTCATAGTCGGGTAGTTTTAGCACTTGATTGGGTTTGATCCCCAACATGGCACTATTGTTCTTTGGCAAGGCATTAATCTATGATTGCCACTCCATACCAAGGAGAGATATTGGGACCTGGTGGGATGATGAAAGAATTTATGTTTGTAATTGCCATATGCCCTCATGATGACCATATGGTAGGAATTCTCCCCATGGAGTGGATATGGTGCAGATTGCGCTTGAATAAATCCTATGACCGTGGTAATAATATCTGTAAAGCGCTTAGAGACGGCATTTCATATAAAGCACTATATAAATCCAGATTATTAGTATTACTGTTGTTTGTTTACTTTGAAAGGTGTTCTTGAAGGTGTCCACAGGCACAAGCAGGTCTGTTGATGAAGAGGCAGGGATACTCAAGAACAACAACTGGAGCCTGAGGAAAGGTGGCCAGACGTTCTCTATTGCAACGGGAATCACCCATGGTAAGTTACCATGGAAAGACGTTGATGCATTCAAACGCAGGGTGAATGGGCTATCTACTATGTATCTAGAGGTTTATATGGTTTATTCTTTTTGTGTACTGTATTATGCATGTGGTATGGAGATATCTGCATAATTCATACAATCTGCATTGCTCTTAACACATGGACTACTTAATTAAGTCCATCGCTTCCATAGGCTTAATACATGAACCAACCGGTTCATACTGGCAATGGATTAACATTTTAAAACATTTTAATTCTTTAGCGATAAATAAAGGGCTTGATTCGATTGATGCGTACACACCTGGGATAAAGGGCTATTCTATTTTTTTTTTAATGCAAAAAACGGTACTCCGACATCGATGCTCTGGTCCATATTTCGTCAAATATATAAGCTTATGGTTACGGTTGCTATTGAGTTTTAGGTGAGGTTTAGGATTAGGATTAAGGTTAGGTGTAGTGTTTGGTCCAAGGTTGAAGTTAAGAAATTTGGTTTCAAAATCAACCTTGGAGTGATCATCTCTGGAGAAAGGAATGGTCGGAGTGAAGTACCTTGTGAAACGTTGGGTTGAATGCTTCCACTTAATTTACTAATCTATCTGATTGTTATCATTAAAAAGAGATTGATTATTTTGAATATCTGGAAATTCTTTCAATTTCCTGAGTGTTTATAATACATGTATATTCATGTACATATAGATGTAATTGAAATTACCCGTACTAACATCCCAATTCAGCAAAGCATATTTTTTTACTGTACGTGTCACAATTTTGTAATTTCTTCTTTGCTAAGAAGTACTAACGCCATGTATATTTATGGCATATTTATGCTTTCTTTGCAGTCAGATACTATAACCACCACTCAAATCATTATGTCTAGATTTGTTTAGCAAAAGATAGCCTTTTACTTGTGGATAGGAAGATGGGAAACATTCAAATCCCAGCCCGGCACTCGCGCCTTTATACAAGACATTAATCCACATTTGCCACTCTCCACCCAGGTGTTTAATGGGTACCTGGCAGGATTTGTTCCTTGAAATGCACTGTGCGCTGATTTCAGCTGCCAGAGCTAAAGCTTAGGTAATAATATCCAAACTTCTTTGGAAGCACGCCTAGGGAATTTATATCATGTGATATGCGCTTTACAAGAACGGCCTATTATTATTTATTTATATTTTTCTTTATTCTTGAACTTCCACATTTCTGAAGAAGACAAACCTTACCAACCATATGGACATTTAGTGAAAGCAGGTAAAAATCCATTGCAAAATGTTTGCCTATCAATAATATTTGATTAGAAAAAAAAATATCATATCATCCTCAAATTGTGCTTTAATTCTAAATGCCTGTTTGAGAAAACTTAACCTTTGTCAACATCTTATACAACAATTTCAGTAACAAATTGTATTATTGATGTTCATTATTAAGCTAATTGTATGTGAAGGGTAGAAAGATTGAAAAATAAAACACACAAAAAACAAGAATTATTATTGTTGATTTCAAAATAAATACATAATGTTGCTCAGAACAAATTTAGAAATCCAAACTTGCTTGAAGTCACAAACTCAACCTGCGGCCATAGTAGATCATTATACTCTGTATACCCTAAGCGACATTTAGGTTTTACTTGATACACCTACAGTGTACACCTCTCCCCTTTTTACTTTATTTTATCTTCATGAGCTTTGAGCTTTTGATCCCAGAATTTGTAGAGTATTTGAATCACATTGGATTATCCAGTATGTAGATTACCTGTATAGTTAGTAGTTCGTTTCGTTGTGGATTGTGTCGTTTGTTCTTCTGCATCATTTGTTAATGCTACCTCTTTCTCAAGCTTTAACCCTGTAGTTGCTTTCTTTGCCTCTCTGCACAGTTGCCTATTTGCCACATGTGCCATTTTTCACAAAACAATAAGCACCATTGAGAGAAGTACTGCTTTGTGCAACACAATGGCCTTGCAAAATTACTTATTTTGGGTCTTGAGTTAACACCAATACAGGGAGATCATTTGTGTGGCATGTAAAGAGTTAAGCTTCATACATCATAAAACCCAGCTTCTGTAATCCAACCAACTTTTTTTTATCTAGATAGATTAACTAACAACATTGTATTTGATCAAAATGGAAACACGTATTAACGTGGTTAACATATGTAATTTATTCTTGTATTTTCTTCCATTGGTAAATAACAGGTCGTGCATCTGACAAAAATTCTGGTTTGTGGATTTATTTAATATCTAAAGCGCTTCTAGAAAGAAATACTGCCTCATGATATAATTAAAAAAACTATACATTCATATGTGTATGTGTTAGCAGTCATTGTAAATGCAAACATGTAGTTTTAAGTTTGTCCATGTGGTATTGTGACCTTTATCATTTTGCAATGTTATTATTTCAAGAACATCAGCTAAAAGAGAATATTATTCCATGCCTGTTCATGTTTGTTTTATCTTAAACCTTTATTAATCATTATAAAAAAGAGAGTCAGATATGCTTAAAAACATATCAGATATTCATTTTCTCAGTATTTGTCTTATTTACATGCATGTTTTACTATCCAAATAGAAAACAAAATTTCATCATTTCATTAGTGTTTTAATTACCAATTGCCTTGTTCTAAATCAATCATCATCAGAATCTCTTTGCATTCTTTATAACCAATTCACTAGATGTCAATCCTTGAGTGAATGTTCTATTACAGTGTATACATATATACTACTACAGTATGTGTTTCAGTAGACTGTGAATAGTGGCTATTATATTTCTGAAAGAGAGACTAGTACACTAGACTACAGACGTTCCTGCAGTTAAAGTTAAACTGGTTGAAGGATTAATGGAGACAGAGAATGACGGAATGATGAAAACATAGAGGAAGATAAATCATCAGATGAATTCATCTCAACAATCCATCTATCTACCAATGAATTATTATGATGTGTGTTTGTGCTGTACTTCATGTAACTCAACATTTCTTTCAATCCATTAATCAACTAATTAATTCTTCTGATGGGCATCGCTCTGCCACCTCAAACATTCCATAGTTCTGTCCATCTGTCCATGTATTCATCCAACAACCAATAAGTTCTTGTGATGGGTAATCCTCTATGATACCATTCCATCCTTCTGTCTATCATTCTTTCACCCATCAACGAATGAGTTCTGATGGTCAACATCGCTCTGCCATCTAAACAATTCATCGTTCTATCTCTCCATTACCCCATCTGTCAACCAATCCATTCTTCGGATCAGTAATCTTCCTCTACCACCTCTACCATTCCATCGTTCTGTCTATCCATTCATCCATCAACCAATAAACATTGCTCTGTCATCTAAACACTCTATCGTTCTATATCCATTCATGACTTCATCTGTCAACCAATCCATTCTTCGGATGGGTAATCTTCCTCTACCACCTCTACTATTCCGTCGTTTTTTCCATCCATCCATCCATCACTAATTAATTCATCTCATGCGTAATCTGCTATATACATCTCAATATTTTATTTTTCTCTCCATCTATCCATTCTTCAACCAATCCATTCTTCGGGTGGGTATCCTAATGCTCTACTTCCTGAATATTTCACCGTTCTGTCTATCCATCCATCCATCAACTAATGATTTCATCTGTCGGCTATCATCGCTCTACCATCTCAACATTCCACCGTTCTCTTTGCCCATCCATTCTTCAACCAATCAATTCTGATGGGCAATCTTCGTCTACCATCTAACATCTCCATCATCATTCTATCCATCTGTGTTCATCTGTCAACCAATGGATTGGTCTGATGTCCATCCATCCTATGCCATCTCAACCGTTCCCTTATTCTGTCTATCCATCCATTCATCCATTCCATCATCCAATGTGATAATGCTCACCACCAACACCACCAAATCACCTGTCTGCCGTTTTGTCCATCTCTACATGCGTTCTGATGATCATGAATGAACTTTGCCATGTCCATGCTATATTATATATTATTACCATCCATCAACTATCATAACCACTTTCATGCGATAAATACAGAACAAAACCATGTTGACTGTGCATCTATGGATGCAAGAAAGTTACCATAGATACCAAAGATCTATCACCCCCATCGTTCCCTCTCCTCCTCTTCCATCCCACTTCCGCTCATCAGTTCTTCTCAGCGCCTGGGGTATGCTGATCAAGAGGCTTCACTTTGTGAGACGTGACTGGCAGGGTTTGATCTGGACTATTCTCATGCCCGTTGTCTTGGTTGCCTTAGCCATCGGCTTCTCCCAGCTCAGTCAGCTTGACCCAGAAAACCCGAGACAGCTCACACCAGCCATGTTCAATCCTAACAGCTATGCCTTCTTCAGGTAAAATTTCCTTTTAAAACATTTGCCAGCATGAAACATTCGCAAGTGGTTTAGAATTGTAAAAGTTATCAGGCTGCACAAATTTTTATATCATGACTGACAGACATTGTTACATTGAATTTGCAATTGGCAAGTAAAGTTTCTTGCTGCAAAAAAGCTGATGCTAACAAGAAGCTGAAAGTTTCTTGTCAGAAAGGTTTTTGCCATTAGGTACTCTGGTTCAGTAACAAACCATTGATATTTAATACCAGAATGATGTTTTCAATGAAAGTTGTATTAAAAGGAGTTGACATAAAACTCTGGCGATAACAATGCAAAATGCAATATTACAGTTCAGATTTATAACTGTGTTCACATCAGGTGTATTACACATTTGATGTCTACTGATAATATGGAATTTGATTTCGTTCAAGTTTGGCTGTCATTGGAATGGAACATATACATAACAGGCTTTTTAGCGATATAAGTTGATTATATTATTTTACCAACGAGCATCTATTTTATTGTTAAAAAACTCAACGAAAATGTAGATGCACAAAAGACACATCAAGAACACAAAATAAATAATTTTTGAAGAAAAAAAAAGTCATAATTTTATCACATAAAGTACAAATTAAAGTATACTACATTGATTTCCGTAAGTTTGAAACTTAAGTATTTGTAACTACACTCGACTAGGTCTGGTATTTTGCATTCTGGATACATCTTTTGTGCAGCTACATTTTGCTACGCTATATGTTTTTATACTAGTGTATAATAACTTCTGTTTGTATCCATTACAGGTCATTTAATAAAATTGTATTTCTTTTGTTTGCAGCGATGAGTCAGAGGGTGAAATAGGACAGAGATTGACCGATGCCCTCATTAACCCTCCAGGACTTGGGACAACATGTATGGCAGATGCTGACCAAAAGTAAGTCTGTTTCCTACTTTTAGAAAACTATATACCGGGTATATACAAAAAAAGCTGGTCAATTTCCTATAAATCAGGTCCCCCAAATACACAAATTCTTTCGGTGAGTTCCCAAAAGTACTATTTCAAGTTTGAAATTGTGTTACCAAGTTTGTCATACAGTGTATTTTAGGCTAGTTTTCACAAACTGGTTGACTGAAATGAGAGAATGTGTTAAAAGGTTTGACAATATGTTTGAACAATCCCAATGCCTAATCTCGTCCTAGGTTTGCAAGTCTGTATACCTTCCTAGCATCCAAAGTTTGTAAACCTTCCCCACCATATTTGTTCTAATCATATGAGTGTTTCACAAAGATGCTAGTCAAACTTAACTCTTAGTTGGACTTATACATTATGGAGAGCCATTTGTAGCCTTAAAATAAAATTATATTCAAAAGCGAAAATTCAAGTATTTTAGACTTTTTATAAATTCCACATCAAGAACATAAATTCTCTTTGATAATAGAAAATAACTTTTACAAACTATTTTGATAGATGCTAACAGCTTTCCGTATTTGTCAAGTTCAACTTAGAGATAAGATCAACTTAGAGATAAGTTCAACTTAGAGATATGTTCAACAAATGTTTGTGAAACACTACCGAGCAGTGCCTGCTAATTGATACAATCATGGATATACTAGTAGGTCGGTCATATTGAACTAAGGAAGAAGTGCTCTATAAATAATCCATTCATTGATATTATCATTACAATTCATGTATGCTTGTTTTTTGCAGGGACCTTTATCCTTGTGTGGAATCCAATGCCCACCTGATAGATCAACTCTACAATTACAACCTCTCGTTATTGGCTGAGGTACCGGAGGACCAATGTCGATGTACCGAGACAGGCTTTGGGCAGGAGTGTGAAGCAGACGCTGGAGGCATCCCGCCGCCCACGTGGCTTACGGATACCCAAGTCTTTCTCCAAGACATCTCGGTAAAAGAGGATAAAGATCGGTACCTCTTGGACACTCAATTGCAATTTAGAAACTCAAGGTATATACTGTAAATAAAGTTAATTATTTGATTGAAGGTGGCCTGTCCTTTATAGCTGCTGTGCGGTGAGTGGGAAGTAACTGTAAAACTACTAATAGTTAAACAGTGCTTTTTTCTTCTCCTTATCTTTTGCTTGCATCTTCAGATATTCCTACCAAGTATTTGCTAAAAAAAAGGCAAATACTTGTCTATTGCATTCCAAGTTTGAGTCGATGATGAAGGCTATAATGTTGTAAAACAATATCAGCTGCTAAACTGTGTCCCTGATATAGCAAGAGTCCTAGCAATAACTTTTACCTGATAACTGTTTCATACTTAGAGCTGAAGTAAATGCTAGTTTTACGAATTTGACCCTTTACATCTTTGTTGCCATTTTTGAAGCTGCAAGCAAGTAGTATTATATATATATATTTTTTTTAATTATGCTAATAATGTTGATGATATTGATAATAATATTGATAATGATAGTAGTAATAATAATGATACTGATAATAATAATAGTAATAATTATAATAATAGTGTAATTATGCTACTACTTCTACTACTACTTCTACTATTACTACTACTACTACTACTACTACTATACTACTACAACGACTACTACTACTACTACTAACTACTACTACTTCTACAACTGCTGCCTCTGCTACTAATAAAAGTAAAACTAATATTGAAAATATGAGTATGTCTAATGATATTAATAATTTTGAAATGTACATGTATATACATGTCTATTCATGTATCAAAGTATCCATGTATCCATGTATTCCATGTAAATATCACAAATTTAAATTGCTAAACATTAGGACAATAATGATGAACCTTCTTCTTCTTATCATTATTATCATTAGGAACATTTGCTGTTTTTGAGATTGAGCATTCATTGTTAATGTATGAGCTGAGAACCTTTTCAAAGTCTTTCTAGTACCGGTATTACTGGTACATACCGGTAAACATTGGATGACAGATTACCTCAGTCTGCATACACATATTATAACTGACATTATTGCAATGTTAAAAAGTATGATTTCAGCATTTTAAAATAGTTTTTTTGTTTGCTTTGTTTGCTTTTTTAAAGGTTTGGAGGTGTTAGCTGGTTTGATGATATGGAATCAAATCAGACGCAAGCCAAGGTATGTATTTTTTTGTAGAATTATGTATAGATTATTTTGTAAAACAAATACATGTATGCATAGTGTTTTTCTATGTTACATATATTCTCATCAAAATTCATAATTTCGTGCATGCAGTTGTAATTTGACCTCAGTCTGCCGTCTCTGTGAAATATATCATCAGCGGAGTGCCAGGAGAGGCAGACATGAGATCTATACAAGACTCCTCTATTATTTTGTACTTTTGTTATCATTCAGAAATCCTGATTTTGTCGGTTCATACATTTCATTATATTGAACTTTAGACCATCCAGTAGTATATTCTAAACATCAACAGTATAACCATGTTATACGTCCGTCTAAAGCTAAAAATTACAGATGACAAAAGCTTTCGTACACCTAAGATAAACTGATTATCTAGCATTTTTGTCCGTAGGTGTCTTGAAAGTGACTCTGTAACATTGTTGAAGGTTGATGACAAAAAATGTGTAATTTTTGTATGAAATGTTATATTATATTCCTTCTACTGCACTAACCCTCTAGCATGCAATAAATCCTGATTAAATTGTAATAATATAGTTGGGAGAAATAAGGAATAGGTCAGATCAGTTTTTTCCAATTTTTATCGTTAATAATGGTCTGGTTTCACTCAAACTTTCAGATTATCTTTAATTGTACATCTAGCATTGAAGTCATAACCTTAGCACCATTTTCTCTCATCTGAACAATGTTACCTTTAATAGTTTCACACCATAAAACAATAATTTTTTATTGTTATTTAACACAGGCTTGGTATAATAATCGTGCTTACCATGCCATGCCAACATTCCTGAATGTCATGAACAACATCATACTGAGGGCAACAGTCAACAATAACTCACATGAATATGGTACGTACGTCATACTGACATGTACATCTATATGTGTGTGTGTGGGTGGGTGGGTGGGTGAGTGAGTGGGTGGGTGTGTGGGTGGTGGTAGGGACTGAGGTAGGAACTACATGGACAACTATATGTGTGTGTGTGTGTGTGTGTGTGGGTGAGTGGGTCGGTAAGTGAGTGTGTTGGCGTGTGGGTGATAGGTTCTGAGGTAGGAACTACATGTACAACATATGTGTGTGGGGACGGGTGAGTGGGTGGGTGGGTGTGTGGGTGGTAGTGACTGAGGTAGGAACTACATCTACAACTATATGTGTGTGTGTATGTGGGTGAGTGAGTGTGTTGGTGTGTGGGTGATAGGTTCTGAGGTAGGAACTACATGTACAACTATATGTGTGTGGGGGTGGGTGGGTGGGTGATAAGTTCCGAGGTAGAAACTACATGTACAACTGTATGTGTGTGTCTGTGTGCGTGTGTGTGTGGGTGAGTGGGTAGGTGAGTAAGTGAATGGGTGTGTGGGTGGTAGGAACTGAGGTAGGAACTACATGTACAACTATATGTGTGTGTGGGAGGGTGAGTGAGTGGGTGGGTGTGTGGGTGTAGGAAGTGAGGTAGGAACTACATTTACAACTACGTGTGTGTGTGTGTTTGAGTGGGTGGGTAGTAGGGGCTGAGGTAGGAACTACCTGTACAACTATATATGTGTGTGGGTGAGTGGTGGGTGGGTGTGTGGGTGGTAAGAACTGAGGTAGGAACTACATGTACAACTATATGTGTGTGTGGGTTGGTGAGTGAGTGTGTGGGTGTGTGGGTGTAGGAAGTGAGGTAGGAACTACCTGTACAACTATATATGCGTGTGGTTGAGTGGATGAGTGGATGTGTGGGTGGTAGGAACTGAGGACACTCATAAGTACTTTACCTTGACAACCACTCGCAAAACAAGGATGTCATTGGTTCGAGAACTCTGTAAATTTGCTGTAAATTTTAAGCCTTTACATAATAGGGGTACGTTGATTTAGGTGCTCAGGGGGGTGTTGAGGGCAACTAGGGGCATGAATGGCTTGGCATAGTTAAGTCCAACTTAAAGCCACCTCTCTGTAGTGGCCATTTATTTTGTCTCCCTCGAGCAAGAAATGTGTTTTGTAGAACCTGTCTAGAAAAGCCACCTGTTTAGGGTGGCCACATTCTCAGTTTCCCTTGTGGCCTTTATAGGCGTACAGGTTTGACTGTACGTGTAATATTTAATGGCAATTTGAGTTGGATTCAGGGGTATGTGAAATGTGTGTGATGATGTGCATGTTTTACCAGTGAAATATTCTTAAAACTAGTGCAATATACCTTTGTGCCCAATGAAAGATAAGCAAGTCATCACGGTTGTCATTGGTATGTGTAATAGTAGAGGTGTTGTAGTCAAGCAGATTAAGCACTTAACTTGAAATGCTAAGGGCGTGGGTTTGATCCTGACATGGCACTTATGTCCTTTGGCAAGGCATTGATCTACCTTGCCACTCGATTCATACCCAGGATGGAAACGGGACCGGTAGGATGTTGAAAGCCTGTGTAATAGTAAATGCCATATACCTCACGGTGACCATGTGGTAGGAATACTCCCCAGGGAGTGGAGATGGTGCAAAGTGTGCAGCAATGAATCCAATGACTGGGGATATAATACCCGTAAGGCGCTTAGAGACGGTTTTACGTATTAAGCGCTATAAAAATCCAGATCATTAGGTGGTCTGTTATCAACAGACCACCTATTGATTTCGTCAGAATTTTCTTTATTTATTTATTTATTATTATTATTTATTTTTATTTCTTCCCGTCTTTTGTGCCCAGGATAACTCACAGTTTGGTTTGGTCAATTTGATTCAATTTTAGCACAGTCATAGGTCATTGTCATGACCTATGACCTTGAAGATTTTCAAGGTCATCAAGTCATCGTGACGTCATCCAGGCGCCATTTTGTGAAATCACATTATCCATCATATCTTCATGATGCATAAGCAAAGGTCATTCATATTCATATCACATATACTTCAGGTCAAGGGTCAACAGGTAATGTCATCAAAGGTCACATAAAGGTCATGACGCGCGCGTATGTGCGCGTCAAAATTTAAAATTGCTCAAAATCACTTAACTATTAAACGAGAGTACGAATTAGGTCATTTTAAGCATTTCAAAATTTTCCGTCCGTTCATGTCCCCGCGCGCGGTGTGCGCGCTCACAGCGCGCGGAAAAGGTCAAATTCAAAATGTTTACATGATTTGGATTCCTCTTAACGTAATTGACAATTTACATTAATTTCAGTCACTCTTCATATTTCATAAGGCCGTGAGCGTGCGTCAAAGTTCAAAATCCGCGCGTACTGCTATGGGCAATATAGTGCAAATTTGATCAAAAACATGCCATTTTAAAAATCGAAATAGCTCTTCAGATAGTCCATTGACCCCCAATTTTTATATCATGGTTGGAGAAAGCATGAGTTGGAGATATGATTTCATACCACCCTGACTCGTACAAAGTAAAATAAAGTCATCATATTGGCATCTAAACTCAAACAAATGTATTTTGTTGATGACGTCATTTTTGTCTTTGTTTATTTGAGATTATCTCACTTATCGGTGATCGATTTTCTCCCAGATTTTGATATGTTGTAGCTGAGATAATTTTCTTTTAGAAATATGTCATTTATTTTTCATTTATCTGACGTCATCATAGTAAAATATTCGATTTAAGGCGACAATGCATAATTTGTCATATTTGCGTGTTATGTCTATGGGAGGTCACTTATTTCAAAACATGAATCTGCATGACAATGTGTTTCAACCAGTATCTCGGTTCTTATTCAACAGTTTTTTCCCAAATTTTAGCATGTTGTAGCTGAGACTATTTGCTATCTATATATTTCCTCATTTTTTTCAATCAGATGTCAGGATCATGCTTATACTCATCATCGTCATCATCATCATCATCAATATCATCATCATTATCATCATCATCAATGTCACCATCATGATCATCATCATGTTCATCATGATCATCATCATGTTCATCATGATCATCATTGTTTACATGTCTATATAACTTCTCCCATTCTCAAATCTATCATAAGACTTAGACAGACCACCTTATTCGTCTTCGTGACGAATTAAATTTCTAGTTTTTATTTATTGTTCCCACTTTTTTGTGAACAGGATAACTCAAGATCGGTTTAATCAATTTCGTTCAATTTTGGCACAGTCATAGGTCATTGTCATGAGACGTCAGTGTAACATTTTCAAGGTCATCAAGTCTTCATGACGTCATCCAGGCGCCATTTTGTGTTTTTTTTGGTACTTTTTATTCATGATCATATCTTTATAACGAAAAGGCATTTCTCATTCATATTTATCATGATTAAGGTCAATATCCGTCCGGTCAATTTCAAGTCAGAAAATGCACGCGCATGCGTACGTCCGCGCGTCAGCGCGCGCGCAAAAAATAAAAATGCTCAAAATCGTCCCAAATTCATTTTGCATACGTTTCAGGCCATTCTAAGCATTTTTCAAAAAAACGCGCGCACGCACATGCGCGCGCGTTTTCGCGCGTACTGGTATTTTTCAACATAGAATCGCCAAATTTTCTCTGTCATCGTATTTGGCACATTTTTCCAAGCATTTTGATACCTTTTTCACCTTTTTCTGCCCATTAATAACGGAATGAGCGTCCGTTTAAGATAATTTCCGTGCGTGCGAGCTCTTGTAATACATAGCATACATGGGCAAAAACATGCCTATACAAAATCCATTGTAGCGCTTAAGGATGCAAGGTGATCCCAATTTTGTTTTCATATTTTGATAGAGTATGAATTGGAGATATGATTTCATGTCTCATTTGACCCTCAATTAACTCATGACGTCATCATAATGGCCTCCGAACTCAAAATTTTAATTTTCATATTTTGACGTCAGCATATTTTTGGAAAATTGATTGTATCTCTGTAAATGTTGACCGATTTTCTTCCAAATTTTGATATGTTCTAGCTGAGACAATTTTCTACAAATGCATTTGGCACGATTTTTCATTTTGACAAATGGATCATGGCGTAATTTGTGATTAAAGGGGGCATGTCAATTTTTAACATTTTGCGTGTATTCTCTACGGGACATGATTTTTTCTCAAAACTGGATTCTACATTCCCGTCTTTCGCGAGCAATATCTCCGTCGTTTTATCTTTGTTCATGCTGAGCTTTGATTATGTTGTAGCTGAGACAATAAGCTATCATAAGTGTGCCCTTTATTTTTCGATCAGATGCCGGGATCATACTCATATTTCACTTGCAAAGTGGGATTTGAGTATTTCATTTTCCGTTTACGTGTAATCTCTATGGGAAATGTTTTGGTATATCGGTAACGCACTTGACTTCCGACCTCGAGGTCCCTGGTTCGAGTCCGGGCGTCTCCAACAATTTTTTTTCTTCATTTTTTTTTCTTTTTTGACTTTTCAATGATCAAATTGAAAACAGACCACCTAATTCGTCCCCATGACGAATTAAATTTCTAGTTATTTATTATTCTTTATTTTTATTTATTGTTCCCACTTTTTTGTGAACAGGATAACTCAAGATCGGTTTAATCAATTTCGTTCAATTTTGGCACAGTCATAGGTCATTGTAATAAGACGTCAGTGTAACATTTTCAAGGTCATCAAGTCTTCATGACGTCATCCAGGCGCCATTTTGTGTTTTTCTTGGTACTTTTTACTCATGATCATATCTTCATAACGGAAAGGCATTTCTCTTTCATATTTATCATGATTAAGGTCAATATCCGTCCGATCAATTTCAAGTCAGAAAACGCGCGCGCATGCGTACGTCCGCGCGTCAGCGCGCGCGCAAAAAATAAAAATGCTCAAAATCGTCCCAAATTCATTTTGCATACGTTTCAGGCCATTCTAAGCATTTTGCAAAAAAAACGCGCGCACGCAAATGCGCGCGCGTTTTCGCGCGTACTGGTATTTTTCAACATAGAAT